CTTATGTCTAAGTATTTATTGAGTTCTAATGGTGGCATCTCAGATGTTCCGCACAGCGACATTATTATCGTCCGGTCCTCTGCCTGATGATTTAGAGGACGACAACGAGGACGCGAACTCAGATGATATTCCGAGTTTTGGACTATTTGATCCGATGCAGGGCTGGGAAGAGGAGCAGCAGCGACCATTGGAGGAACACAAATAGATGGACGAGGAAATTTTTTATTAGGTGAGCATTGTTTTTCAAGATCAGTCTTCAGACATAACTTTCAGTATATTTGTTTCCTGCGGTAACGGTATGTATGATGTATTATTTCTTGTAAATCGAATTTCGTTTATTCACGGTCTTATTTTTGATTTTGGAATGTGGGCATGGAAGTATGAATTTATTGTGTGGCGGTGAAAAATAGAGAGAGATACTAAATATAAATCCTGTGATGTTCGTTGATTTTATTTTGTTTCTAGTCGGGCAAAGATCTCGCAGACGCTCATGATTTTCTTGTTAAAGATGAAGATATATGGTAAGTTGCACAGGGCGACGTGTCGCATGGTGTCTCTTCTTCTCTCACGTATATGACCTGCACTTGAAGCCAGCGGTTCGGAATGCATCGCTCATGTAGATGGCATGTATAACAAATGTGACAGTATGAAAAATTCGTATTCCGTACGTGAGTCTCATTTTGTCGAGGAACGAGCTGTGCTTGATCTCCTATGTAGATCGAGGGTGAGTGCGCCATGTGTCTATACATCTGGTCACTTTACATACAGGTGACAAGAAGAGAGGAGTTTTTAATGAAGGCTTGAGTGGCTGAAGTTCTCTGTGGAGAGAGTTAAAGCGATTGATAGTTTGAGTGGAGGAAAAAAAGGACGGGGATAGTTTGATTGTTAAGGAGGAGGAAAAAAAAAACCATTCATAGAACACGAGTGTATTCCTGAAGATGTAGATGATGACGAGAGAAAAGATCAATAATGTTTTTGGTGCTTGAGTTCATGATCGATGTGTATTGGGTGTTCCTTGGAAATATGTAAAGCACATGGCTTCAGGCGTCTTCTCTTTTCTTGCTCGTTTGCTATTCGGCATAGCACGTGCATTGGCCTACGAGATCGTTGACAAGCGAAGCGGCAAAAGTTAAGAGTGGATGCATTCTTGCAGGGATTGTTCGTTTAGTGGCCTTCTCCCCGAATTCGCGAATTTTTTCTAGCATAACGATTTTTGTTTGGTTCTGCATGGGTATTTCCTAATATCTCTAGGCGGCAATAGATTGTATTGAAATTGTGTTAGCGTTCTTCACGAAGGTACTGGTGCGTGATTCAGTCTTGTAAACTACATCAAGAGAGTTTCGCGTAGGTTTTGAAGCTAGATTTTTAGACGCGCTTTTGTGTGACTTTTTATTGTTTAGATCTTAGGGACTTTGAAGGTCTACGAAGTAGTGCGTAGAATACCAGGGAGCGGAGACAAGTGCTAGTCTAAGTGATTTGAATCTAGTTGATCAACAGGAGGAATCTAGTTGAAGTAAGTAAATAAAAATGGACCAAAGTTTGTGCTCCGTGGAGCTCAAGATCTGGAAAGCAGTGATTAAACTTGACCGGCAGTGTAGTGCAGTTGGTGCGCTCCTCGCGGAACGCAACACTGCACTGCACCAGGTCAGCGTAGCTGCTCTGGAGCTCGAGGTCGAGGATCCTTCCGCTACCCCGATTGGGGTTGTTGGAGGATATATCCAAGAGGAGGCGGATATGCTTCGTATGAAGTTGTCTACGCTTCAGACGGAGCGTAACCGCCTTCTCGGACTCCTCGACCGCGTGCGAGTCGGAGAGGTAAGTGCATATAGAATAATATTGGTTAGATAGACGGCACATTGCGCATGTTGCTGCTTCGTATGTTGTATCGTTATAGCCGAACAGATTTACACGCGCCCTCGCAGTAGAATCTTTATGCGGCCAATCAGTGCGACCGTGCAGAAATGAACGGTAAAAATCTTAGATGCGGAAAGATCAGAAAAGTAGGACTGGAGGAAAAACAGACACACATAAACGAACAAGATCCAACTGAACTGCGCAAGAGATCGTCGCGCTTGAGATCACCCGACCCTGTCGAGGGCAACCCAAAAAGAGGGCTAGAAGAGGCCGGAAGATATGCGCCACCTTAAAAGATCTGAAAAGTAGACCCGCTTGGGAATGTATGAGAGTAAGTCCCTCAAAGATCAGCCTGCCAGATCTCAGGTATATCGTGGCCGCATAGTCTGAATCGCGTGGCATATTAATTCGCACAGCGTAGCAAAGGTCTCCACCGTGTGGCAAATTCCTTCCTAATTGAAACGGGTCACAGGATTGTAGCAACTAAACTGAAGGGTTAGGAAACATAGGAACAAACACGATAGGGGTACAACACATCGGAGAAAAAGTGAAAAAGTAACAGAACGCGTGCAGCAAGAACACAGTAACGCAGTGCAACAGAACTGAAAAAAAAAACTGAACGCGTAAAGCAGACTTGCCCGCTTCGGCAGCCGCGCACGGATACGAAAAGGATCGAAGAAGAGGGAGAGTGACACGGAGAGGAGTCAAGGAAACTGCAGCAAAATGGTGAAGCTGGCGGGGATTAGTGCGAGCCGGGAAATTTCGAAGGCTGTCTTATGTTTGCATCTCATTCATCTGGGCCGACCAGGGCAAGGGTATGCGCCTGCAGAGAGGGACGGACTGTGGACGCATATGCCTTGCCCTTCCCTGCTTGGATGAGAGATGTAAAGCACTAAGGGCGAAGATGAATGCTCGGGAGGAGGAACGCTGGAACAAGTTGCTAGACAAAATTCAGGAGGGGCGTGGAACAAAGGCGGACCTGAAGCGCTTACAATTAAGTGGAATGGTCGCTCTTTCCTGCGCGGGAATTCCGTGTGTTTCCCTTCGGGATTGTGAGGGAGGACATGGGAACGCGCAGGAAATGGCTTGCCGCGCTAATGGATGCAATTCAGGAACGCGGCAGAGAGTGCCAAAAAGAGAAAGAAAAAGGGGAGGAGCAGAAAAAGAAGCTGGCGCGGACAATCAGCGGCCTACGTGCGTCGGGGTTTTCCGAAGTTTGCAGAACCAAAAAGAAGCGCAAAGGGAATTCCGCGGATGACGAGTCGGATTTGGAATCTTTTTTCTCGGAGTCTTGTCCCGATTTAGAAGGCGAGAGATTTGACCCGTTTCTTGAAGCGATCGAGGAGGAAGATGAGGAGCAGAAGAGCGGGGAAGGCGGTCCCGGTCCTTCGGCGGGCGCGTCTTCCTCGGGTGGAGGGTCCTCGAAAGGGTTTCCGGCGGGAATGACGGCCGACCCGGTTTCGACCGCAGCAGGAGAGGACGCGAAACTTGCCGCCAAGACTCCCGCAGAGGTCGGCGTCGGTGATGCGGCTGGGGAGGTTGTGGCGGTCGATGATCCGTCTTCGACCGCAGCAGAAGAGGGTACGAAGCTGGCTGCTAATACTCAAGCAGAAGCTGTTGTCGGTGATGCGGCTGAGGGGGTTGTGGCTGTTGATCATCCGTCTTCGACCGCAGGAGAAGAGGAAAAGAAACTGGCCGGCGATACTCACGCAGAAGCTGTTGTCGGTGATGCGGCTGAGGGGGTTGTGGCTGTTGATGATCCGTCTTCGACTGCAGGAGAAGAGGAAACGAAAGTGGCCGTCGATACTCACGCAGAAGCTGCTGTCGCTGATGCGGCTGAGGGGGTTGTGGCTGTTGATGATCCGTCTTTGACTGCGGGAGAAGAGGAAACGAAAGTTGGGGTCGATACTCACGCAGGAGCTGCTGTCGCTGATGCGGCTGAGGGGGTTGTGGCTGCCGAAGGTTGTTCAACCGACGAAGATAGCGAAGAAGAGGAGAGCAGTGCGAATGTGGACCGGGAGGCATGGTAGGTGGATTGATTGAGGAGGGCCGCGCGGAAGGGAGATTAGCCGCGCGCATGAGCAATCTAGTGGAGGATGGGCTGGGGTGATTGGATGGCCTTGGCGTCGGCTCAGGGCAAGAAGAAAAAGCAAAAAAGTGCTTAGAAGTGATTACGTCAGAAGCATGAGGGGAGCCTTCTGAACTGTGAACGGATGTGCATCGGTGGACCTATTCTGGCACGCCTTGAGTTCGATAATAAAGAAGTGAGAGGGAAGCGCCCCAGGGAGAGCCTTTGTTCTTTCTGTGGATCGAGTGACGGGAAGCACTCTGATCGACACAAATGCGCAAAAAGATCAACCAGAGGCATACAGGTGGCATGTTGGATCCATAGAAATGACAGAGATCACATAAACGCAAGCACATCACATCCGCGAACGAAAAAACGTAAAAGATCAACTACTTGCGTACGAGCTAGATCCGAAAAATCGGGAATCACGCGGCAGCCTTGAAAGATGTTTGTGACTTGAATCGCAGGAGTTTGATTGTGTTCGAAGTATTATTTTTTCTGTTTTCTACATAGCACGCGCATAGTGTTTGGAATTTATTCATTGCTGCAAAGTTGCGAGCTTGTTTGCGAAAAATATAGGCCACCCCGTTGCTTTTTTTCTTCTTTAGAGACGTTGCGTAGGACGTGGCGGGCCCTGAAACGTCTGCAGGATGAGGATTGTAGAGGTCCACTGCGAGGCATGTGACGCATTACGCCGCGTCGAGGTTCCTTGGGGGGAGGAGGTAGGTGACCCGGATCCGTTGACCAAGTGGCAAAAGTTCAAATGCGGGGCGGCGAATTTGATTTGTGCGGAGGGACAGCGGAACTCGCATGACCGACTGAAGGCGCACCAATTAAAACAGTTGCGAAACATCTACAGCGTGAACACTGAGTACAGCTCGTCCTCCCGGGCTGTCTCCATGATGACGATGAATGCGCGTGCGACGGAGCGTCGTGATCCCCCAAGGTGCAAAAAGAACCCACGGGGAGGCAGCGAACTTCCTGAAGGAGTTACGATCACCGCCGAGGAGTCCTGTTTTCCGGGCACTTTTTTCCCGGGTATGTCGACGAAGAAAGAGAAGGAGCTTCAGAAGGAGGACGATGCGAAGCGCCGCAAAGAAGACGAGAAAGCACAGAAAACGAACATGAAGAACAATGACGCCCGGACGCGTGTTCAGTCGTCGACGTTCTTGAATCTGGCCCCTGATTGGGCCTCCGACGATTGTACAGCGGTGCCCGCCGGTAGCTCGGGTCTTTGTGGTGAAACCGCTGGCGGGAAGGACATGGGGAGGCAGCTGGGGGAGGCGGCTCCCCCCATGACGCGGAAGGCGGTGGCGGAGGAGAACCTCGTGAAGAAGCTGGCGAGGCTTTCCCGAGATGAAGAAGAAGCGGGCCCTTCCGCTGGTATGCCGGATGAGAATCCGTCTGACTTTTCGGACGAATCATCTGGCAGCAGCGGGAATGAAGGTGCGACAGAGTGGGAAATTCAGCGAAAGCCAATGACCAGGATCCGACGCCGCGAGAAGCAAGGAGAAGAAATTCGCGCTCTTCAGCGTCTTGTGAATGACTCGAAGAGCCGCGTAACGCGAACAAATATTTGGAAGGCTTTGAAAAACGATGGTGCGCTGAGTGAGACTTGCAAAAATTGGGACCCACATGAAGACGCGGCGAAATTGAGGTCGTTCGTCTCCAAGTTAATGAAGGCCTACGAGGTCATCAACCGCGAGAAAGGAGGCGAGCCGAAGGACATGAGCGCAATCCCACGGAAAAAGCCTCGGCACACGAGTAACGCCACCGGGAGACTGAAGAAGTTTGAAGGAGTTCTCCGCACGTGGTCGGACTGGAGAGTCCTCAAGCAACGCCTTCGGAAAAGATTGGGCCTGAAGCGGGGCGAAAGCGATTCCCTTGCTGGATTAGTCGACTTCGCGAATTGCGACGAAGTAGGTATATTGAAAGAGTACGCCCCTCAGGGAGGTTACCGAACCGAGTGGTTCGAGAATGAAGCGGATAACTGGACCCTTCCGCGAGATAATGTCGACGATAAAGGCAGCGCGCTGGTGTGGGCGTTCTCTACTCCTGAACTGCGAATCCCTCCCACGGTTGTTGTGTCGCGTGATTATGTTACTGGGACTTCTCAGAGGGTCAAGCAGCGTCGGCGGGTTTGTGAGCGGAGCATCGCAAACTGGGGCCGGATGGTCGTCAATCCGGAGAACAGTCGCAAGGGAACCGTTACGCAGCAAATATTCTGGGATGATGTACAGCGAATGGTCGACCATAAAGTAGCTACCTTGGGAAAGGAGCGGCCGCTCGTCCTTATATTCGATGACTGTTCAGTGCATAAGTTCGCGAATTCCGAAATTCTAGACATGGAGACGAATGGGGTATATTTGTTGCGCTTGTGGGGTGGGTCAACCAGCTTGCTGCAGGTGATCGATTGCATGAATTTACGTCGCGCGCGCCTTCTACCGTTGTGAGGTTTCTCAAGGAGAGAACGGCGACAACGGTAGGAGGGCCCGCCTTCATATATTATCGGCGGAGCAATCCAGGGGAAGGCGAGAGAATTTGCGGAGGGTGAAGACAAAGAGAAGCACTCGACCACGTTCGAAGACAAGCGAGTTTGGAAAGCTTTAATGGAGGACGAGCGGCGCCGACCGTGGCACCAGTTGCGTTATTTCGAGATTTGTGGCTTTTCTCTTGCGCATGATGTCCCGCCGTCGGTACATATGGAGCTTTGGCGTTTCTTGGAGCTCACTCGGGAGATGTTCCCTGCTCGTGTGCAGGAATTGGAGCAAAGGTTCCTCCGATTGTCGCAGCGAGGCGCCGACGAGTTCAAACTTTTGGAACCTGATGAGACGCCGAAAACGAAGAAGAAGACCCAAGGAGCCAGAGGCGCTGGGAAGCTATCTGGGCCAGCAATGAAGGAAGCCGCGGGCGCCTCGGGAGGTGTCCTCGATGAGGTTCGGGCGCCGTCTAGCAGTGTTGGAAGTAAGAGACGGCGCGACGAAGACAGCGAGGCGAAGGTGGAAAAGCGCCAGAAGCAGGAGAGAGAAAGCACCGGCGAAACCGATAAGGAAGTAGAGGAAAAATGAGAAGAAAGAGGAGAGCCGGGACGCGAAACCGATAAGGAGTTAAAGGGAGACGCTGAAGAATGACGGGAGGGGATGGGCCTCCTTGGCGCAGGGAAAGGAGGAGAAAAAGAAGAGAAGAAACGGGAAAAGGATCCGAGGCACCACTGTCCCTTAACGGTTTCGCTTAACGGTTTCGCGAGGATTGGAGTTGGTAATTCTAGGCTAAGTAGTACATTTACGAGGCTAAGAGTAGTGACTTACTTGAATGCACTGCGATAGAGTATGGCCTGAGATTAGTACTACCGGCCATATTTATCAAGAGCGTCAGGAAGTTCCGAGTCGTCGAGAAACTCTTCTAGCTCGTCGAACTTTCGAGATCCACACGACAGGGAGGCTAAGACGTTCGCACACCAACTTGCACAGTCGCGCGCTGCTTCCCAAAGAATTTGTATTGGTAAGTCTTCCATATGGTCTCCTACATACTCATCGTTCATGTGCCGAAGGTGATTACCTCCTACTTCAACGCCCATTCGCATCGCCGGCATTAGAATGCTCGAGGAAGATTAAAATGGTCAGCGAGTGTCTTTGATTTGTCAGTTTGAAGATCCCCTAGAGACTAAAACTAAGTAGGTCGAAGAGTTGAAAAAGCGACATCATGAACAACCGAGGAAGAAACTAGGTGAACCGTAAACCTACTTCTCTGCGGCAGAGGTCCCTAGTTCGCTCTCCGAAACTTTTACACCAATCGCGCGAGAAATCGTTGTCCGAATTGCACGCCTATAGGAAAAGATCAAGAGAGCGGTCGTGGAGTTCAACGAAGTAGATCTTTCAAAACTGGGCGCGACTGTCAGAAAAACCGACATAGCGCGTGGTGCTAGCAAGATTCGAATAAATGGCGACAAATGAATAAGAATTAGTACCGCTTGCTCTCTTGGTTGGTTTCGTAGCAAAAAGGTTAGCTCGGAACGAATAGCGCCAACAAAACTCCTTGCTTTTTCTTTCACAAAATTCAAGTCAGTCTGAATTTCGTTCAATCCTGCGAGGAATTCAATTCTTCTAATTCCCTGATGAACGAAGCAACGAGTCAGAATGTCGCTCTTCTGCACCATCTGTAAGAAAGTAAGGAGGAGACATGTAACGCGGTGAGAAGTTTGCTATCAGTTTTCTTAGTGCTATAGGTCTTATGACTAGTCGAAGTAATAGCTGTAGCAGTAAAGAAAGGAGTATGTCTCGTGTGAATACTTGGTATCCCGNTATAGAAAAATGAGGACTTGGATAAAGGTGCTTTATAGTCTGTTAGGGCTCCGAGAAGCAGCTTTATCAAGAAACATAGGATCATATAACTAACTAGCCAACCACCTTCTGGTGCTGGTCTTTTCTTCTCAAATGTAGCTGAAGACCGCACAAGACCGAGGGATCCTAGTCCCACAAGAGCGTAAGAACACATAGACACCAAAAGATACAAGAAGGGCAGCATCATGCTGAGTGCTGACAGAAACATGGTGTTTGAAGCTCCTAGAAGCAATGTACACATCTGGTTGTGTACTAGAAACATTGAAGAATCATAAAAGACACATCATATCGTAATACATAACAGTCTCATATTCGGGATCCCCCATCCCCCACTGAACTGTAGTTTTGAATGGGCAAGTGATTTGATAACATGATATCACTGTTAATCTGAAATCAATTGCGATTCAATCACTTTTCTCAGTATACGTCAGATTCTCTTGTCTAAGGACTAGGGCTCCGAGAAGCATAATGATACGATTGCTGGAAGCCTTTCAACGAATAACGAACGACTCACTTCATGACGTCTTCGTGATCTTCTCGTTCACTCACCATGGGGATCTTCCAGATTCTCTTGTTCTCACAGATGAATTCTCATATTGATTTGTCGAATCATTGTTGTTGTTCTAGGATGGCTCAAATCAAATGTGAAACAGGATTCACTATTACACATGGTGTGACTTATTGTTGACAGATTAGGCTTCCAAGTAGATCTGTGATTATTTGTGCCTGATGGTCCAGAAAATATCCCTTCTTCAGAAGGAGTTTATTCTAGACATCACCTTAGGTTGACTAACTAGTTTTAGGACTAGTTTTAGGGCGAAGCGACCAGTTATTTTGATACACCCCCTTCTCGATTAGGTTAGTTTTTTCTTCCTTTTCTAATTTTTAATAGTAACGTTCTCCCCCTCTAGTGCGAGATCTTCGATATGGTGCTTCGAAATGGCGTCTCTCTCGTCCGCGAGCAGGTTTTGACTGACTGCGATATCCGACTCCAATGATGTCATCGAAGGTGCCAGTTGAAGATTCGCGCTGTTGGCTAGTTCGTGAAATTGATCGGCCTCGACGTTGTTGACATGAGTCAGCTTGTTTCCCTTTTTCGCTTGAGATTCGACAGCTCGTTGGAAAACCGTGCGTTGCTCCACTTCCTGACGAGTGTTCTCCTTTCCCGCTATCGAAACCATTGATGTGCTCTTTTTCACTGTGATGTTGGTGTACCGGGAAAGTGGATGATTTGAAATATTGTCCACCAGAGGCAGACGATGATGATGAAGATGATGAAGAACTGGATCCAGGTTGTTGCCCGTTTGGAATATAAGAAGCACTGGCGCGATAGTTGGCCAGCATTTCTGGTGGAGCTCGATATACTGTAGTCTTCGACGAGATGAATTCTTCTTCTTCTTCTTTTACGTCCTGTACCGACTTGATCCGGCCAGAATTCTTGTTATTCATCTTTCTTTCGTCTTTGTCTTCGTTCTTTCCCAGGTACCAGTGGGTAGATTTCCCAGCGGGACCACTATCAGGTCGGTATGAAAGATCTCGCTTTTTGTTACTGCGACCGCGAGAGTCATCGTGGTGTCGTAATGGAGGAAAGGCAGAAGAGGATAAATCCATGTGACCTGTCTCTTCTTCTTGCTTCTTTCCAGGCTGAGACCTATTGGCTTCATCCCGACTTCGAAGGACCACGTCCTGCTGGTGTTCAGGGTTACTACCGGAAGAAGAAGATGAAGTAATATAGTGCACCATCACGGAGGCATCCATAATGTTCCAGTAGCCATTCTCTCCTTTGGACCACCAACTGCCATGGGAAAACTCAGCACATCTGCCACTTTGGTCGACAAATGTCCTATCCTCAGTTTGGAAAACTTCTTGATTTTGTACAGGGTAGTTGCTACCAGTACAGTGAGAAACACAGCTAGAATCACCCAAAAGTGACATGGGGCCTGAAGGCTTGTCACCATGAGCTTTACGTCCATCGTTCTTTCCTTTATTCTTCCCATTTCCTTTATTGGACTTGTTCTTGTGCTTGGGAAACATCATGTTGTTGTATCGGTGCTGGGGAACGTACTCTGCTTGAAGAGAAGCAGCATTGTTTCCCTTGTGGTACTGATTCCACCATCTTTCTTCCCGTCCCTTTGCTCCGATCTTGTTTTCTTCACGTCGTTGAAGGGTGGTTTTGTTCAAATTTGGCTCAGGTCCTCGCAAGGTTTGGTACCCTCGATCAGCCTTTTTTACCTGTTGGCATGCGTGAACTTCTTCATAGTACTGAGATTTCAGTACAGCGTATTGAGGGTCTTCGTCTCCGTCGTCCTTGTTACCAAACGAGCCATTTCCACCCAGAAACTGATCTATCCAGTACAGCAGATCACCCGGCCGTCTGCCGAGTTTAACATTATCGATCCATATGTCTTGATATGGAAATTCTCGGTTTAGGAACAAAGGCACAAGCTCCCGTAGTGCGTGGCCAAGACCACATCGCATTCGAGGGTGGCTCTCAAAAGTAGGGCAGTTACATGCACACTTGAGAAGGCAGGCTGGGGTCGCTACATGTCGTGCTATCTCCAGTCCGGTCATACTACTGTAGCCAACCAATTCCTTGATGTACTTGGCAACATCAGTTGGACAATAGTACTTATTGTGCATTTCCTTTCGGCTGTTGCAGCGTTCGACGAGCAGACGCCACACGGTGGCTCGAGAAAGGGATTCTCCCAGTTCATCTGCTAAGGATACTTCTAAGTCCAGAAAGTCAGGGATTTGCTCCAGTTTTAGCCTCCGGAAGTTAATCCCGTGACCACTTCCGTTTCCTAGGATTGTTGTAGGAGTACTCCGAAAAGTCTCGTGAATATTTTGCCCAAATTTGTTGCTGATTGGCTGGCAGACCGGGTCATTCCCTTTTCCTGCCTGACTTCCCATCAGGTTCAGATCTACTCCAAAAACGATGTTACTTTGTTGACTGTCCTCTCGAGGCACAAGATTAATGCTGCTGTGTCCGATTGTTTTATCCTGACCAGGGTTAGTGGAAGATAATGCAGTCCTTTTCTCATCTTCAATCTTGACATCATCCTTTTTTAGTGAAGGCAGACAGGCAGGGAGTCCGTCTAGATGTTGCTGTAGAGGCAATTCTCCAGTTCCTTGCTGTTCTTCTTCCACCACCTTCTGCTCTGATGATGAAGTACATGAAGGTGACATTTCAAATTCGTTACTGTTCCCTACTCCATTTTCCACGATCGGAGATGATTTGGTAGCAGCTTTGCACTCCAAATCGGCATTGTTCTTCTGCTCAGATGTTCCGGCAGGAGACAATGCTTCTTCTTCAGCTTTGCTCTCTTCCGAGAAAGAGGCGGTGGGTTCCTTGGGAGCTACGATTTCAACTCCTCTCACATCTCGAGGTTCTTCCTCTGCATTTTCTGGCTCGAGATTTACCTTTTCTTCTTGAGGTATTTCCAAGACGCCTCTAATTCCCGTTTCCTCCAGCACTAGATGAGTCACTTCCTCATCCTCGCCGGCTGATCCCACTAAAGTAGTAGTATTACTGCTGGCTGGCGCTGTTCTATCAAGAAAATGCTCCATATTTCCAGGGGTACTTTTGGCATCGGTCTGTCCTAGGCGAGGGTATTCATTTTCATCAAAATGGCAGCAAGGAGCTGTATTCGACAGCTTGTCCCATACTCCAGGGGAAGAGCTCGGTGGTTCCTTCTCCATATTGTTCTTCTGATCAGTCTCTAACCTACGTCGTTTTCTACGGTCGATTCTTCGACGTTTACGTTCGTTAGACAGATTTGAACAGTTGGAAATAAAACTTTCGATGGAATCACTGGCATCACCAAAATCAATAACTTCCTCGTTAATATTAGACATCCTGTTAGGCTGTTAGTGAAGATTCTGAATATGGTAAGAAGAAAGCAAGGTATAACATTTTACGTTGCGTTTTTAGGGCTCCGAAAAGCAACATTGAGTTAATGCGTCACTTTGTTGTTGAAGACTTTCTTCTTCTTTCGCTGCAGATGAAGTAAATTGTAGTAGCGCCATCGCTCAAGAACACACCCACACCGGCAGCATTTGAAATTCCTTATCATTTTTGAATATATTTGTTAAGCTCCGAGAAGCGGTGGCACACAGCATGCAGTTTGATTTCAGTCAGTCAGTCTGATCGCATTGTCATCTTCCCTTCTAATTTTTTTGACCTGTATGTCATTTGTTGTGTCGAATGCTCCGAAAAGCGTAACAAGGTTTCTTCATTTGTCTTCATTCCTCCTCTTCGTGGTTCCATATTTCACTTAAGTTCTCAAAACCACGATCAGAATGATTTCGACTTTGAAGGATTTGAGTCAGAATTTCATCCTTAGCAGCTTTCACTTCTTCCTTGATGACCCCTCGGATCTTTTCCAGCAAGTTATTTTCCATGTCTTGACGAATATTCTCCAAGGATTGAGTAAAACTCCGAAGTGCTTCGTCGAAAAGTTGCTGTTGATGTTCATGTAGCATCATGACATTTTGACGTGCACGTAGACGAACAGCTTCGGAAACAGTAGCATCGTGATCCATGGCTTGGGTCGTAGCACTCGTGATGATGCGATGTCCACGCGGCAGTGGACCGATCAAGCGAGTAGGTGGAAGATGGTCTTGTGGTAAGTTAACCACTTGCCGACGGAATATGCGATCACCACGAAGAGCTCCTGGTTGTAGTAAATTGCTGCTCTCACCGAATTCGTTCATGTTTGTGCCATTCTGGTCTATCATTTGAAACATGTCACGGCTCACCTTGGCGTCATTGAAGTTTCTATGACCAAAGCAGCAAACATTACAGGTACCCTGATCACTTCCTCGCATGTTCAAAAGGTTTTCCAACATTTTCAAGGCCCAGACCTTGCATTCCAACTTTACAGTTGAGTTCCGGGTATTGCCCCAGTATTTCAAACGAGTGCTCGAGACAATTTCTCCATCGTCGTTTCGAACAACCCACTTGACAGCAAGGCTTGTTTCGTCCACATCTTCAGCTTCGAGCTCTAGGATTCGAGTGCTTAGCTGTCGAACTTCTTCGAGGTTGTTGAATTTGATGGTCTTAATGCGAAATTTGGTATTTGGGGGCACGATGGTTCCACTGCCGTCGTTGGGGCTCTCCACGACGATCATGTTCCCCTCGTGCTCTTGTTCGGGTTCAGCGCTCATTTTCTTGGAATGAAGTATTTCAGGAAATACTCTGATAATATTAATAATTTAGGTAAGTTGGGATACGTAAAAGGTAGATTCTTTTAAAATACTACTCCAATTTCAGGAATCCGAAAATAAAACTCACTTGTAGTCTGACTCTTCCTGTGGGATGGAGATGAAAGAAGTATGATCTTTGCGAGATAACCTTCCAAGGATTGACTAACTAGGGCGCCGAGACGCAAAGGGAAACAGTCACTCTTTTGTTTTCATTTCGTGATCTATCTTTATTGTTGCTCGTACAGCGGAACACTTCCACAGGTTGTTCTCCAATATCCTTATCATTTTCTTTTACCTCCGAGAAGGAAACAATTGTCTTGAATTTGATTTGTTCTTGTTTTACATCTTCCAAATGCTTTGATTCATGGAGAAATCACCAAGATGATTTTACTTGCTAGTCGTACTCGTACTTTTACTTCCCACTTGGTGATCGGGTTCTCTTGAATAACGGACAGAAATCGAGTCTTTTATGAATCCGAGTCAGCAAGTTCAATTCCGTATAGTTCTACCTGAGGAGGTGGTCACGTTTGATCATTGCTTCATGGATTGCATCGGCTCGCCCTGGTATACAGCTTACTACTGTATCACAGCCTGCCTGTTGCTCAAAAGTATCAGTTGCATTCTTGAATTTTGAGGCAAAACAACGCTTACTCCTACTGGCCTTCTTCAGCCTGGTAGTTTTGGTTTTCCGACATCCTCGAAGGATTCCGTTACAACAGAGTTGATAGAGCAAATGCTCCCGAGTGTAAGTGAAAGGTTTGGTTAATGCATCAGCAAGCTGATGCTGTGAGTCGATGTGCCGAAACTCATCACCGTGCTCAGATTCGAGCCACTGCTTGATCCTCTCATTAGCCAAAGCCAAGTTCTTTTCTTTTGGCAGAGAGATCTTGCACATACTCCCAATCAAGCTTTGGCAATCTGTAAAAACCTTGATTGGAATTATTTGTCCAGTTGCTTCATAGTACAGAAAACGCAGCATTTCCACGCTGTCCACAGCTTCAACTATGGATAGCGTTTCGCCTGCTTTGGTAGAATGGATTACCCTCGAGAGGTTATGACTTTTCCAAGTCAAAAGAGATGCCGACGCGTCCTCACTTGAATCTCCTTCGAGACCATTTTGAGACGCAAGGGCGACTAATCGTCCCACGGGGGTCCGGCCTCCTCTTCCTGTAGCAAAGCTAGCGTCCCCATAAACGGCAAAGTAAGGGCTTTCCTGTCTCCTGAGTCGGATCCGCATGGGGGTTTTCTTCATCTTACGGCACACCCGATTTAGCTCCCTCAAGTCACCATAGGTGGGAGCTGCAGCATGGCTTGACGCTTTATGTACCTCGTGACATCCCAGAGGGTGTCCATGGGAGGTTATGTAGTTCAAGGCTCCAAGAAGCGATCGAAATTCTGAATGTAACACCTTGCTCAACAGCTCACTGTCCTCGAATTCTTCTCCGTTCAGATTCCGAGGAATCTCTACTGCATTGCACTTTTCAAGATGTCCAGAAAAATCAATTATAATTTCTTCTCTACTCACTGGCGTCATTCGACCTCCCAGATACTTAAACTCTCCCTCTTTGAATTCGGATATTCCCCAAGCAGTTGCCAGTTCTTGGATTGGTCCTTTCAGAAACTCATCACATCCATATGCTAAACCATCATCCACATGAAGAGCGATAAAACCCATCAGCTCTCGCCCTTGGACCATCTCGTGGTCAAGGTATTCAAGCAGATCATGCTGGCGGTGGCCTTCAATGCTGACTGCTCGTGAAGAAATCAGCTTACGGAATTGCTTCACAGTAGCATTTTCGTTGACTTCTTTTCCGGGACGAAAATAAAGAAAAATGGATGGGTCAACGGCCGAAACCTGGAATCCTCTGGCCTCCAGGTCACTTCTGAACTGGAGATAGAAGGCTCTGGGGGCGTCAGCTAAACCGTACACACTGCTCTTACAACGACATACGAGGTCGTCCTTTCCTTCGATGTGAAGGAGTTTCCGAAGGTTTGGTGGGGGGTCGAATTCTACGACCCCCTGGTCAATACGTCCACGCAAGAAAGCCGTGGGAACATCGAAAACTTTGTAATCCCATTTGTTTTGCAGACCAATTTGAATCATGAGTCTTAGGTGAGCAAGCATCACAGTAGGAGAATCAGTCAGTAGACCACTTCGTAATCTAGAGTCACGAAAACCCTGAAGGATGGCTCGCACTTTTCTCTTTGTGATCAAGTGAGGATTAGCTGGGTCTTCGTACTTGTAAGTTCGTACTAGACGAGGCCTGACAAGATTGGAGGACTCCTTTCGAGGGATGATCTCGATGCTGTCGTTGTCGATAAAGGATTTCCACTCCTTGGTCTCTGCCTTACAGAAGCCTGGATCTTCATTGTCCTCGTCTACTTGTTTCTGAGTGAGTTCCTTCTGAACCAGAAAAATGCTCTGGTAGCCCATTGATTCAGCTTGTTTGCGAAGTTCCATTCTCCGTTCCTCGGTGTCTCCTTCGTCCAAGAGATGGTACAATACAGGGGCACCACTAGGACACTCTTCGAGCTGCTGCATAATCTGGTTGGCTAAACCAATTTCTTCACTCAATTCTTCAATTTCGCTCACTCGGTTGATATTGAAAGTAGCTTCTTCTTGTTCTTGTTTGGTGGGAGGTCCACCACCAAGAAATCCTGAGTCACGGTGTACGACAAGACCACGTTCCGAGTTGCAGAGGCCGAAACCATCAACTACTTTTTGAACCACGAAACTTTGTGGATTATAGACTACAGACCCGAGAGTCACATCACCGCGAGGTTGTCCTTCGTCCCCAGTAAGACGGGATATTTCCCATCCGTGGCGGCGGCATGACGTCACAAAACTCTCTAGGCGAGCTCCTGAGAGAACTTCACCGATTTCAATCTCTTCTATAACAGAGCGAACTTCGTTTGTTCGGGCCCTTTTTCGGGGAAGGAACATGCGCGATCCTGGGGTCTCATCGTGGTCTTCTTCGCTCAGAGCACCCCCTTCACGTTTGTAATTTGCAGTGGTACCAGGTCCAGGCGCACTTGGTTCGCCGCCTAATCCGCTTAATGGATAATCAGGCTCGCTACTAGGAAGTTGGTCCTCTTCGTGAAGGATGTACTCTTGACGTCCTAGGAGCTCCATGCTCTCACTGCGAGACCACAACGCGAGTGGATTTTCCTCAAAGTTGCAGCTACACCCGCGTAGCTGGCTGCAACGAATTCCACCTGCATGGAGGGCGAGAATTTCCAGACCTTCTCCCAAACGCACAGTGCGGTGCTTCTGGCAAACTTTTTCTTTGCAGACTAATGTCTTGCAAGGAATGCCGCCACGGACGTCTCGACGGCTATCGCGCCCGAGTGCAACAACATATTCAAAATCAATCCCACTTAGCGCTGACTTGAGATCAGCATGACGACCCTTGTGGTCACATGCAAAGCCGAAGGATTGATAACTACCGTCATGCCGAAACACAACAATGTTTTGGTCGCAGTTGCGATTTAATAGTGCAAACCGATTACTATTTTCCTTGGGGCAGATTCGGATGCTGTTTGCTGTCACTCCAAGGTTATTTTGACTAAAGTTCACTAAAGCATGGTAGAGACTGTAGTGTCGTCCGGGTTTACGGTATATCAGTCGCCCGTTTCGTTGTTTTGCAACCGATCCCATTTCTATGCTGAATTGTCCCTTTTCAAGCTGTTTGAAACTATTTCGGATATTTTTTACGATGCTCTCACTTTCAGCATTTCCTGCAGTATGTGGAGTGTCGCGAATTTCCTGAGTCCTGCTTCGGGCATCAGTGCTAGGACCAGGCTCGGACAGTTGTCCCGGCAGGAGATTTGGTATCTCCTCGTCCTCTGTCCAGTGCCGTACCCAGTTGCTCTTGAATTTCTCCGGTTCCTTCTTACCCTGGATCTGGATCCAGTGATACTTGTCGGTTTCAGAATGGGAGTAGTAACCTTCCAGGTCCCACTTGTTGCTGATAGTATCCCAGCATCGAACTCGTTCGCCAACTGAGTACTTCCGGTCGTCTTTTGGTACTGAGCATCCCGCGGCTCTCTTCAAAAGGGTCTCGCATCGAGTTTGGGATACTGCCTGGCGTGCTAGAGCATTGAGAAGTTCTTGCTCACCAGTAATCTTCCCGCCTGGATGATTTGGACTCAAGTCCAGAAGTTCGGCAGGAAGCCAGTTGCGTGGTGTTCGCTGGTATCTCCGTTCAAAAGCGGTTTCACCCGTTGTACCAAGGGGTAAAGTTTCAATAATCCGACTCACCTCCGGTCCGAGAATCCGGTAGTCAGGATACTTGCCGAATGAGCTATGAAACGACTCAGCGGTCATTTCGATTAACTTCTTGACCCATGCGCCGCGTCGCTCAACATAGTTTACTGACTCGGGGCATCGTGCAGGGGCAATGTTCTGTTTGCCTGTCACCGTTGCGAGCCCGCTTTCATGCGTGAAATTCCAGGATTGTGTTGTTAAGAGATCTCGCAGCACACGTCGCGACTCTTCACTGATGAAGTTACTGCCCTTGTCAAAGTTCCACTCGTTGGGTTGCCCATGCCAGTGGTGGGTTTGTTCCCAGCAGACGTGAGCAATGCTTCCGCTGTCAAGGCGCTCAAGCCAGCGGACAAATGAATCTCCCGAGTAGTGATCCACAGAGTGATAGAAACCAACAGCATTTCCACCTATCTTAGGAAAGATAATGTCACTGCTCCAGATTTCATTCTCATGCATGCAAATGTTTGACAGTCCAGCGTCATGTACGCGAGGCTTTTGCCGATAATTGGCACAGCTCTCACATTGGTCGCATATCTTGTTGTACTCGTCGAGGATGTTTCGGGGAGCGTTTGCATTTTTTAGAAGGAGTATAACTTTGTCACGATTGTGCCCAAAGCACTTGTGTAGTTTGTGACAGAATGCCTTCTCCTGACCAACTTTGAGCCGAAACTCACCAGGTACATATCGCCGATTAATCAGATCAGCGATACCCTTCTTGATGCTCCCATCTTCTTCTTCGTATTCTGACAGAAGTCCCACAAAGTGTGGCTTTGAAGAGTCGGAGGTCTCCCGGAATTTATTCTTGCTTCCGGGAAGGATGCCTATGGTGTAGGTATGTGGTGTGCTCTCGAAAAGCTCTACACTTGTGACCTTCCCGTTCTTTCGAACGTACATCTTGTTTGATTGAAAATCAATGGCACTTCCCATGAGCCTGAGAGCAGGAAGTCCTATCAGTAAGGGAGTGTCTCCAGGAATGATCTCTACGTTCACCACAAGACGGAACGATGGGTTCTGAAGGGTCAAGTGTACTACTCCACAACTATCTCCTGTCTTCCCATCGGCGTACCGCATTTCGCGATCGCTGGGAAGGATTACTGGTCGCGCAATGCCGAGTCGATCATACTCACGAAAAAGTTCAAGTAAGCGGCGTTCTCCTATTAAGTTCAGAGTAGCACCGCAGTCAATGATTGCTTCATCAACACCTGTGCCACCTTTACCGGCAAGAAAAGCCAGGTGCTTCATATCCACATAATCTTTGCCCAGGAAGACAGTTTCCTTCTTGGTAACAGGATCTGTGTGCAGATATGTGGACTGTTTTCGGGCACAGGGGGGTACGGAGAAATGTGACCGAATTGCCCGGTGGCGAGACCGATTCAAACGCTTCCTAATTTTCAGTGGCAGACGACTTCTGGGCACCCTAGAGTGAAAGCCTTTGTTCTCATGGGTGTCCACGAAGGAGTACGTGACTTCTTCGCGGCAATCATAAAACAAAGCGCTTTCTTCTTCAGATTCAGACTTCGAAAAGGCTTCTCGTCGTTTTCGTGAAAGTGCACGTTCCCGGCGGTCCTGTCGTCTCAAAAGCTTCAAAAATCTTTGATGTTGTCGATTTGACTTTTGAAATACAGGTGTACTCTGACTGTTATCCCGAAGGTACATGCCTTCGGGCTCATAAACGGGGAGAGGAGCCGATGGGTCCTCCTCCTGACAGTCCTGAAAGCATAACTCTTCCTGACACTCGTACCACAGGAAGTGGTGACTTTTCGGTTTATTTGTCTCCTGGGTGCCTTTTCTTTGGCAACATCCGCAATCGCGTCCCGCGATAAATTCTCTTCATCGCCGTCGAGTCGGTCAACACGGTGAATGTTATTGGTGCGTTCGCGGGAAGTGTTCGTTGTCTTGTTTTCGATAGCCTGTTTTTCCAGAATCTCGAATTCTGGAAACTCTTTACCGAGCGCACGTCGAACCGCATCTTTGTTCTTGCGATCAGGGCATTCGTCCTTTCGGTGTCCCATCTTCCCACAAATCCAACATTCGCCTTGGAAGATCCCACGTATATCTTCAACTTCAGAGGTGCACTCTTCTTCAGCTCGTCGCACGTTACGCTTACCGCGTCCGCGTTGAAAGTTGTTCATCGAACGTTTGTTCTTTTTCAGAAAACCACGACTGAAGACACGACGATTAATGTTGCGATTATTCGACGAACGACGTTTGTTATTGGAGTTTCCGCGAGCATAGAAGATGTTGCGCACAGCTTCCTTATCCTCGTTTTCGAGATCACTAAAAACGGCTGGATTTTCATCGTCGTCATTACTGCTTACTTCTTCGCTTTCACTGTCAGCTCCAGCAGCGCGGTAAACGCCGCCGCCTCCGCCACCACTCGAGCGATACTGATCGATCACCTTTTCAGCACGGTCGCGACGCTTGTGAAAGCGGGTTGTTTCGCCGTAGTCCAAGATGTTGACCTTTTCCAGCAGTTCCATTGTTTCTTCCTTGTCTGGTTTCATCTTGAGGATAAGCATCAGTGATTTGATTGGATCACAAAACAGCTCTGTGGGATAAATCTCGAAAATTCCGTCATTCGGGCACCCTTGTTTGTGCCCGTGTACGTGGACGTCGGCTTGGTGACATCGCGGACACCAGTTGTCGTTAAAAGCAGCACGTCCGCGTACAGTAATTCCTGCAAGTCGTGAACAATCGTTCAAGTCCTGGAATACCTCATTGTATTGACGTAGTGAGGTGCTAGCTTTTTGTCCCTTGTTGAATTTCAGTGTATTCATTTTGTGGAGGCTCCCGAGAAGCTCATTTTGTTCGTCTTTGTGCCCGAAAGCTACTACTTTGGCGTAGTTAATCAAGGACTCTAGGGTCCTGATCTCCTTGACGTTGACCACGCCGCCAATGATGTCGTAGAGCTCTTGCTGACTCTCCTCGTTCCACCTCCTCACCAGATCCACGATAGCTTTATCTTCGCTCTTTTTTGAAGCGTCGATAAACAGCCTTGCCGCAATTTCGTATTTCCGAATTTCATGGGCCCCGCCATCAAAACGGGGTCCCTTTTCGTCGTCTTTGTCGTTGACCATGTTCTTGGGAAAACACAAGGACAATAGAAAGAAAAGGTTTCCCTGAGTCGTGTAGGGAAAACTTGAGAAGAAAAAACTAACTAATCGAGATAGTGCTAAGCACGCAAAAAACTGGTTGACGATGTCGTTCAACCACTCTCCGCTACCAATATAGAAAAATGAGGACTTGGATAAAGGTGCTTTATAGTCTGTTAGGGCTCCGAGAAGCAGCTTTATCAAGAAACATAGGATCATATAACTAACTAGCCATCCACCTTCTGGTGCTGGTCTTTTCTTCTCAAATGTAGCTGAAGACCGCACAAGACCGAGGGATCCTAGTCCCACAAGAGCGTAAGAACACATAGACACCAAAAGATACAAGAAGGGCAGCATCATGCTGAGTGCTGACAGAAACATGGTGTTTGAAGCTCCTAGAAGCAATGTACACATCTGGTTGTGTACTAGAAACATTGAAGAATCATAAAAGACACATCATATCGTAATACATAACAGTCTCATATTCGGGATCCCCCATCCCCCACTGAACTGTAGTTTTGAATGGGCAAGTGATTTGATAACATGATATCACTGTTAATCTGAAATCAATTGCGATTCAATCACTTTTCTCAGTATACGTCAGATTCTCTTGTCTAAGGACTAGGGCTCCGAGAAGCATAATGATACGATTGCTGGAAGCCTTTCAACGAATAACGAACGACTCACTTCATGACGTCTTCGTGATCTTCTCGTTCACTCACCATGGGGATCTTCCAGATTCTCTTGTTCTCACAGATGAATTCTCATATTGATTTGTCGAATCATTGTTGTTGTTCTAGGATGGCTCAAATCAAATGTGAAACAGGATTCACTATTACACATGGTGTGACTTATTGTTGACAGATTAGGCTTCCAAGTAGATCTGTGATTATTTGTGCCTGATGGTCCAGAAAATATCCCTTCTTCAGAAGGAGTTTATTCTAGACATCACCTTAGGTTGACTAACTAGTTTTAGGACTAGTTTTAGGGCGAAGCGACCAGTTATTTTGATAAGCTGTAGCAGTAAAGAAAGGAGTATGTCTCGTGTGAATACTTGGTATCCCGTCTTCGTGATGCGGCGAATGCAGATCGTCATGTGCGAGCTGTGCGCGCGAATCGCACGAACCATAAATTGTTCCCTTACGTCGCGTTCGCAACATGAGGAGCCAGCATCGGAGACGAGCGCCATTTTTGTGATCAGTTTTTTACGCGATACTGAACAGCGAAAAACAAGAATTCGACAGCGCTTATCGAAATACTGTTAGCGATGGTTAAACTATTTGCGTCGAAGTAAACCCTGTTGCCTTCACACAATGCATCGGAAAGGACTAGAGATCTCAGCTAAAATCGTGGAAATACTTAAAACCAGATGAAGAACGAAGGATACAACGTAGCGCAAAGCAACCTTGTGCGTCGCATGTAAGATAACCGAAAGTCTTTCCTTAGGAGCCGTATTTTGGTCTCGCGTGATGTATCACCGACAGTTAGATCCAGTCAAGTCCTTCGCTTCAGGACGAAGACGGCAGGCAGGAAAGCCGCGGAATTCAGACCAGGTATACGATCAAGATTTTTTTTTAGGCTACAAGAGAACAACACCCAGGACTAAAGTGAGTGGCTCAAGCGCTTTGCCATAAAAATTCTGTTAAAGCGCATAAAATTTCGCAAGGAAATGACAAGAATGCTGTGCCGATTAAAAGTTCGGACGTGCGTGGTAGAGGTTGGGTTTAGCGAGTTTTACGTCATGGACGAAAATGCAAGACAAGAGAAAGAAGTTGTTCCACTCGAAAGATACTGAATTTTTTCTGAAGGAGGTCCGCCACCCGTTCTTTGATGAAAATAATGCGGACGAGGTGGCTTGTATCCAAAGCTGTTTCATGTTCTAAAAAGTTCGATAAGTTAAAAAGAGATGCAGACTTTGTCAAGAGATATGAGTGAATTAATCGTTATGTGTCGCATTTTAGTCAATTGTTCTCGGATTTGATGGATGACGATTAGAAAAGGCGGTCATAAAATCATATTTGTCGTCATGAACTACAGAAAAAGCTGGAAGGTTTTCTTTTGGTTTCTGAAGGAAGAACTGTGCTCCAGTCGGTCTTTCTAAACTTGTCTCTGGCATTCTAGGATCGTACATATCTCCTAGTAAGTCACGCCTTTCGTCCTCGGCAGTTCTATGCTTAGAACCTTGCGCTGCTTGCTCTGGTCGAAGGCGCGCTTGCTCCCGTGTGTACATGACGTATTCGCCGGAGCACCTTCTACAAGGCTCTTCGAGGTCAAAGTGGCGTGGTGTAGAAGCTCGAAACTGCGTAGTAAGCGGCTTCGTAATCTCAAGGATCGTGTGGCAGCGGCTCTTGAGGGCTCCAATATCTTCAAATCTCCAGCAAGAAGCTTGCGGAATGAGGTAGTTACAAGTCACAACTGCGTACTTCTTCATAGAACCGATATCAATCGGAGACTTCGACTTCTGGTCAACGCGAGCTTGAAAGTTAGAAAGTGGTAGGTGGAAGTTATGTCGATCCAGTTCCGAGTGCCCTGTTACTCTAGTCAAGACAATAACTAAAATTGGACTTCTATGGTTCGAAAACGCCATAAGTTTTTGCGACTCCAAAATAGCTAGAAGAAGCTGTGGCTGTACTTTGTCGTCCAATCGTAAGTCGTTGAACTTGATGAAACGAATCCGCATTGGGTCCAAATTATTGAAACTGAAGTTCGCAGAGCCGGCGGGAGTAAAAACTTGCTCCACTGGAAGCGGATCTGCTAGCGCGAGTCCTAGACTGGACTTCCCCGTGCTGGGATTGGCGCCGTACAAAGTTAGAGGGGCTTAAGGAAAAGGGGATCGGCTTTATTTCTTGCAAAGCACTAGTTCCGAATAAATACTGTTTGCCCCTAAGGCTACGGAGTTGTTTGAATTCAAATTACATACGCACTAAATGGGGGAAGAAAAAAACGACAAAAGTAGGAAACTAATCGTAATAGAAGATTCGAATTCTCGCGCCCTGACTCGTCCTCCCAAATTCGCTCATTGTAAGCCCCAATCTGCGGACAAACATCGTGAAACCTGCTAATTCGGACTAATTCATGGTACTTGGTGAAAGGCCGGGCCCCCTTGTTGTTCGGGCAGTTACATTCGCACTGGAGCGAATCTCGCAAATGCTTCGCCATGTCCTGTTTAAATATCCCGCCCTTTGCGATAGAGATTTAGAGAGATACTGAGAACAATAACCTCTGGGAAAAACAATAGCGAGCTATTGATAGAGTTAGGAACTATACGCCAAAAAGCTAGCACGAGAAATTTAAACGAAAGACTTAGAGAGATACTGAGAACAATAAACTCTGGGAAGAACAATAGCGAGCTGTTGATAGAATTAGGAACTATACGCCAAAAAGCTAGTACGAGAAATTTAAACGAAAGGCCTTAATTTACAGCGCGCCGAACTAGCTCCTCCCAATCGAGTGGCTTTACTCGATTAAGAAAGTTCTCGAACCTTTTCCAATGCTTCAATTCTGACGGGTCAGCGCGGTCCAAGCAGTCGGCTTTTCCAGCTTGAAGGCCAATGTCAACCTCTGAAATGTTCGTCTTGCACAAGGCTTCATGCGTAATCAGCCACGTCATCACTTGCGTCGTCGACATGGTGCATTAGAAAATGGGCGCAAAGCATTTTCGTGGAATAGAATGGGTCGCATTTTGTTCGAATGAGTTTCGAGCGACGCCGTGAGCGACAGAACAGCTAGCGCCACGGCGTTGCCAACGGCGGAAAGTTTAAAGTTCTCCCTTGCCATAACAGCGAGCGCCCAAGCGGGCATATTCCGCGTCTCGGGTTCGCACTGATTTCTTCGGCGGTGAGAATCGGTAAAGCATCGGAGCCGGATCGATAATTTTTTCCTCTTGCGAAATATTAGAAAAAAAAAAGGGAACAACTCGAATTTTTAGCATTTGCACCGTGTGCATGATGATAGCAAGAGCAGTAGCGCGCTAATGCCCCCGAGCGTAAGATAAAAAAGATACTTCAGAATAGCTCCATGCGTATCGTGGCCTTTCCCTGGCGCCAGAATTCTCCAGCGAATCATAATGCCGAGTATGTCGGCAATGGCGGCGCACAATGCTGGAAATCTTTTCGTTCGCGACGGACATTGCAGGAAGATCTCCAAGTTAGTGCAGTATGAACGTAAAAAAAAATTGCTGATGGTCATCTTGTAGAAGTAACGGAGTGCTTATTTTGGTGACGAATGGGCTCGCCAAATTCGCGCTAAGACATTTACTAAGTTGAAAAACCGCCATAAGGTAATGCCAATAGCCTTTTAGACTTCTTTCTTCCGCGATGTAACCTCGAAACTTCTTCTTGGACATTCGCTTGCCGCCTCGCAATTTCATCGAGTCGATAGCGCGCAGAAATCCCTCCATTAATTGCTCCTTTCGATATTTGCCGAATCCACCTGCAACACAGTAAGTTCCTGACATGACTTTAAAGCCGTGGTTTGGTGCCGAGTCGGGATCGATCCAAAGCAAGTCGAAAGTTAGAGTTTTCTTTTGAGTTACGATTTGAAGGGTAAGCACAAGTTGTCAAGCTAAATAAAAAGGATAGAATACGTCTACACTATTACGATTGAACCATAAGTGTGGGTCTTTATTGGTAACGTGTTTTCGCATCTCCTCTTCAACGTCACTTTCGCTGTCCTCTTCGGGTTCTTCAGATTCAAACCCTTCGCCACCCGACTCATCGTTACTGGACGACGAAAAAGTATGAAAGTGAGGAACTAACGATAAGAGCTATTTTATTGTCTCTACAACACGGGGAAAGGCCGATAGGTAAGGACGAGACTTAAAGAATCAGAAAAGTCAAAGTGAGAAATACCAGCACGCCAGTCGTTTTGTAGGCCTAATGATAATATTGCGAATAAAATGTCCGCTGCGCGTTAACAGATATCTAAGTAGTTACGCAATCGAAGAGAGTAAAGTTTTAAACCGTAACATTCCCCATTGATGATATCTCGCGCGCCTCGATTTTTTGGCATGTAGTCTTTCTTGTTTTTCTTCGTCTGTTTCTTCTTGCTGGTCGAGCCTTCGGTCTTAGATCCCGGCTCTTTTGGTGCAGCTGGTGGAGCGGAAGGAGGATCCTGCGAAGCATTGCGAGTTAAATCTATCACCTTATCCTGTATAGCCAGAAGAACAGCCTTCTCCTGCGGAGTAAAGTTTCCCGCTTGTCCTATGGTGAAAAAATTTTTAAAGATGTTGTTTGCATTGTCTTGCGAAGGAGTAGAACAACTAGAACTGCTATTTTGTTGTTGTCGATTGTTGCAGGAATTTATTGTGTCGAACGCCTTTTTGTCATTCGCATGTGCCGCTATTCGCCGCGCTTCCATTGCTTTCTTTGTGCTGCCAGGTGGTCTGCCGCGCCGCTTGCCATCTTCTGTTGCTTTTTTTTTGTTGTCTATTACTGAAGTCGACGTAGTAGTTCGATGTGTAGCTGCAGAAGGTCTCGCTGAAGTCGCCCCTGCACTGACTTCAGTTGGTGTAATGCTACCAGTTACAAATTGTACGTCGGGATCAAACGAAGTCCCCGCATGAACGGACATTCCACCAAGAACTTGGCCAAAGCTTTGCGACAATGATGAAGACCTTGCTCCAAGCGGGGTTCTCCACGTTGATATGCCACCATCCTCCCAAACGTCATTGTCGTCGTCGATTCGATATCTCGTTTTTTCAGCATTGTCCTCTTCTTGGCCTACGGTAGGAGGTGAAATTTTTTCATTTTCCTTATTCTCGGCTAGTGAAATGTTCGTTCTGACGAAAGGCAGTTTCGTCGAGGCGCCTACTAGATTGACAGGTTGAATAGCAGGCCGGAGACAAGTAGTTCCATCTTTAGAAGACCCAAGTACTTGCGAAGCGCTTTGAGATTCCGCCAATGTCGGCGCTCGACGTTCATCAACAGATCTCCCGATCGGCACTGCGCGACCAAGTACAGAAAGTTTGTCAGAAACCGTTCTTGCAAGTTCTTTTTTTACAGCCGGCAGATGCGTAATACCTCGCGCCCGCATAGCAGCCGCGTTTCGCGGAGGACTGAGTTCTAGTTTAATTACTGGCTCGTCAACGTCGTCAGAAGTGGTTTTAGTGGCTTCTCCTTTACCAGTCACTGACGCGGCTGTTGATTGTTCTGGTATAGAACGACGTGTTGTAGATGCTACCGGAAGGAAGGAACCCTGGCAAGACTTTCTAGCCGAAGCAGTAGCCTGAGAAGGCCGCGGACTATTTGTGAGACGAGTCCGCAATAACGATTTCATTTTAGCGCCGGATTCTGCCGTTGAAGTCTCCTGAATCAAAGTATGATCATTCGACTTCGGTATTTCGTTCGTAGCACTACCGCGCTCTTCGCCAAACGTGCTACAAACATTTTCATCATTGTCAGGAGGCGTTTGAACGAGAATAAAACCAGAGGTGCCGGAACTTCCTCCCGAAGTATTTCCTAAATCGACGCCAAATATTCGTTTAGAAAAGCTCGTAGTGTAAGATATTCGATCTTGCGAAGCTGTACATTCGCCCTTTCCGCGTGCGGGTCGTGCAGGTCGTAAAGAAGTATCGCCTCTAGATTGGCCGGCACTACTAGAAGATTTATCCGCGTTGCCTGTGATCGTTGGCATTGAAGACTTTTTAGCAGTAGTTCGTTTTGTTCCCGCGGAGATTTCTTCACAACATTCATGCTGCGATGTCAATTTGACAGATTTCGGCCTCGGTTTTGCAGACGATCTCGAGCTTGTTGCAGGTACTGCGGTTTTCGATTTCCCTCCCGCATTGCATTGCAAGGAGGACGTGAGAACTGTAGATTCTTTCTTAGCAGATTTCTGCGGCTTAGCTTCCTTCTTGTCTTTTTGCGTTCTTTTGTTTGATGCTGGCTCCAAAAAGTCTTGTCCATTTCCAGCGTAGTCTTCTCCAAATGCGTCAATAAACAGTCTTTCGTCGCTTAATGCGAGGGATCTGTAATAAGTGATGACATTACGATATAGAGAATAAATAACTCTCAGCAAAATCGAAAAAAAAAGACTTCACTAACCTAGAAATAATTGTCAGCGTCTATCTCTCATCGCAATATTCGTCAAAAACATAGTGATAAAAAGTGCTTTGACAATAAAAAGCAGTAAGAACAATAAGAACTCTAATACCTCTTCTTAGTCTGTTTAGGCTTCAGGTTCTTTTCAATTACTGACCGGGAAGCACCTGTCGCCGCTGAGGCCCTGACGAACGAAAAGTGTTTCATGCAACTTCGAATTTATTATCTCTCATGACTCATTTAAAGTCGTGCCTTGTTTAAAAATATTGCAAGAGGAAAGACAAAAACAACGTCACGAATCGACACTAAGCAGCTGCAGATCTACACAAAACAAAGAGTTCACTAAATCAAAATTACTTCTTCATCGACGGCTGATTTTTGCCAGTCGATTTCTCATTCGATTTGGCGGCAGTGGCCTTCGGCCCCTTCTTGGGAGGCATGGCGCGTAACTGAGATCAATTTTCCTTGTTCCTTTGGGACTACAAAATGCCTGACCGGAGGCTTGGCCAGACAGCTTTTTATCAGATTGTGAGCGGTTGAATAAACGGACGCTGCAAGAAAGTCTTTCGAAAGATGAAATGGTTCTTCGGGTACTCACTGCCAGACGTTACGATCGACAGCAAGTCTTGAGAACAACGAAGGCAACGGCTACATTTTTTTCTTGATAGAGGCCTGACACCTTGAATATGATTTTATTCAATTACTTCGAATTAAAATTTTTATTTAATTATTTTTTAATCACGATTTCACTTTTATGATATTAAGATCGTTAAATATCACACAGTATGGATATCAGCCATTCTACAGATCTTTCTAAATTGCAAAACGGCATATCGGGCGGAAAAAAGGTTATTTAATTTTGAAAGAGCTTTCTAAAAAATTGCAATTAAATCAAAGAGCTTTCTAATGGTCAATATGTAAAGAGCTTAATAATTATTTAAAATCTCTTATAATTTTCCTCTAGAAAGCTCTTTTGTAATTTGTCGGTAGCAGCGTAAAACTCGTTCTCATTCGGAGTAAGAAAATAACAACCGATTTTTTTTAATTATAATTAAACATTTAATTAATTTCGCAAGCGAGACGACAGAAAGATCTTTTCTGCGGAGACCAAATTCAGTGCATTGCAACCAGGACAGCCTTACAGGTCCTGCAAGACTCTTCCGCAGAACACACGAGCGAAACGAGATCGCGGTAGACCGTCTTTTGGTAGTTCATTCAGGACTTCACACACCAAGAAAGCAGTTGCAGTACAAGTTGTTGTTCGTCTCCATCAATCGATAAGGTTCTTAAATCGTAAGATTACAGTTTGACATGCCTTAGTTAGAAAAATCTTCGTCACTACTGAAGTCCGAAGCTACCCATTCATCCTGATCAGTCTCCTTCGTCGATCCATCGTTATTATTGACTTGCTTGGGCTGCATGAGAGCGTGCCATTGCTGATTAGTGCTGCCTGAAGACGGTGACAACGGAGAAAGAGAGCCCGAAGATAAAGTCTTTTTTGAATCTTCATCATTTTGTGCAGCAGTGCTTGTACTGTTTCGGAACAAGGACACTGAAGATTTCTCCAATGCCCCCGACTTTTCTTCTTCGCTCTGCTTTAAGCTATTGAAGGCTCTGGCCTTCACAACATATTGCGGCGTATCCGTACTACTTGATGGCTTCTCCTTGAGTTCTTGCTGCAATTCGGCTGGCTGGAAAGAAAGTGTAGCGAGTAGATCGTCTCCTTTCTTAAGAGGTGGCTTTTTTTCCAGGTCAGACGGCAGCGTCGATCTTCCACAAATTTTCGTTGTAACGCACGTCTTTGGCTCCGTTGGTTATGAGAGGAACTAATTGAAAAGTTGAATCTTATATGACCACGCTCAGGCATTTATGATGATCGATCTATCTAATTCACACACTTAAAGACAAGCGTTAGTGATACTCCTAGCACTGCCTTAACGGTCCAGACCGCTCTAATTCCGCGAGTTGTTTCTTCGGAATTTTTTTCGGTGGAACAAGAGGTAAGGAAGAAAGACGAGCTGCCCAGAAGTCGTTCTCTGAAATAGGGACCATTTGTCCTGCCCCCGGGAACGAGTCTGAAGCAGGCGCCAAGTGCCGGAAATATCGAGGCATAGTCGATGATGCTCCTTCTTCATTTTGCTTTTGATGCAACACACAACAGTGTGCTTCGACGACTCCGCAGACAACGCAATATTTTTTTTCTTCATTCGGATTCGGAACAATGAGATCATCCACGAAATTAGAGCGATTATTTAATAGGCCGTAGGTCAGTAATGTTGATTCTCAGAGTGACGTTTATGTCATTTCGGACAAGAGTGCCTATCAGAAAAATTCATAATTTTGTTCTCCAGCCAAAATTCTCGAAGCCTCGTGTGCCAGTGCATACGAGTAACCTCACGCTGCACGCTCCATCCACATCGCTCGAATTCTCTTGGTCCGCTGAATTGCAACTGATTCTCAATGACGAGGCCTCGTAAGCGCGTAAGTTCGTAGGCTACGTCTTCTGTCAGCGCCCACCGCGCTCGCGTAGCTCGAGTGTTCTTCACAATTGCTGATACATCTACTGGTTGCGTAAACTTGGTTGCCTCAGGAGCAACGTACAGTACACAAAAATCACTTGCCACCCATTCCCCAGGATAATACGCTTTACAGTGACTGGGGTGCCGGTCACAAATGAATAAAAGTTTCCACAACGATCGGTCGTACGCCGGTAAGGTTTCTTTGAAAGATCGCCAACGACGCATGACGACGCTTTCCAAGTAATGACGAAAATCTTCGCTGTTCATTGACCCACAATGCGCCCACGGGTGGCATCGTGCCTCAACGTCCTGTAGAGATCAAGATGAAAGAAAGGTAATGCATGTAAAATTTAAGACAGCAAGAAAGCAATACTGACATCGGAATAACAACTCGCGAAAAAATTCGCATTTTCTGACTTTCTGCGCCAAGATTAAGCTCCTGAAAACGTTTTTATTACCGCGCGTTTCGAAATACAAGCAAGCTGACTTGTAGCTTGCTGGGCGCTAGCAAGCTCAAAGCAACCCCTATTTTGTGTTATTCCGAAGCAAGGAAAGAGCGACTATTCCGCAGCAGCAAGAAGACTTTTTAGAACGCTGAGGGGGCAGTGTATGAGAGGCGGCGGCTATAATGAGAAACCAACGTTAAAAGTTCTACTCTTAAAATGAGAAAATTTGCCCGAAAATTACGATCCCCCGCACCCCCGGGCTGCCCTTCCTGAGGGCAACAGAATGACGCCACAATATTTAAGACAAGCAGCGCAGGCCTAAATAAAGACTTTTCCAAGGCGGTCTTAGTTTCTTATTTTAAGATTAAGTAGCAAAGTCAATTGAAGAAAACTTTAAGTGGGGAACCAGGGCGAAAACTACCATCGTTAGCGAGGCGCACGGTAGAGCGGCCATAATTTAAATTTTGTTTTCTCCTACTGCCGCCCGACCTGAATAATTTTCGTGGTTTACCCCGCAGTTCCGGTAGCAAGTTAGATGATTATTTTAATAAATGGGGACGTTTTTTTGAAACGTCCCCCCCAAAGAGAATTAATACGTCACGTGCTGTTGGCATAGTAAAAAATCAACTCTCAGTATTTTGTGCAGTAGAATCTCAACTCACAATAAGAAATGATCACAGACAGAGATACAGAAGCAAGGAAGACTCAAATTGTTGCATCAAAGGATTACCACCCTGCAGACAATATTCCGTGCCAGGAACAAATTAGTTAGGGGCAAAGCTTGAAGCTTGGGCTTCTTATGCGTATGGGTCTCAGCTGCCTATTGTGGGTAGAATTCAAACTTGAGCCAAACCCGGAGGGGTTTGGCGTGATGACAAAGGTCCAAGAGAAGAATCGTTTCATCAAGTCTCAATGCTCATCAAGTTAGTTTCCACTTAAATAGCTGCTGTCTCTCGTTTCTCAAACAACAGACTCAATTGCGCACACAAATGAAAATCAGGCACAACTAACACATGCGTTACTCAGTTACCCAAACATGCTTTTTCAAATCCCAGTGGAGTGATGCAAAATTTTCACAAGAATAATTTTGGTCACAGATATGAAGATAGACTTGATGTTCAAGTTACAAAAAAATACTTTCACTCGTGTAAGCGAAATTGTGCATACTGATGTTTGAAAAAACTTACTTTCTCGCCACCCAAAACTGTGCAACTTACTCTGTGCAGAAATACTCTTTTTCAAGGACAAGAAAAAAACAACTTCACTTCTTACCGACCAAGTTTTTGATGCTCGATAACAAAGAATATGCCAGCCTTGCTCTGTGTGTTCCCGTTTACAAAAATAATTGATCAATGCAATGACGTTTCTGTACACTGAGCCTTAACTACTGAAAACTGTACAAGTATTTAAAAGCTCTTTTGAATGCCTTTTCACTTCTCCCTCTTTCACTCGTGCTGGCTTTTGCAGAATCTGCTCCCTGTTCACACTGTCCAAACAAAATTCCCTGCCGTTTTCTTCACTTCTTAGCAAACTTCACTGTACAAAAATAGCAGTCGTTCCTCTTTACTAGAAACGAAGCTGCGCTTTCTGGGGACCGAAAGATTAGAATTCTTGCTGTTCAAAACGTTGATCACCGAAGAAGTGGCACCAAAGAAGAAGTTGCTCTTTTGTAATTCACACCACTAGAAACCACCGAAAATTGCGCTGTCCAGCTAGCTGTTTAACAATTATTCTTGCAGACCGCCGGGCAAAGTCGATGGGAAGTTTTTAGGTCGTGCAAGCGGAAAAGTAGTGGAGACCAGACCGGAAGACTTTGTTTTTGATACTGATACTTTCTTTTTCTGGTCGACACTACTCCGAAACTTGTTCTGCAGAAGAAGTTGAAGAAGAAGCAACTGCTGCAGTCTCCGACTCCTGTGTAGTAACATGTCTGTACAAGAAATTGGTCACCACCTCCTGCACTTGCTCCACCAGAATACCCAAATTGGCAAGTAGAAAGAGCAAAATGAGTGTGACTTCTCTTGGGTCCTTCGTGGTAGCGTCCACAGGATTCGCCGGGCCAGGAATATGAGCCACCTCCAACGGGCCTTCTTCCCTCAGCTGCTCAAGATACTGGTAGTCGGTCTGTAAGTTCCTCTCCGTAGGCTCCCCCAGCAAATTCTTGCTGTCTGTCAAATTCAGCATAGGCGTCTTGATGCCCACCAACTGCAAGTCCAGGCAAATTTGCCGCAAGTAAGTTAGCTCCGAAACCACCACCCGTTGTCCTAGCAATTCTATGCCGCTACTCGAACTAAACACCCTTTTTGGTATCTTCGAAAACAGGGTAAGAGTTGTGGTTCGATCTCTGATTGGACCAGTCAGTCCAGCCGCGCCACCAACTCTGCTTTTGCTCGCATCACTGATTCCAAACTCCACATGTTCCAACAAATTTCCCAGACGGTAAACTCTTCTCGTGCTGCTACCGCTAAGGCAGGAATGAAAAATGAGATTGTTTATGTCATCGATGAACTCACGAAGAAGAGTAGTTCTACCAGGTTCTTCTAGTAGATGAACTTGTCCCGCTAGTTGCGAAAGCTGTTGTAGCAGAATCCCGTTGCATTTAGTCATCCACATCATCTCACCCACTCGTTTTCTAAATGGACTCTGCAGCTGCTTAAGCAGGAACTTGTTCGTCATCGTACTTTTTCGATAGTAGTAGTCCTCACACTCTGCCAGTGTCAATTCTTTGACCTTGTTGATGTACTTCTCCTGCGACACGTAAATCACCACGGCAGAAGAGTAAGCATTTCTTTCCATCAGTAGTGGAACCTCAAAAGGTATCTTCTCAACTTGAGGGTAGTCTTCTGGCGCAGTCGTGGCTGTGACTCCTGTCCTTGCTTCTACCGCGCTAAGTTGTTTCTGGCTGGGAAAGTTGTATAACTGAGGATCGATCTTCGCTTCTGCTTCTTCAATGTCAGCTCTTCTAACATGGAGTTGCTGTGCTACGATTTGTTGGTCAAACGCCTCGGGTACGCAAATCATCTCGCGCCCGACATAAGAATCCCTAGTGCACTCGGAAAGGACTGCGAACGAACCCAGTGTGTATTTCTGATACACAATCATCAGCCTTAAATACATGAAGTTGTGACCAGTGTGCACCGCATCGTCAACGTGGCTTCCTAAGCCGCCTAGTAGCGTGCTCTCTGTTTGCGTATGGTTCGCTAATTCGTCCATCATGCTTTCCGTGCGCGGATTGGCGAATGCAAAACTGGTGCCTATCTGTACAGCTGCTACTGGGGTTTTGTATTCCTCCTCTGTGTCATAGGCGTCGAAGTCTAGAAGATGGACACGTCCCTCAACATCTGCTGCTGGAAGTTTCTCGATCAGCGACAGCTTCCAATGTAAGTAGTGGTCCGCCCAGCCCTCCTTAATGGCTTTCCTCTCCATCGGCGAGGCATAGTACAACCAGAGACAGGGGTCTGCCTTCGACTGGACAAAACCCACCTGACGCAAAGTCTGCTTGTAGGACAGCCCCCAAAGACGCGGCGCATCCTTGAAGCCGTAGAGGCGCGACGTCATCTCCATCACTTCATCGAAACCGAATTCCTGTAGCGCTAAAATCGACTCGGGCACCTCCATGAAGACTTCCTCCGCATCCTCTCCATATGCCTCCTGAAACTTCATCGACCGTAAAAATGCTGTACCTACATCTCCCAGCATAAGCGGAGTCTCCAAAGCCTGCGACAACTGCGCCAACATGAGTAAAGAAGCATCGTGCAAAGTGTAGCTGCGACAGGGCAGCGGACTGCCTTGGCCTTTCTTGTGGAACCGCTTGTCCTCGAATCCTCTGCTCACCCAGCGACACTTCACCTTCTGTATCTTCCCCGAAGCCCTGTCCACCTTGATTGTCACCACTAGCCGACTCGTAACTACATTCTTGCCTTTCATCTGTGCTTTCTTGTAGCCTTTGCCGAAAGTTTTGTGGGCAACCACCTCTGCCACCTCCGCTCGCAGCGCAGCGTAGTAATACGCAAAAATGCCTAACTCCCTTGCCACGCTCTCGGAAATGACTACTGTTCCGGACTTTGCCTCAGCAGCATAGTCTTCCATCCTGCTGTGCGATTCCTCGGTCACCTCGATGAAGATTCTGGCAACGTAAACCGCGCCTGCTTGTTGATGGTCTGGCTGTTCGTCTTGACATGCTACAACTTCTGGAGCCAAATTCTCACCCCATCTGACAAAGATGTGCTTGCCCTTGCGATTCGTGTGCGGTGCCTTGCTTAAACCAACTTGAACTGAAGTCGCTACATACTTCAGATCCCGGTTATCCTTGGCACTCAGCTCCTTTACCAACTTGCCGTTCAGCAATTGCGTAAACTGGAAACACAGCTGGTCTCCTCTCCTCAGATCACCTTCTAGCTTCGTTCGAGGTTGTGCTAGTAGTTGTTGCTCGACTTCAGGGAGAATAGAAAAGTCGTATGCTCTTGCTTTTCCTAAACAGGGCAGGTCGGCAGACTCGGTCAGCAAGACTCTACCATGTTGAAGATTCAAGTCCACCGCTGAATCGTATCTATTCATCTTTGATAAGATGTCTGGATGCAAAAACCCGCCGGAAATGGTCTCGTCCTCGTCATCCAGTGAGACACTGTCACCACTACCTTTTGCTGCACCCGAACTGGTAAAGCACGTTGCAGTAGCAAAATTCCGAGCTCGCTTAGTTGAGAATCGCAGCGAATCAGAGTCAGAAGAAGTTGTCTGCTGCGAAGTTGTAGATCGTGGTCGTTTCTTAACCCCATCCACCACTGACATTCGATCCTGGAAGACAGAAGCACTCTCCGTAAGACGTTGTCTTAACGATTCCAGACGCTTTTGCTCCGCCTCTGTGTACTGTTTGCTCGCAATTTCCTGTTGTAGACTGTTGTAAACAGAGAGATGCCGGTCTGGATTTTCTTCTTGCTCTTCTTGCTTAGTTTCCTCAGAAATCATCTTGAAGTACGCCTTGTGCAGAATCCACTTCCTGTTGCCCTGTAGGGTCTTTCCTTGTGGTGCCTTCCTCCAATTATCGATGTACGCATGCTCGAAACAATGAGGATCATCGGCAAAGTGGTACAGAAGGTAGCGCAAGCTCTGCAGCTCGTTGGGATTTGGTCCATCAGGCCAACCAGTTGGATGAGGAAGTACAGTCTGTGGCTGCGGTAAGACCAAGATCCAACTCCTGTTTTCCTCATCATAAGTCCACCTCTTGGGAGTTGCTGGAGGTGGAGTCTTCGGCTCCTCAGACACAGCGTGACTTGAAGAACTCAGTGGCGGAATTGCTGGAGGAGGTTGCGGGGTCGGCTTCTTGTAGAAGATGGCCACTCCAGTCCACCTCCTATCACCCTGCAATCTATTGTCTACTGGTAATTCGTTTTGTGAGCCGTCGTCACTGCTAGACAGAAGATTACGAGATCGCTGTGTAGGGACTGTTTTCCACTCGTCTTCGAGTGTAAAGACGGAACCATCGTCACTAAAAACGGCTTGCGTGAATCGCTTGCTCGTCAACTGAGACAGAGTGGGCCCATTCTGTGTTTCCACCGGTGAATACTTCAACAGTCGAGGTTGTACGTGTACCCGCTTCCACGTGTAGTCGTCTTCAGCCCAATGATCAAGGAGTGTCGACTCCATACTAGATGATGAGGATGTAGACTCACCTAGACCGTTAATTGACATGTCTTGTGGCTCCTGAACTACCGAAGTATCCCCGTCATCGGTTTCCTGGCAGAACAATTCAAGTTCATTATCGTCCTTACTCAAATTGATATCTTCTCTTCGACCAAAACGCGCTGCTGGAGTCAGAGAACTTCCAGGATGTTTTACAGACATATGCTGTATTAGTCTGTTGCGGCTTGTGAACTTCTTCCCACAGATGCCGCACTCTGGCGCATGACTCCATTCTCCTAATCCTTGATTCCGTCTTGTACTCACTCCACCTTGTACACTTTGAAGTGGTTCAGTTGTTAGTCGGGATTTAATGGAAGCCATGAGCGCGTCATCTGGAAACATTTCTAAAACTGTACTCGTTGGCTCCTCAATGGTGTTCAACGCAAGATCAGTGACAGCATAATTTTGCGTGCTGCCTCCTACGTCCACATCCACCGAGTCAGAATGGATAGCCACTACTTTGCCGTGCACGTACTGTTTGAGTGTCCCATTGGGACGACGTACTAGAACTGACATCTCCGGCGCGAGTTGATCTAGAACCGTTGCTCTTTTATAGGTACGGCTGACCTGCTCTCTCCGCTGAAGTAGTCCTTCTACATCTTTCTCCCTAATAGCTCTCAATGCTTTCCGTTGTATCGTAGCACGCTCGGCCATCCACTTAGGAATTTGTTGACCTAACTGTGCTTCACGATAACGCTCAAAAAGAGACACAAAGTCGCGTCCTTGTCGGGTGAAGGAGAGATTTGCCAGGTTTGCGGGAGTCAAAGATGTGCCGAGAGCTGGTGTGTTGTTGATCTGGAAAAAGTACTCCGCAAAGAGCATTTTTTTAAATTCAAAGACTTCTCTTTCCTCATCACTATCGCTGATAGTCTCCTTCACGTCCTGCATGATGTCCTGTAGTCCGACTTGTTGAGAAAGCGACCACAAAAACACTGCAGCCCAGCGGTCATAAGGATAACAAGTGATCTTGTTGATTCCTCGTCTGGTGTCGCCGTTGGTGCGCTCATTCTTAGAGATGCGATGAGCACTCTTGAATGGAATTGCGTGCGGCACTATATTATTCTCTTGTGCCACCAAGTTGTAGTCATGATTATTGAACTCGCTACCTTGGTCAAAAAGTAGTTTCTGCGGCACTCCCTGTGACAAAGTCTTCATCCCAAGAAGGCACTTTATTGCTGCTACTACTATTCCTTGGCTGCTGTCGACGAGCTCACCATGTCGTAGTCGGGTCACCGCGTCAATGATTGTCACGGCTCGCCCTAGCGGTGTCATCAAAGAATCGGTGATCCAGATCTGATTTTTATCGATTCCGAACTGGAGAAGGGCTCCGCGCTCGCGGATCTGTGCGACCTGATCATACAGCTTGCATTTTCCACAGCGACTGCGCACCACTTCGAGATACTTCTGCGCTGCAGGACGAAACAAGTACTTGATGGCAGCCGAATGCCCCAATCTCCTGTGCTCATTTTCAATCCACTGTTTTTCCGCCTCACTCAAGCCAAACTGCTCTACTGCTTGGCTGCGTACACTTTCTTCACTGTCTCCACGAGGCACGCCTTCCCCTTGTGATTCAAAAGCAACACCAAGACCGAAATCATTATTGATGCTGAAAATAGGAGTAGTTGTTGCAGAAGTTAGAAGATCTTTTCCGTAGACTCCCTCTGCTATCTGCTCTTGATTCTTTGCAATCCGATCGGCTTGCGCTAGATAAGTACTTCCTACTGCAGTCGCCGCATCAACGACGTCGTCCAGTGTTCTGCTCGGATACTCATGAAACGTTGTCTCACTCGTAGGAGCAAACCGCACTTGCGAGTGCAACCACTTCAGCTTGTGCAAATAGGCACGCGTGGTTCCATGATCCAAACTAGGCTTCATTCGTAAATCGGTATACCACGAAAGTTGTAGTCGTCCGGTTGTGCACCTAAGTGCACAATGCGGCTCTCGTGGATTGAATCGTGTCCAAGACTCAAAAGTGTTAATTGCCTTGCAAGGACGACTGATACCCTTGTCATCAGGCATGTTAATTGTGCTAGAAGGTTGTAGTCCCGATACTAGATGAGTTGTGCACCAATCACCACCTCCTTCCATTGTCGTTGCATAATCTCCAATGCTCGTAGTCCAGGCAGAAGATCCAGTGCGATCAGAAGCATAAACGGCATTACTGTGAGGATCTATCTTGATGAGACACCCAAGATGTTGCTTCGCCTCTGTCGGCTTCATCAGAGCTAACGCCTGGGCCATTTTCGGGCAGTTCTTCATCACCTCGGTAGCGCTGATGCTTTGCTTCCCAACCTGTTCGCCAAGAGTTCGCCATGGTGCAAAGATGAATGAGTTGTGGCCCTGTCTCTCCAGTTGTCGTTTTCCTATTCTTGAAGCGCGCCAACCGTCGATGTTAAGATCCACAAAATGTTTCACGGTAAGTGTGAACCGCTCCCACTGTTCTCTGGTCCAATCACATGCATGAGCTCGTACTGCAAACACCCGCTTGACCTCCTTAAGAAGTTTGTTGTCTATATCAGCCAGGCTTGGAAACTTCGGCTCCTTCCCAGCGTCACTTATTTTCTTATCAGCAGAAGTTTTTGAAGCAGAAGTTGTAGGTGTACTAGCTAAAAGTGTTGGAGGTCCAGATGTGAGATAAGACCTACCGTAATTTTCCACAATCGTAGAAGTAAAATTCGACTTCGTTCCTTTCTCGGAGAAGAAGAATTCGCGTCGTGGTAAACGTGGCTGTCTGACTAGTTTGATGTGGTCGGGAGGACGCACAAAACGAATCGGCAGTAAAGAAATAGCTCCATCTGCTAATTCGTAGTTCTTCCCCCATACAGAAACGAACGGCGGCGAAATACTAGTGATGAGATCCACCCTCCATCGTTTAAAGAAAGGAAATCCCAGTAGTGGTGGCACTTCGCCAACCGTCTGCTGCTCTACTATTTCGAACGTCTCGTGGAAAAGACGAGGATCATCTCTAATGTTGAAGAACATCTTTGCGCGCCTTAGTGCCACTGGTGCTGCGCCATCACTCGGACCTCCAGAAAGAGTACCAAAACGCGCCGGATCATCCACAAGATAGGCTCCAGTGGTACTTAGTTCCTCCACTAGTGGTAATAATGATCCAGGCAACACGCAGTGTGATGAGCACGAATCGAGTGCAGCTAGTCCTCCGCTTCTAGTGTTGTTTTCTTGCGAGTTCTTCACGTTCTTGGCTGCGTGGAGAACCCACTCAGAGATGTTACCTTCTTGAAAGAGTGCAGCGCCTGTTTGTAGAATGTCAGATTCTCGCGCAAGTTTCTTGAGCCACGCTCTCCTCCGATTCATCGTCTTAAATTTCTCCAGTTCTTTCATCTTCCTTACTGGGGATCTCTTCTTGTTAGTCCCTGCTACTTGGTCGTTATTGAGAATAGGAAGTTGTTGAGATGAATGTTTTTTCTCCGCTTCGACTGTGCCAGCGTTCTTCTCCAGTTCTATGGTAGGAGACGACACCGTGTTAGGAATAGTAGTTCTTGTATCCCTTGTCAAAGGAGAAGAGGTGTTGTCATCTTGGTTATCCCAGTCCTCTTCAACGTCCATAGGATCAGAAAGAGCATCAAAACTGTTTTTATGCAGACCAGAGGTCAAACCTGGTCCCGTAATACGACTGGTTTGTAGTTTTTCATCCTGATCACCACTAGAAGTAGAAGTAGAAAAAGTTGCTTGCTTCGCATCAGGCGGAGAAGTTGCAAATTTCTCCGACTGATACTTTCTTTGCCGCCCACGAATCTCTGTCCATTCTTTCTGAAAATCAAACTTATGGGGCAGAGCGTTGCTTTTCTCTGATTTTTCTGTAGAAGAATTATTCGGTCCACTGATGACTGGTGGACAAACTGTACGGTCGACATCCTGCACACTAGAACCCTTCTTACTACTGGAAGAAAATGTAGTAGAGGAAGATGTCACGTTGCTTTCGCATTTCTCTTTATTACACACAGCAGGACCCACTTCAGCTACAACTTTCACCTGTTGTGCCTGCGTACACAAAGAACTAGAAGTTGCGTCACCGCTCCCAATTCTGGCACCACTAGAAGTAGCTGAAGAGGAATCCTTCTTAGTTTTTCTATTCTTTCTTCTCTTCTTCTCTACTCACTTTGGAGCAGTGGCGTTGTTCTTGTTAGTTGAAGTTCCAGTTGTACTGGCATATGTGCCAGCTTTCTGTGCTCCGATACGCTTGGCTCGCTCTTCCTTGCGTTTCTTTGCTAGATCTGGATAATCTTTTTCGAACGCTTGCATACAGGTTGCATATTCTTTCTTCGTATGCTTTTTGCTACACGTTCCTTTAGTGCGCAGATTGGTACACTTTTCACCAAAGGGACACATTGCTGGATCTCTGTTAGGAGTATCATCAACTTTGTTGCCACCGCCAAACAGAACCGTGCCAGCAGCTGCGCTTGTAGTAGATGATGGCTCAACGCTGAAGAAGTCTCCTAATTTACTAGATCGGCCTTCCTGTCGTCGTTCTCCGACTAGGTCTAGTAGGTCTCGGAGGATGTTTTGTTCTTTTCTATCCGGACCCATCACGCCACGATATGGAGTACCATCACGATTATATCGCTGAAGATCTCTGATGTGGCGTTCATCAACTTCTCTGATTAACTTAGAGAACTTGAATTGGTTGCTCTTGTTGAGAGAAGCTCTAATATTCGACTCCTCTCCTGGTGCCAACAACATGCCCTTCAACGCTGTCTCGACCTTGCTGAGTTCTCTGCGTGGCTCCTCCGCAATAGTGTCTTCTCGTTCATACACAATGCGAAGAGTAGCTAGAAAATCCTTGGCCGACTGGTTGGCCAGCCGCGCCACCTGTGGAAGATCTTGTTCTAATTTGCTGCAAATGGTGCTAACAGTTGGAGCATATTCCTCTTGGATGGCTTTCATCATGCCGGTCAGCCCCTTGTTGATTTCTTTTTCTGCTAGTGCTGCTGCTCCTCTTTCATGCTTAAATGCAGTCCTGAGGAGACTGTTGCCCAGCTGACAGTTAGTTGCACCAAGTCGAAACAGCTCTGACGCCCAAGCCCAAACCAGCAAGCCCCAGCGGTGAAAAGGTGTGTCGTCCATGATCGGAGGATGATCCACTTTTCTGAGGATCTGCTGGTCAAACGACGTCTCCACCATCCTGGGTTCGATCAACAACAACTGATCCCAGTCCAACTGGTCGGCTCGTGCTAGAGGATCACTACTGCGAGTTGTCACAGTCTTGTATTCCTCGTTGCTGTGGTTGATGATTTTCAACTTCTTTGTACTAGCCTCCTTCTCCAGTTGTTCAATCTTCTGAAGAAGTAGTCTATTTTGATCCTCCAAGCGACGCTCATAGTCTCGTTTTTCCAACGCCTCCAAACGTGCAATTTTTCCATCGATGCTCTCCGGGACGTCGTCCTTGTCTTCCTCTTCACCATCGGAGTAGATGCTGAATAGCTCTACTGGCTTCTGCGCCTCTGGTTGAGGAACTGGCTGAACCAATGGCTTTGGTTCTGGTGGTTGTGTAGACTGAGGAGCTGTTGGTTGTGGCTGCCTTGCAGGGGTAGCTGATAAAAGAGAAGTACAAGAAGAATGCGTGTCATCTGCTTGTAGACCTAGATCAGCAAGTTTCGCACGTTCATGACCAACTATCAGCTTTGCTATGGTCTCCTCATGTCGTCGGAGACGTGCTTCCAACAACGTCTTCTCCACCTCACTACTACCTCCACCGCCACACAAACGTCCCAGAAACTCGAAACAACACATCGTCTCGTCTTTCCAAGATAGTCGTTACTTGAAAACGCAGCTCCGTAAAACCCAATCGGAAGAGGGACCTGTGCTGTTGGCTACAATGGGTGGCACCCTTAGGGGTGATGCAAAAACGATATATAAGAAGCGCCTTGGGGTGGCCGTTTGGTCACGAGGTCCCCGCAGTGTTCGTGATCGTTCTGCCTTTGAATTCGTGTTATTGTTGAAATTCGCAATCCGTGCTGAATCGAAAAACCAAAAACACTTCGTACTCGCACACAGCTTCAATGATGTTGCGCTAACGCCGTATGACCAAAGTTGTTACTGCAAGAAGAGGACGTCGTATTTGATTTTTAGATTTTCCGTTCACTAGAAAGATGCTTCACGGCTAACTGCTTAGTTCACCGCACTCTGTGGTAGCCCGCTGACGAATTCCACGTGCTAAATTCGTAATCGTAGATATGCCGTGTACTCGTGCAGGGGCTCTGGCCTCACCATAAGAAAAACGTTAGTGCGAACTCCGATAGAAAACCACTGAAATCGTCGCTCGACTACGCTCCCCGCTCATTGATTTGTTGATTCTCGTTAGTATTTTGTATAGTAAAAAATCAACTCTCAGTATTTTGTGCAGTAGAATCTCGACTCACAATAAGAAATGATCACAGACAGAGATACAGAAGCAAGGAAAACTCAAATTGTTGTATCAAAGGATTACCACCCTGAAGACAATATTCCGCGCCAGGAACAAATTATTTAGGGGCAAAACTTGAAGCTTGAGCTTCTTATGCATATGGGCCTCAGCTGCCTATTGTGGGTAGAATTCAAACTTGAGCCAAACCCGGAGGGGTTTGGCGTGATGACAAAGGTCCAAGAGAAGAATCGTTTCATCAAGTCTCAATGCTCATCAAGTTAGTTTCCACTTAAATAGCTGCTGTCTCTCGTTTCTCAAACAACAGACTCAATTGTGCACACAAATGAAAATCAGGCACAACTAACACATGCGTTACTCAGTTACCCAAACATGCTTTTTCAAATCCCAGTGGAGTGATGCAAAATTTTCACAAGAATAATTTTGGTCACAGATATGAAGATAGACTTGATGCTCAAGTTACAAAAAAATATTTTCACTCGTGTAAGCGAAATTGTACATACTGATGCTTGAAAAAACTTACTTTCTCGCCACCCAAAACTGTGCAACTTACTCTGTGCAGAAATACTCTTTTTCAAGGACAAGAAAAAAACAACTTCACTTTTTACCGACCAAGTTTTTGATGCTCGATAACAAAGAATATGCCTTGCTCTGTGTGTTCCCGTTTACAAAAATAATTGATCAATGCAATGACGTTTCTGTACACTGCGCCTTAACTACTGAAAACTGTACAAGTATTTAAAAGCTCTTTTGAATGCCTTTTCACTTCTCCCTCTTTCACTCGTGCTGGCTTTTGCAGAATCTGCTCCCTGTTCACACTGTCCAAACAAAATTCCCTGCCGTTTTCTTCACTTCTTAGCAAACTTCACTGTACAAAAATAGCAGTCGTTCCTCTTTACTAGAAACGAAGCTGCGCTTTCTGGGGGCCGAAAGATTAGAATTCTTGCTGTTCAAAACGTTGATCACCGAAGAAGTGGCACCAAAGAAGAAGCTGCTCTTTTGTAATTCACACCACTAGAAACCACCGAAAATTGCGCTGTCCAGCTAGCTGTTTAACAATTATTCTTGCAGACCGCCGGGCAAAGTCGATGGGAAGTTTTTAGGTCGTGCAAGCGGAAAAGTAGTGGAGACCAGACCGGAAGATTTTGCTTTTGATGCCAGATCCTCTCATCAGTTTCGCTTCGTCATATTCTTCCAAAAGACTGGCGACAAACAGGAGGCCCCGTCGGTCTCCACGTGGCGGCGTTTCGATAAAACCGCGCGCGCGTCCATCTGTTTCCACTTCTTTCAGTTTGCGAGATACGCGGGAGAGGTCCTCGCCGTCTGGTTGTTTCACGCTGGTCGGCTTGTGGTCCCCTGGCCTGGCTCGTCTGTGTCCCAGTTTGGTCGGTCGGTGTTCTTCTGGTCTGGCTGCTCTTGTGTGCTGCGGCTTCTCATGTGCTCCCCTCGCGTGCTCCTGTCGTCTGTCTAATCTCTGCGCCGTGGCGCGTCGTCCCTCTGGCGGCCTAGGGTCGAGGGGGCAGAGGGTTGCCCTGCTGGGCTGTTCGCGCTGGATTATGCGGCGCACACCGCGCGCCCATCAGCGCCCACCTGCGCAGCGAGGCGCGCCGTCCCTCTGGCGGCCGTAGGCCGCCAGGGACGAGGGGGCAGAGGGCTGCCTTGCTGGGCTGTTCGCGTTGGATTATGCGGCGCACACCACGCGCCCATCAGCGCCCACCAGCGCAGCGTGGCGCGTCGTCCCTCAGGCGGCCGTAGGCCGCCAAGGACGAGGGGGCAACGCGTGACCATCTCGCCCCCCGCCCCCCTTGTACAAGGTTAAAGGTTTGCGCGACGGTGCACCAATATAACGAGCCTGCGCCGAAGAGTGCGCCCCCGGACTGTGCCCAACCGTGTAACCGTGTACAAGGGGGGCGCGGGGTACAGGGGGGGCTGGGGGATGCTCCAAACAGACGGCCGCGCAACTGAAGGACTAGCCCATGCCCCATCGTCCCTGGCGGCCTTCGGCCGCCAGCGGGACGATGCGCCAGACGGGGCGCCCTCCCAGGCTCCGGCGGTCTTCCCGGGAGATGTTCTCGGCTGAAGTTATCTCCTTGGCCTTCTGCTATGTGTGCTACCTATACCGGGCGAACTTCTGAGAGCTACAGGCGCACAGGTTTAGCCTTTCCCGTTAATGATGTCCCAGACTCTTAAAAAGGAGGGCGGGCCCGTGTCTGATGGTGTCGCCTGTCGTCTCATTCGGTTTGTATCGGTAGCCGGAGGGATTGCAGAGGAGACGGGCACGCCGAGCGAGCGGCGAAACCGATAAGGGAATGGCGAAAGCACCGGAAAAGAGCCCGGAAAGACGGAGGCGAAACCGATAAGGAAATATGAAAAGGAGGGAGGCGGACTGGCCTCGCGATAGGCGGACTGGCGTCCCAGACTGACTGTGGAGAAAAGTGGCAAAATATCGAAAACGGCCGAGAAGTACCCCTGTCCCTAAACGGTTTCGCTTAAGAGTTTCGCGAGGAAAGCATATAGCAACGAAAAAGCCGCGAAAGCTTTCGCAAAAAATCTGCCAGGTTGTTGACCATTTTGCGAGTCCCTTAGCCGTTTCGAATTCGCGGAATGTCTTCCCTTAGTGGTTTCGACTTTCATGCGGGTATCGGTTTCGAGGGGTTTAATTTTTTTCCAAAATCTCCGAAGAGTTAGAAAATGGACTAATAGAGGCATACACCAGGTCGCTTATTGTAATTCTTCCTCCCTTTTTATCTAGATTGTAGCTTATTTTTCGCAGTTTTCTGCTCTACTTATTATTTGAGAATCATTGAAGTTTTTGAATGACCTTGAAACAAGTGGGACAGCAGCTACCATTGGTCTGGCACTCTTTCTGCGACTTGACGGACGTGGCTTCCGGTGCCCGCAATTCCACCAACTACATTACTAGGCCCTTTGCAATTCCTGCGCGTTTTCGGCGCCCCGCTGCCCGCCCTTCCCCCCTTGGGAATAGCTCCCCCTGACAGCAGCCTACCCCCTCCGCATCCGGCCAGCAGCCTGTCCCCCCCCCTTAAGCTCGAGAATGGGACCCCCTGGCTCTTCCGGGATTTCTAGTGCGGATAGAATCTGGGGCAAAGCGATCGCCAGGCGGGTCCTGCTCCTGCTGGGGCCTCCGGTGGCTCCTGTGGTTCCTGGGGTTCCTGGGGTTCTTGTGGTTCTTGTGGTTCCTGTGGTTCCTGTCGTTCCTGTGGTTCCACCCCCTTGGTCGACTTTCTTTCAGGTTTGCCGCCGGGGGAACATTTTCCACCCCCTTGGTTGACTTTCTGCCGGGTTTGCTGCCTCGGGAACACTTTCTACCCCCCAGAGTGATTTTCTGCCAGGCTTGCCGCCTCGGGAACATTTTGCCGCCCCCCTTTGTTGATTTTCTGCCAGGTTTGCTGCCGGGGGAACATTTTCCGCCCCCCGGGTTGATTTTCTGCCAGGCTTGCCACCTCCTCGGGTCATTTTCCGCGCCCCTTTGTTGAATTTCTGCCAGGTTTTGCCGCCTGGGGAACATTTTCCGCCCCCTTGGTTGATTTTCTGCCAGGTTTGCGCCCTTCGTTGATTTTCTGCCAGGTTTGCTGCCTGGGGAACATTTTCCGCCCCCCTGGTTGACTTTCTGCCGCGTTTTCTGTCAACCGGGAACACATTCCGCCCCCCTCTGTGACTTTCTGCCGCATTTTCTGCCTACCCGGGAACGTTTCCCGCTCCCTGGTAGAGTTTCTGCCACCCGGGAACACTTCCCGCCCCCGTCTGTGACTTTCTGCCACCCGGGAACATTTTCCGCCCCCCTCTGTGACTTTGTGCCGCGTTTTCTGCCTACCCGGGAGGGAACATCTTCCACCCCCCTCCGTGACTTTCTGCCACCCGGGAACACTTTCCACCCCCCTCTTGGACTTTCTGCCGCATTTTGTGACAATCGGGAACATTTTCTGCCCCCCTCTTGGACTTTCTGCCGCATTTTCTGCCACCAAGAACACTTTTGCCACCCCTTCCTCTTGGACTTTCTGCCGCATTTTTTGCCAAGCTCTGGGAACTTCTGCCGAAAGAACTTTTCCCCCTCGCCGTCTTGTGGACATTTTCCGCGTCCCTCTGGAGGTTAAGACTGAGACTGAGACTCACAACCAGGGGAACGCTGCTGCCCCTCGTCCGCCCCATCAAAGCTCCCAACAAAGTGAACAGGGGAGAAGAAACTTACAACCAAGCAAATGCGCGAGGCCGTTGCCCTTTGTTGTTGTGATCTCAGTCAGCTGAACCCTAAAAAAGTTGCTGAAAGTCAAGCCATTGCCACGCTGCTGGTGCTAGCGCTATCGCGTGCTTCTCAAGTTCCTCCTACAGGCTGCTCCGATTTATTTTTGGTGGATGTGCTCACTGCGGTCACAGTTGTGCTGTCGTGCTAAATTCGGCGAAGTTGACACAGGCTGGCGCCTCCTCTGTTTACATTTTCAAAATGGTAAAGAAGCGAAACCAAATTGCCTACACGACTAGAAATCCCGTAAAGCCCAGGGGGTCCCTTTCTCGACCCTACGCCCCCCCCCCTGTCGGCAGCCCGCCCCCCCCGCCCTTTCAAAAGCCTCCTCCCCTTTTCAGCAGCCTCCCCCCCCCGCGGTCAGCAGCCTGCCCCCCTCCCCCCCGCTGCCCCCCGCGTTCCCTCTCTCCCCTGTCACGAGCCTCCCCCCCGCCCCGTTAATACTAGCCCCTCCCCCGCTGGAGGGCCCTTGTTTTCAACGCGTTAGCCTTTAGGGGTGCCCCCTTCCCCCCCACCGCCCCTCCCCTGGATTCCCAGCCCTTCCGCGCCTGCAACGGGGGCCGCGATCTCTTCGGTTTTGGTCCCCCCTGGTCTCCCTGAAAAGGTAACCGGGGGAGGACAGCAGCGACCGGGAGGCCATTGGAGGTCCCACGGGAGGCCAGTGGAATATCGTTACCCCCGTAGCAGGGGCGGGGGGGGTCGGGAGTTAAACGCCGCCCCCGTGGGCTTTCCCGTAGGCCGCTTCGCAGTGGTACCGCCCCCACCCGCCCGCGGGGTTTTTGGGCGCCGGGCCGTAGCGAGCCTGGCGGCCTCCTAGCCGTTAGGGACGGGGCCGGTGCCGCTCGTCTTGCCTCGGAAAGGGACCGAGAGCACCTAGGACCGCGAATTTCGGAGACTTGCCCTTTAGGTGCGCCGGTCTCGCCCCCGGTGCTCGCAGGTGCGCTCTTTTCTCTCGATGAAGTTTCTAGTGCTGGTTCTCTTTACGACAATGATGGAAACGGCTATTGTGCCAATTTTCGGCAACACAGAAAACTTCGTTTTGCGAAATTCCGATCTATCTTTTACGTATGCTGACATGCACACAGTCAGAAATAGAAATAGGATTTGCTTCAAATAAGCAAGATATGTCCCCCAGCACATGTTGTTTGTTCTGGAGACCCGCATGATGGTGTTTTCTCAAACACGATGGATTCCGTTTTACACGAGAGACAGTATTGAGGATGAGGAGGGTATCATGCTGTACAAGACAATCTAGACAATGTCGATCCCTTCTTCGTCTTCAACGATACGTGACGACGACTCCAGCACAAGCACAAGTGAAGTAGTTCTTGACTCCAAACAAGCCGCAAATACCACCAGAAGCACCAACTGCACCACGAGCAGCAACCAAATGGCGACATCTGTCATGACAACATCGTTTCTTGCTGGTGGGTTCGCAGGGTCCTGCGTCGACGTAGCGCTATTCCCAGTAGATACACTGAAGACACGGGCTCAAGCAAAAGGAGGCTTTTGGGCGTCTGGCGGCTTCAAAGGGATCTACCAAGGCTTGAGTGCAGCCGCACTGGGCTCGTGGCCGTCAGCGGCTTTGTTTTTCCTGACGTACGAGTCTTTGAAGCCAGTTTTTGCGAAAAAGATTGGTATGAGAAGGGAAATTGCAGTACAAGTAGATTCATTGTGCTTGTGACTGCGAAGCAGATTGTACTAGAAGATGTCATAATGTATACAAGAACTATACAGAATACATGAACTTGGTTGAGTGGGTGTATGACGATTCTCTTGGAATGTAACCATGACGCATATTGAAGATTATAGATCAATGGTTAGTCCTATTATATTTACCTCTTCCTTTTTTCTATCTTTGCTACTAGGTAGAAGGTTGGCTCCACCACAAATTTTAGATCAATGGTACTACCTCGAGTTGTCCCATTCTCTCCACTTCAACTGTTACTACTGGGAGAACCCACCTGGGCATCGGAAGCACAGCAGCAGCAGCACAGACGCGTGGCGCGACGACCTAGACGCCAAGTGGAAGCGAGTGTACAGTGGAGGCGCCGATGAATTTGACCGGCGGGTAAAATGGATGAGAGAGCAGCAAGCGAAGCGGAAAGGGCTTGGTCCTGATGGAGAAGAGGGCCGTGGAGGCTCTGGCATCGAAGCTGCCACGAATGTCGACGACTCAAGTCCAGTACGGGGTACCTCAAGATACGAGTGGTTGTCTCACAGCTGTGCAGCTTCAGTTGGGGAAACTATTGCGTGTTTGGTCCGCGTACCCTGTGAGAACGTGAAACAAAAAATGCAGGTGGCTGGGAAAAGAGTGAAGATGAAGATATGTCCTTGCTGTAGGTCCAATCCGAATCGACTAACATCATCATCATCACCATCATCATCACCATCATCATCGGCGCCATGTCTTTGCTGTAATAGAATAGAAAAGTGAATTTATTGGTAGACATGCTTCCAAAGCAAAAAATATCCTCGATGAATTCAAATTCCAATAGACTTACTTTCCCAACTAATTCCACCTCTAATCCCAACAGTACAATCGAGCTCCTCTTGCAGCACTGCGCCATCGTTCTTTAGGACTACGCTTTCGATCTACAACGCACACGGTCGCAGCTTGTGGGGATTTTATGCTGGATTCGGCAGTACCATCGCGAGAGAGATACCATTCGCTTTCATCCAGTTTCCGCTCTACGAAGGCTTAAAAGTGAAAGCCGCAGAGAGGAAGGGGAACGTTATGGAAACTTGTATTATAAGAATTATAAGTAGGTTTCGCAGATTTCGATACTCATGATTCATCCTGGTCTGTAGTTCAAGATTGTATTTTTTCACCATAACAAAACAAGAACTCAAACCAGAAATCGATACACTACGTGCGACTTCTAATACCCGCCAAGCATGTTCCGCTCTCGAAGGTGCAGCTTGTGGCGCGGTTGGTGGCGCAGTCGCAGCATTCCTCACGACGCCTATGGACGTCGCTAAAACGCGACTCATGACAGCCACAGACCCAGATATTCAACGACGATACAATATTTATGAGTAGGCTAATGGTGCTCCTGTTGCCGTTTGTTACGGCTCTCCTAAGGGAGACAGGCAGAACAAACGGGATAAGCGAACACCGAAAGCCTACCGCTAAGATATGCGCACAATGCTGCGGAAAATTGCCACAGAAGAAGGCGTCTCCATGTGGTTCGCTGGGGTGACACCGAGAGTAACGTGGATTAGTCTTGGAGGATTTCTGTTTTTTGGAGCATATGAGACGGCGAAGGGGGTGTTGGGGATGACAGGAGAAGGGTGAAGATCAAGATTTGAAATAGTTGGTCTGACAATGCGTCGATGTGACACGAATATTGCGATTTGTGCTTTTTTGAAAACAGTGCCATACTACAAGCTCCGCCTTTCAAAAAAAAAGTAAAAGAATTATGAAAGTGCGTGAGCAATTTTCATGCTTTGTGAGAGCCGATTTACCGTGTTTCTATGCACGTAATGCAGGAAAGAGGTGTTAGAAAGTTGATGATCAAAGCACTTCGTATACCCACGTTGAACATCATCTTCCGACATAATTTGAAATTCACAACGATCTCAGTATCACAGCATGATCAAAAGGCTCCTGATCCTGCAGGAAGGTTCTAGTGGGGAACGATCTGTGGACATTTATATCAAGCTTCACACTCAATTTCCTGAATGAGAATGATCATCATTGCTGTTCAAGTCCTCCTCACTGGAAGATGTTTGGTTCCACCGATCATCAAAGGAGACCCAATCGTAATATGGCTCTTGACGCCATCACAATCAAAATTCGTAGGTGAACAAAATTACGATACTATATTTCTTGTCGCTCTTCTAAGACCACCACGAGAACGCCCAATATTACTTTCCGCACGTGGGGTATTCACTCCCGTGATAGGTACGCTGTGCTAACGTCATTTAAAAGTTCGCGTTCCTTAACATCATTATTTCCACACAGTCGATTTTTCCACGTTAGAAAAGTGTGTCCAACACTTCCACTTTTGGACTACTACAATTACCCTAAGAGTTATTTGAATTTGTTGCATTCCCCTCGTTCTTACTTCGGTAAAAAATTTTCCACGACCACTGCTTATTTGACGACTAGTATAGAACTACGCCCCACTTATCCGAAAATGGCAGACGAAAACAAGGCTGAAGGCGAAAAGCAGGTGTACCTCGACGATGAGGGAAAGGAAATTTCCAAGAATGCCTACAAGAAGCTCCAAACTCAGAAGAAGAAGGCTGAGGAAGTATTCTTGTGACACGTTGTGTTTTCCTAAGATTTTCAAGATTCGCATCTTGTTTGCAGATCTGAATCGCTATTCAACATGCACTATTTCTTCATTCTTTCAAACCATCAATCTATCTTTCTTCCCAGCGCAGTATTAAATAGAGTGAAGCGCAGTATTGAATAGTCCCGTCGACAGTTTCGGAGTACTGATCTGGGCAAAATTCCATTCCATTTCTTCCCACCCAAACTCAAAAACAATTTTTACCCAACTGTCGAATCAAAGGCCGCCGCCAAGGCTGCTAAGAAGGCCGCTGAAGCCGAGTCCGCCGGTCCTTCTCAGAAGAAGGCTGCTGAAGAAGAAGAGATGGACCCCACTAAGTACCGAGAAAACCGAATCCGTGCTATGGAAGCTATGCAAGACCCCTATCCCCACAAGTGGCCCGTCACCGCTTCTATCGAAAGCTTGATCGTCAATTAAGGCAATATATTACAGTAATTCATCTTCCTATAAGAAGAAGCATCGTCTTCTTCTTTGGTCCCCTTTTCTTCAAGGTAAAGAAAACACCTCACTCAAAGATGCTCTTATTCAAGATGAATATTTATACTAGGTAAGGTCTAAGCCAAGCACGGAAATTTGGAATCCAGTACTGAATTGAAGGACGTAGAAGTCACCATCGCGGGAAGAGTGATGTCCAAGCGATCGAGCGGAAAGAACCTGCACTTTTACGAACTTCATGCGGATGGAGTGAAGATCCAAGTGATGGCCAGAGTGGATGTTCATCAGGTTTTTCAGGAACAAAGATTTTTATCAAGCGCTCAAAGCACTAAAATACAATACAATTATCTACTATAATACAATACAATACAATACAATTAATCTCGCTTTTTTTTTTGTAGTGCGAGCGAGTTCCGATAAATCAAAACCTACCTGCGTACTTTCCGCTTGCAGACTGCCTTAAGGGCTAGCCTTTCAAACCGGTTAGTTTTTACCTCTAGCCATAGGCTTAGCCCTTCAAACAATCAGTACTACTGTGTCTCAGGGGATGACCAATCGCCATAGCGCATTTTGTCTCTACAAACCCAAGGTCGGCGACTTCGAAGAGGAACACAAGAAGATCAAGCATGGCGATATCATGGGCGCTCGCGGATATGTTGGTAAGTCCAAGACAGGCGAACTTTCAGTATTTCCGTATGAAGTCAAGTGCCTCTCAGCATGCCTTCATATGCTTCCCCGCAGTCACTACGGGCTGAAGGATCAGGCGACAAGGTAACAGGATTATTTTTACGACGTGATTCTTATGAAAATAACGTAGTATCACAATCACTATCACTTTCTGTGTACTAGGGGCCGAAGACTGAGGTCCCTTCGGAAGGAATCACTGTCTTCGCTACCGACTCTGTGGAAAACTACATGAGGACATTTTTTTACTTCATATTCCTTCTTCCCACAGATACCGTCAGCGTTACCTCGACCTCATCCTCAACGCTGAGACGCGACGAACGTTCCAGATCCGAGCCAAGATTGTCAGCTACATCCGTAGATACTTGGACTCCCGAGATTTCTTGGAAGTTGAGACCCCAATGATGACCCAGATTGTGGGAGGAGCGACCGCCAAGCCATTTAAGACGCACCACAACGACTTGAACCTCGATATGTTCATGCGAGTGGCACCGGAGTTGAAGTTGAAGGTACTTCTTTCTACCATTTAAGTTGTCTCTATTCTACCATTTGTGTCAAATTAGGTAGCTATGATCTTAATCTTAATCTTTCAGATAACGAACCTACTAAGTTTTTTTCGATGAATGGGGTAAAAATAAAGTTACTCTCTCTCATCCCATTCCCATTCCCAACATCCTTCATCTCTTAAATGCAACATCTTCACCTCCTCCTCCATAGGAACTGGTCGTCGGCGGCCTCGACCGGGTGTACGAGATTGGGCGAAACTTCCGTAACGAAGGCATCGACCTTACCCACAATCCGGAGTTCACCGCATGCGAGTTTTACATGGCCTACGCCGACTACGAAGATTTGATGAATATGACGGAAGAACTCGTTAGTGGCATGGTCATGTCCATGCACGGTAGCCACAAGGTGAAGTGGACGCCCATGAACGCTACGGAGCCAGTCGAATTGGACTTCTCCCCACCATGGCCCCGATACAGCATGGTTGAAACCATTGAAAAAAACGCAGGAAGACAAATCCCGAGATGCTTTGGTCCAGAGTGCCACAAGGTGTTGGAAGAGATGGTGGCTAAAATAGAAAAGGAGAAGGAAGAAGTTTTGGTGGAAGCGCCAAGGACGATTGCGCGATTGTTGGATGGGCTGTGCGGGTAAGGACACATTCTTGGAATCCATTTATTTTTTGATTTTAGTTTTAGCTGCTGATGCGATTGTAGTTGTAGTTCTGGGGTAGTAGAGGACTTTTACGGTACTAGTATCTTTCTTCTTATCAATAAAAAGGGCTAGGAAAGCTACTCATCGATTCAAAAAAAATCACCAAATCCGAACCAGCAACGAAACAGCAACAAACCAAACAAACAGCTACTACATCGAAGACACGATCACGACTCGACCTGGTTTCATCACTGAGCATCCGCAAATCATGTCTCCCCTCGCCAAGTACCATAGGTCTAAGCCTGGCCTCACCGAGCGATTCGAGCTCTTCATCATGACCAAGGAACTGTGTAACGCCTACACAGAGTTGAACAACCCCATGGTGCAGCGATCGTGCTTTGAGGGACAGATGGCCGCTAAGGCTGCTGGCGACGAAGAAGCTCAGGGCTACGACGAAGGCTTCGTCACAGCTCTGGAGTATGGTTTGCCGCCGACTGGCGGATGGGGAATGGGCATTGACCGAATGACGATGTTCATGAGCGGAAATAACAACATCAAGGAAGTGATCCTGTTCCCGGCGATGAAGCCGGAAGAGTAAATACGGACTGTAGTACTCATCTGATGAACTTCTGTTTAGGACTTGTACTTCTGCATGATCACCAACAAGCCGCGCCCGGAAACGTGATGGAGTACGACATGCAGAACTTTTGCAACAACATGAAGAAATCATTCTAGGTCGTGGACGAATGCAAGGATCTACTTCAAAGAAATTTTTACGTATCTCACCTAATGAAGATAATAAGCTTTCACCTATATGAATATCAATGCAAGAAGTTACGCTCATCCTCATGTGCATACGACTCAAGAAATATAGCAGTCTTGCTTCCATACTCGCAAGAACTGCATGGTTTTGTTACCCAATAAGAATGACGACCTGATCAGACTACTTAGAAGACATGCTCATTCGGTCCTCTATCTTTACGCAAAAAGAAGAAGATTTACTGGCATAAAGAGATTGAGGAATACATCAAGACGCTCTTTTTTGACCGCGTCCGGTGGTTGTGCAACGTGTTCGCATACAACTCTAACGTGCAGCATTTCAAAGACTGATCATCATGAACTCGTGTGTGACAATGATGGTGTGTGTGTGTGTCTGTGAATGCTAATACTGCTCCGCTTAAATCGATGAATAGCTATCTTCTTTCTACTTGTTCGGGACATCAATGACGGTGGGAGAAAGAAGAAAAATGGATTTCAAACCATGCTTGATATAGTGGGGCTTGCGGCGATAGTCCCTCGACGAATGATAATCACTGGATATGACACGTCTTCCTGTTCCGAGAAAATTGCACGACGAAGGAAAACGAAGCTTGGCACTCTTGCTCTAGCTTTTCAACAACGATATTTTTATTGCTCTACTGTTACAACAGGCGCCTTTCTATAATTTGTTTCATCCCAGTGTCTTCCTTTCTATCTATCATTCTCGTTAGTCCATTCTCCCCGATGAATAGAGTTGGTTGTTGTCTAACTTTTAGTTTGTAATTCATTGTGTGTTGTAGGACAAGACAGTTTTTCACCTCTTGTTGAGACGTATTGAATGAATTTATTCAAGTTAGTAGAATAAGCCATGTCAACTGCGATGCGTCCTCCGGCGTTGCCGCCAAAGAAGTTGCGGCCGCCAACTACTGTTGACTCTCAAGAAGAGAAGAAACCAAGAAATGCTGACGAAGCACTTCTAAGGGAGAAGGACGACATTGTTCTGAAGGGTGCCACTACCACCTCCGCTGCATCGTCATCTTGCTCTAGTACAACAACAACGTCATCGAAGAAGGCAACATTGGAAATCGATGAATCTCTTTTGTCGCTTTCACTTGCTGGTTCAAAATCCCAGATGCAGATCGGGGGTTCATCCAGCTCAACATCTACTTCTTCGAATAAACGTCGTCGAGCAAAGATAAAGGGTGACCACGTGGAAGAGCAGGGTTCAGAAGATTCTGATGAGGTGGAAAATGACGAGGACGACGACGAATACGTCCCCTATCAAAGCTTGAAAGAGCGTCGTAAACAGCGCACAGTGGAGTTGAACAAGCTGAGGCGAAAAGCCGAACTGGTCGAAGATGATGCGGATGAAGCTGAGAAATTCCTACAACAAAAACTCGATAAACTCCTGAGCGAAAGGTCGACAGAACAGCAATCTTTGCTCGCTCAGTCGGCTGAAATGCGTAGGAAAGAAGAGGAGTCTCAGGTGGACAAGGAGGAAGCGATGATAAAAGAGATTGAGGAGAACGAGAAGAAACTGATGGTGCAGATGGGCTACAATGCGCCGTTGAGAAGTGCGAAGGAGAACGCCAAAGGCATCGAATACAACGCATCCATGCCCCCGATTGGAGGGTGGCGACCTCTGCCGAAGCATCGTGAATTAAGCGAAGAAGAACGAACGAAAATCAGGGAGACCTTCATGATGGAATGTGCCGGAAGGGATCTACCGCCACCAATTAAGAAGTTCTCGGATATGCGCTTTCCTAGGGGGATCTTGAACGCGTTGAAAGCCAAGGAGATTGCCAGACCAACTCAGATTCAGATGCAGGGATTGCCAGCGGCACTGAGCGGCAGAGACTTGATCGGGATAGCGTTTACTGGAAGCGGGAAGACGATGGTACTTGCTAATTTAAACTTTTTATCATTATTTCTGCCTGCTCCTCTACAACTAGATGCGGGCCCTCCGCTTCAGGTTCTACGTTGGATCTCTCTCCACTCTCTTGTACTAGTGCTGCAGATAATCTTCACTTGTTTACGATTTTTCTGTCCAACCTAAAAGAACTGCAATCTTCGCCACAATCTCTATTTCAGGTCTTCGTTCTTCCTATGTTAATGCTCGCTATGGACGTAGAATTACGACAGCCAGTCCGCGAGAACGAAGGCCCCTTTGCCTTGATGCTTGCTCCCTCTCGCGAATTAGCGGTTCAGACAAACGATAATCTGCAGTTTCTGCTGAACCACCTTCACGAAGACCGCGATTGCGAACTCTACAAGCGTAATCGGCGTATTAAGTCCGCTTTGGTGATGGGTGGGCAACCCATGAGTGCGCAGATCCGGGAAGTGCGACGAGGTGTGCACTGCGTGATCGCGACGCCTGGAAGGTTAAATGGGTTGTTGACGGAGAGCAAGATGCATTTGAAGCAATGCAGGTACCTAGCTATGGACGAAGCTGACAGGATGGTTGATGCGACGTTTGAGGAGGAAGTCCGCATAACACTGGACCACTTCACTGGGCAGCGACAAACTTTGCTGTTTTCCGCGACAATGCCGAAGAAGATTCAGGATTTTGCAGCTTCTATGCTGGTGAATCCGGTTATTGTGAACGTGGGACGGGCAGGAAGTGCAAACTTGGACATCATCCAAGAAGTGGAGTACGTGAAGCAGGAGGACAAGCACAAGATGGTCTTGCAGTGCTTGAAGAAGACGCCTCCGCCAGTTCTAGTTTTCTGCGATTCTAAGGGCGACGTGGATGATGTGCAGGAGTATTTGCTTTTGAAGGGTGTGGACGCCGTTTCGATTCACGGGGGCCTAGACCAGCACGAACGTTTGGATGCAATTAATGGCTTCAAAGATGGGAGCAAACACGTTTTGATCGGCACAGACGTCGCTTCCAAGGGTCTGGACTTTCCGCACATTCAGCATGTTATCAACTACGACATGCCTAAGGAAATCGAAAACTACATTCACCGAATCGGTCGAACGGGTCGCCGTGGACGCAGTGGAGTTGCAACCACCTTCATCAACAAAATCCAATGCTCGGATGGCATCTTGCTGGATTTGAAAGCAGTATTAGAAGAATCCAAACAGCACATTCATCCGGTCTTGCAGAAGATCGTGCCTCCCCCTGGTCACGAAGTAGCGGAAATTGGCGGAATCAAAGGTTGTATCTATTGTGGTGGCTTGGGGCATCGAGTTGCGGCATGCCCAAAACTCGAATCCGCGCAGAGGGAAACGACCAGAACGGATGTGCTGGTCACGGGGTCGAGGCATGGCAGAGATGGGGGGTATGTTGGGGACTGGTAGATGGTGGCCATATGTTCATGAGGTCTGGTAGAAGATGCTGGTCGGTGCAGCATTTTTGCCTGGCTCATTATATTTGAGTCTGGTCTAGCTGCATCCGCTTCACAGATCGTTCTGTGGAAATGAAAAACAACCAACTTTGAGATTGGTAGTACAATCTTGTGCGGTTATCCCCTGAGCAAGCACTTGGTCCTCGCCCCTTTCATGTACAACATAACGGTGTGCCCCACCATAAGACGTGAAAATTAGTTTCCATATTGTCATGCTCTGGCCATAAAGAGGATGAAGAAGCCGTCCAACACAGGACGCATCCGAACGCGACGACCACGTTGAAAAATTCTAGAATAAGACTTTCTCTCCCCGCAAAATTAAACAGGTTTTCACAAGCACGCTGAAGCAACAGGAGACTTGAAATATCCATTCTGTCAGAAGCAGTGTTTCATCTCCAGGGAACCGAGAAAAACATTTTGATAGTCAACTGCTTGATTAGACCGCTATTTGTCTCCTCGATTACGTCAGCAAGCAAAGAAAATGGATCTCCCATCTATCATGGATCGAAGCGGGCTCTTGCCTCGTTGCTATCTCTCAAGCGTCGCTCACGATAAGCGCGTTGGCAGTCGACCAGATGGTGGTGCCCTCTTCAGCACCGACAACCACCTAGGCTGGGAAGTGTGGGAAATTCAGAAGTCACCCCACGGCGGTGTATTTTTGAATTCGGATGTTAGGTCACAAACTACTTGGAGTTTTCAGTGGATACTTCGCTTGAATATGTAGTTGATGATCCATTCTTGCGTCGTTTACGGAATGGGTACACGTCTGAAAGTGTATCTTTGATACCTCCAGAACAGGTAAATGAATGAAATGAATGAATATGAATACCTTGTTAAATATATCTCGTCTAAATCATCTCACGGCACACGCCTGGCGTGCGATGCGAACGGACATGTGTACACAATTGGGAAGGACCATGCTGGAACCTGGGAAACCTGGGAGGTGAAGGAGTCGCCCCATGGCGGAATCTTTCTCACGAATGTTATGAGTTTTGTTGGACTAAGTGCAATAGAAATATAGTTCTGGTGTACCTCATTGTTTATCAGAAGTAGTAGAGGAGGATAGAAATAATCTACTAGTACGTCGATACACCAAACCTGCTCTACTACCTAGAGGTGTACTTGTAGTTGTAACGATAATTCAAGATATTATTTAGTATTCAGTGTAATACAGATCCAACAGGAGCAAGCTAGATTAGCGGGTAGCAATCGTCGGGGAAATCTTTGGCAACTTGCGGAATAGATTCGCGGCGTCAAGTGTAACAAAGAGCGCGCTTCTAATCCTTTCCCGCACAAGAAGCGTTTAGCCTGCGACCAGGATGGGCATATTTACGTGGTGTCCGAAGAGCAAAGTGGAACCTGGGAAAGCTGGATCATGAGGGATTGCTTGCCTACGATCTTTCTCTCCTCGCAACCACATGATATGCGTTTGTCTAGCAACCCGTTCTGCGGCCTCTTCACAACCCAAAATCGCTTAGCATGGGAACGTTGGGTGCTAGAGCCCTCTCCAAATGGCGGCTTCTTCCTTCATTCTTCCGCTCACAACAAGCGCTTGGCTCTGAATACAGAAGGACATTTATATACGATCGGTGGAAACGACCACAAAGGTACGTGGGAAGCTTGGAAAATCACTGAGTCTCCTCATAACGAACACGGAGCCGCTTACTTCATCGACAGCATCGGACACCAAGGAAAGCGTCTGGCTTGCGACGAGCAAGGCCATTTGTATGTGGTGGATGCTGAGTATCATGCTGGCACATGGGAATCCTGGGTGTTCGAACGAAGCCAGCACTGTGATGTTGTTGAAATTAAGGACAGCGTGGGACCATCTTTTTCACCATCTCTTAGCCGTTTTTGATTTGAGAAGGGCTAGAAGCTGTTCCAAAGAATGGGCTTGTGCTGCCTCTAATGAAACCTCTGGTCTTTGGACGCAAATCGGACTCGGGGTTTTGGGCGCCGCGACACTCGGAGTCCTAGCGCCCTTTGCAGTTATGGGCGTCGTTGGTGCACTGGGATTCACGGCAAGCGGGATCGCGGGAGGCAGTGCAGCTGCGGCGATGATGTCGGCTGAGGCAATCGCTACTGGTGGAGGCATTGCGGCAGGTGGAGCGGTGGCGACATTGCAGGCTATTGGTGCATCTGGTCTTGGGATTGCAGGCACAACTGCTGCTGTCTTGTCGGGAGCAGCGATCGGTGGTGCTGCAGGTGTGAATTGTGGAATGCCGGACGACGACTGAGCGACTTCGTTCAATCCGAAAATTACAGAAGAAGAAGAAGAAGAAGACAGGCGAAGCAGCTGGTATGACATGAACGACGAAGTGAAAATGCTACGCTGCCAATTGATTGAAAGGGTGGCAGCATATAGTCCTAACGCAAAAAAAAAAAAAATCTACGGTGATCATGAAGGATCATAACAGAGATGCACACATGACATGAAGATGCTACGCTCTCCCCATTAAAAGTGCTGGTGATTATAGCATTACAGGTTATTGAGATTTTGGTTTCTTCGTTCGCAGGCCCTCATTCCAAGAGTTTCGTGATACCTTATTTTAATATACGACGATCTGCTGCAGCACCAGATATGGTCTCTTTTGAGACCCTCATTCCTACATTTTTCAAAATCTATTTTGGTAAGAATCCTAAAGCACTTGTACTACCAAGTCTCATTTCTCATCTGTTGTACAAGACGTAAATGATGAAAAATTTTCGAGATATGTTCATGGTAACTTCGCTGCGGAAAAAAATGTTGTGCCCTTTCCGCAGGAAAGAAAATGTCATACAGCGCAAAGAAATATGCTTGCGGCACAGATTGGACGACTTTCGTGATCGGACATGATAGAACTATGATGTACTTAGGTGTAAAGTGTCGGTTTTGACTGAGCAGGGCTACCAGAGCAAAGCCGAAAAGTATCCATGCCCTCTGGGAAATTGAGAGAGAGAGAGAGATAGGGAGGCACCTTGCAGAAAGGTATCTTCTAGTCCGAAAACAAAATCCAATAGACATGTCCAAAAAGCAAGTACTATAGGCAAAAGTTCAATCATGAAAAGAAAGTAGATCTAGATCATCCATTTTGTTGGAGCAGCACATACACAAAGTTTCGGTCGTAATGTACTGGTTGTGTGTAAAAAGAGGTAATAAAACTTCGACGTTTATTCGGCCATGACGACATTTTCTTGGCATCATTTTTCTCGAATTTTATTCTCGACAGCATTTCTCGTCGTCTTTCCCGGCGTATTAGTTCAAGATGTTGGCGCCATTCGACTCGTCGACTCTGTCTTGGCCAGAGATGGCAGAAGGAGCGCCAGAACCTCTCTCACCAACACAAGCAACACAACGAACGCCATGTCTGCACAAGGGAATGTCACCAATGTACCCACACTCGACGAAATATCTGCGACGATGGATGGCCTAGACGGCAAAATTCAGAAGCTGACCTTGCAGTTGGATGGGATACAGCAGAAATATGGCGACAAGTTTTGAATCTTATCTCCTATGGAGGTATGCTTTTTGATTTTTTCCTCTTCTAACCTGCCATCACTTCCTTGTTTTGAGCGCTGAGAGTCTCAAGAGAGGAGAGTGTTGAGAGCGTTTTGTCTACACACCTAGTTTTTTTTTCTTCTAACACCGCATCTAGACTTCATGCACTACAGGGTTAGTAGTCTAACTTGCTTCCAATCTTCTAACACCGCATCACTTCCTTGGAAAATGTTACTGCAACCGGCCTCAAGGATCTCGGAACTATCCAGCAGGGCTTGCGGGATGTACTGGCGACAAGTCAAAATAATTCAGCAGCCGTAGCAATACTGAGTGGGAATGCAGCAACGGTTGCGGGAATGCTCAAAAACAACTCCGCGAAATTAGCCCAAGAAGAACAATACCTCACAGAATTGAGCACGAGTTTGAATGTGCTGGGGAGTAGGTATTGCGTTTTTTGGTTTCTGACTTAGGGACAACTATCTAAAGAGCTGTCTATATACCCTTTATTTTCTGACTTAAGTTGGTGCTGCCGCATAAGGATGACACTTTAAGACAGCTGGTGCTAGTTCGTTAACAAATATTTTGTATTCGTAGAGGTCGTGAAATCAAGATCAACCCCTTCATGAATAATGATAATCCTCTTTGAGGCAGGTCTTTGGAGGAACTAGAACTACCACCCCTACCGCACACAGTGGCCTAGACACAGCCGCCAAAGTCGAGAAGCTTGAGGCTGCTGTCAACGAGACTGTCCCAACAGGAAAATTGAGCCAAGCCATGGACGTTATCGAAAAACGTATGGACGACTTCGAATTGGCCCTCAAAAACGGCGTGGACGCGCAGATTCAAGGCTATCTTGGCGCAGCTTTGGACGATATGAGAAGTGAAATCAGACAGGTGGGAAAGAAGACGGGTGGGGTGAAGTAAGTTGTAGACGCATACTGGTAGGTAGAAGTAGAGTTTTTTCCTATATAGCAATGAATGTGAAGGGCACGCTGGACACTGGCTTCACGTCGCAGAGAAAAAGATTCAATTATTGGGAAGAATAACCCGCACTTGCGGATCATGAAGTCCGAGTTTGATTGTTTTTTCCATTGATGTGATTGACGTGCAGAACAAGAAACCCTAGAAAATATAATTCGGTGGCGAAGATACAGTCTTTCGCTGGTGCCTACATGCACAAACAACGAGCCCTCAGAAAACGACCATGAAACGACCTAGTGTTTGCTCGACAGAAGTCGAGACCATGATGTCTGTATGATCTTATAGGGTAATCGTTTCTGAGCGGGTCAAAATGGCGTCTGTGCACACCGGAAGCACGGTACAAATCGGAAAAACGGTAGTATCTGTGACAAGTTAATCGATATGACGAGTCACAGAGAAGAGGACACTAGCAAAACGGTATCTGTCATGCAAAACTGTATCGTTAGTGAGGTCGGTCTCGGTTGATCGTACTATCGTTCAAAAAAGTTTCTCTCGTCCCATTATTGTGACAAAAAGTGGTGCAACCATATCCATAAGTATAACAATAATTCTCACTCGGTTCATGCGACTCCGATGAAACCAATTTTTCCAACCTCGTCCTCAATCTTGATAAAATATTTTTTTCAAGAATGTTGAGGAAAGAATAGTCTTCATCATAGAAACAAATGTTGAAACACCCCGACAGTCATAGTCGTGACAAAAAAAAACGAATTGTTGTATTCTCTGGTGCGCGGGTTGGATTTTCCCATGATTGGAGGCGCATCTCACTCTAAGCCACCCTTGGAACTTTTTTGTTCTACTGTCTTCCCCTTGATTCCGAATAAGAGGAGAGCTAAAAACAAAGCATCAAAAAGCTTGATCCGATCACCCAATCACCCCCCACGTGACAAGAACCTTCGAAGCGAAAGCAATCATGGCGTCGCCTCGAGGAGCAGGCACCATGCGGCGTCGGTCGCCCACGCTCTCCAATTCCTCCTCCTCTATCAAGAGAGGTATCGGAGCCATGATGACGCTCTTTGTCTTGTTGCAGCAATCCGCATTTGTGGTGTGGGGAATCCTCTATAGTCACCAGGAAGGTAGAAGTCACCAGGAAGTGGTGCCAGAGTCAGCAGAGACCGACTTCGTAGATCCCTCTGCTGATCCCCATCTCGTGGGTGACGAGAAACTGGGTCTCAAAATGACAAAAGGGAGTAGTAGGCCTCACGCTCAGGAGCCGTCGTATTTGGCCGATCCCTCTCCTCCAAGGAGAAATGAGACGTCGACAACGTTCCTTACTATCTCGGGAAGTGGCAGCAATCAAGCTATAGAACCAGCAGACGAAGAAAGAGAAGACTATGCGTTCGAAGATTTTAGTAAGGACATCTCGAGCAATACCAAAGTAAAAGGCGTTCCGATGTTCTCACCCGCTTTCGTGCTCATCTTAAGGCTTTTTCTTCCCCCATTTTATCTACAACGAACTGGAAAAGTAAAAAAGGCTCGCGAGTTCTTGGTAACTGAAACTGAAATTAGTACAGAGTCACTACGCTGCTCTTCTTTATTCAGTATCTCGGTTATTTTAAGTAGTTACTTGCTTAGTTCAGTTTGTCGAATATCTTCAGAACCATCTTGAAGCTGTCAGCTTGAGGAGCAGCATCTTGGAGCTGTCCTCCCATATGCATAGGGAGACAAAGAACCATTCTAAGATGCATCTTGTCATCAAAAAAAGGTAAAAGAGCCATCCTACCTTCTAAGGTGCATGTTTCTTATCCATCACGACCATCTTGAACAAGCTATAGATATATCATCTACGAGTGATATAGATATAGATTTATCATCTACGAGTGATATGTATCGTCTACAACGAGTGATATACTATATAGATATCTTCACTTCTCTAAGGGTGTACGTGATCATCTTGTTCTTGACATAGATTTCACTTGTCTAAGGGTGTACGTGATCATCTTGTTCTTGACATAGATATCACTTCTCCAAGGGTGTACGTGATCATCTTGTTCTTGATATAGATATCACTTCTCTAAGGGTGTACGTGATCATCTTGTTCTTGACATAGATATCACTTCTCTAAGGGTGTACGTGATCATCTTGTTCTTGGTCATGTTCACGGTGTTGAAACAAACGTGGGTCGTCTATCATCCGGCGGTTTGCAGGCGTGCGTATTTGTGCGAAGAGCTGGGGCCTGGAGACAGACCAGCCACACTGAAGCATCAGGTGTACTTTCAAGTCGGGTATCAAACCAAAGCCACGGGAATGATCTTGCAGTGGTCCTGGGTACTATGAATTGGAGATATTACGTTTATGTATGTTATGTTGTGAATGCTCACCTCCTCGAGGCGAGCCAGCTCCTATCCTATCCTATGTTGTTGAGATACGTTTATGTATGTTGTTGTTCTTTTTTTGTTGAAGTGGAACTACAGTCAGGAATGTTTATTGATTCTACAAGGCATGTTTTGCACCATCCACTTATCTTTCAGATCGCTTTCCTGATCTGTATTCTTGCTTTGTCTTTCTTCGTATACGCGATCAAATTGGTTCCGAGTCGGATCTTCGAAGGTGTCAACCTGTGGTTTCAAATCGACCTGTGTTTTAACCGCATGGAATACTGTGGTGATCAAGGAGCTGGCGTCTCGAAACAAGACTCGATAAACTACTTTGCGCTTTACTTGGTATTTATACACTTGTTTGTTGAGCTGCTAATATTTTCCATTGTGGTCCTCGTCGGATTTGGCAATCACTAGTGTGGTCCTCGATGTGGTAGTTCTTACAAATGTTATATCCTTCTCGACCTCTCACCATCTACTCCTTCTCTGAACTCCATACAGATTTTTTGGGCCCCCGCTGTGCTTATGTGCATTTGGCTCGGCAACTATTGGTTGTATTTCCGCAGCTTGTTTTTGACGAATGTGCCTCTTCATGCCGCAGACACTCTGGGTGTTGTCGAATGCGTCTATGAAGTTTCCGGACACCTATTTAAGGCTCAGCTTTCAATGGTCATCGGGGTTGGTCTCTGAGATCGAAGAGGCGACCCCTTGAGAGAACAGGGGAAAACGAAGGGAAAGGGGAGAGCTTTGAAGGGGGTCCCTTCCGTTCAGAGGCAGTGACCATTGAAGGCCGAGCTTTAACCTATCTTCCGCTGAGCTACTGCAAAGCATTCAAGCGGCCGATGCAGAAAGCCAATTGAGAGAAGGCGTTCAAGCATCAGCTCGACGATTCTTGCTATTTTTAAGGGTCGATACAATCCATCTCTTCCAACGGTCCTTCTCTCTTCTAACTAAATTTAAATTTCATGATGACCTCCTCCCTCAGGATTCTGAAGAAATGAAGGAAAGAAAAGGAAAGAAGTGAAGAGTCAATTGGGGCCTTCCTTCGCCCTAATGATTGGTGCCCGTGCTCCGCCTGTTGGCGCGGAGTATGAATTGCGATCGAAGAACTTGGTGGAATTGTTGCTGGTGCAGTATGTCACAGATGCTGATGCGCTGGATCCGAGTGCAGATGTGCAAAAAATTGTCCGCTTTCATTCGGATTTTTATGAAAGAAGAAACCTTGAACCTTAATTTGCTGCATTTAGATATTACAATTAGTTGTAGTGTAATTTGCAGCTAACCGATTGCGATTTTTGTGCGAGATTAATTGTATCTATTGTATTGTAAGCAACCCTCTTGAAAACAGGAAAATAAGATATATGAGCAGTAACCTTTGTTCTATGCGGGTGCAGGATCCATAAGCTAACCGAACCTCTGGCTTAGCGCACGAGGATGAGCCAATCAAAACCTAGTATTGCACACCTCATAAGTAGAGCTCAAGATGATCAAATCGCAAATCCTACTACTACCACCACCACCACCACCACCACCACCACCACCGTCGCCACCTCTTCTTCACCACCACCATCGCCACCACCACCGCCACCTCTTCTTCACCACCACCACCACCACCACCACCGCCACCTCTTCTTCACCACCACCACCACCACCACCACCTCTTCTTCTAGTCCTACCCTTATTAAGTACCTCTTCTTCTAACGGGGACTAGTTTACGACCCAGACGTGGACGAATTCGTAACGCCGAATGCGTTGCCTATGGGAGTGGAGCAACTAGTGCAATGTGACGAGGCCTTACCTTTGACGAGCGATGAGGTGCGCACTAGGACGCTGCTTACCGGAGGAGGCAATGTTTTGCATATCGAGGTTCCTGGGTTGGCGGGAATCCTCTTCGGACAGGAGATGAGGGATCCCATCAACATCTGGCAGATTGGTCGTTAAGGTCAACATTTTGTAGTATGATCTTTCTCCAAGCGTGGAGGCGGAGCAGCGGCATCCTATCCTATCCTATCCTATATCTCGGTGGTAAGTACGCTTTTCCCTTGTATTAATATTCCTATGAAATGACTAAGTATACAAGGGTAGTAAAGTAGGGGTCAAGGTGAGGGGGCCAAGATCGATGCAATCTAGCAGCCTCTAATGTCGCGGCTTTCAGTGCGGTCTGCGCCAATCTATTGCGCCTGCGACGCTGCCCATCATCTTTAACATGTTCCAGATGATCTTCATCTCGTTCAAGAAACGAGCCGCATTCTATGGCCACACATGATACGTAGATGCATCGTTTTCATCACAGAGAGTCTTTCTTGCTGTAGCTAGAAAGAGTAAGATGATTCATTCAGTTAGATTCATTTTCACAGAGTCTTCTACTATTGCCCAGGTAGTTCCGTTTTTGGAGTGGATTGGGAGAGCATGAAGGTAAAAGAGCAGATGCATGATCCTTCTCGGCTCTTTCTGGTGAGTTTCCCTCTCCCTTTGTGCAAAAAACACGGACAACCTAATACTACGTGGATCTTCACTAAGTGGAAGATCTCCTCCTCTAAGCATCAGAATCCTTAGCCACAATGGCTGCTGTGCCGGAGGAGGAAATCTACGTGTGCCGTGTCGAACCCGGTGGTCTGCGTGGACGTCATTGGAAAGACGCTTTGGACGACCGAGACACAACATCTGGCGGTCTCAGGAATTCTTCTAAAGGCAGTATCCGAGATTCAGGGAGCGGTGGAAGAGCAGATAGTCTTAGGAGCGGTTCCGAGATGGAATGCTGGCCCTCTTATAACTATTCGAAAACTCAAAATATCCGAGTTCCTGAATGAAATAAGGGAGGTAGCTAGCTTTGACAAGGCTACTCTTCCTTCTCATCAGTATCTCGGTTGTTCTGATCAGTTACTTGCTTATTTCAGTTTTTCGAATACAAGAATTCTATCTCTATCACTATCTTCTCTAATATCTTTTCAGAGCCAGGAGGTGCACCTAAGAAAGTTACGATTGTGAGCCGGGAGTCGCAGCGTTTTAGTGCGCAGAACCAATTTTCGAGTGTTGCCGGGGCCGCAAAAAAGTCGATACTCAAGGCTACGACGCGCGACTATTGTTCCAAGTAGATTCTAATCATGTTGAGAAAAGTGACTCGATGTTAATAACTTCTGAAGTGTACTACAACTAGTACTAGTTCCAGTATGCTCAACATCCTGATGACTCGATGAGATTTGAGTTGAGGCAATTCTACTAGTTGTACTACTGCTTAGTTCAAAGCCCTAAAGTACTATAGCCTACCACGTAGTTCAAAGCCCCTAGAAGATTCTACTTCACAACTTCTTCTCTAATATCTTCGGTGGCGCCGCTCTTGATCAAGGTGGAGGTGCTGAGGGTGCTGGAGGAATGTCTTTTGGAGACGTGCTAAGAAGATCGACGAAACAGAACAAGATGCCTTCGATTTTCGCCAAGGGCAAAGCAGTCCAAGCAGAAGATGAAGCCGGAAGTAGTGAAATCGAGGAAGTTAAGAACAGTGCCTTGCCTACTTAATATAGAAGAAGATTCTGTGTAAGTGAGACAGTGAGTAATCTTGAAAAGGAGTACTTTCATGTTGCTGATTGTGCTGAAAAGGAAAAGGGTTGCCATTGTTTTTTGAGGGACATAAGAGCAAGCCTAGATCAGATTGTCTCCGTCAAGGGCGGGAGCAGGTTTTTTTTATTTCGCCCAAGCATATTGTCTATTGATTGTCTATCAATTATTGTTGAGCTCCTCCTCTAACGACCGTGCTGAGCGTGATCCTAGCATCCGTTCCAGTGACGGTGGTCGGAGACAATCTAGTTTGAGGGAGTCGGTGGCGTCGACCGGCTCCTTCACCCATTTTGCCGGTCGACAGACCAGCGTGCACGACAGAGCTCAAATGACCTTATGGTGTAGGAAAGGAGCTAAGTAAAAGAACAGCACTTGTTGGAGTCTATGTAAATTTTTAAGTAGGGTTTTGTAAGTAGTTGAATGGGAAGCAGCATGTAGTCCTATGGAAAAAAAAAACTACGCAGATCTTTTGCGAGCAAGAATGAATGAATAAATGAATGAGTGAATAAATGAGTGATGACTTTATGACTGGAGATATAGGTACTAGAATCGTCAAAGTAAAATCATTCAAAGTTGATGTTATAATAGCCATCGTATAAAGTTACTTTCTAATTCCCGAAAACGAGGGCCAAGTTGAATGGCGCTGTATGCTCACTGCTGAACTAGTACCCGGCGACATTGTGGAAATTGCGGAAGGCGCGGTGCCTTGTGACATTGTTTTGCTGGCTGGTTCTTGTGTGATGAATGAGGCAGATCTTACTTTATGCTCAGCTGCTTTTATTAATTTTTGTGTTTTTCAGCATCTCTATACACTCTTCGTCCCATGAAGTGAGTACCTAATTCAGTACCAACGGAGTCCATTTTCTTCGTTCGGTTTCCTTCGTCGTAGGATTTTGTTCTCTGAAAAAATTTTACAAGGAAGAAACCTAATTTTTTTTTTATTGAGCTCTTCTAACAACTGGAGAGCCGATGCCCATTCCTAAGGTCCCAGCGGATCCGTCCCAAACGCCCTTTTCGAAAAGAAACTACTTGTATTGTGGAACAGAAGTGTTGGCATCGAAACTGGTACTATAATTACGAGCAGGAATATCATGGACTCGTGTCCCTTGGAGTACTTCTTCTAAATCCTCGCCACCTCCAAAAATTACGCTAAAAATGCTACTCGGAGTAAAAACTCATATTTTTAATTCTCTGCATAACAGGAAGAAGGTTCCGACAACAAGAGGGGCGCAGTTGGCATGGTAGTTCGCGTCGGAGCCCAGACCGACAAGGGCCAAATGATCAAGCGCATTCTCTATCCCTCCCCAGTGCAGTTCGCCTTTCTGCAACAATTAACTACCGTTTTGTTCGTTTCGATCCTCATCTACGTGGTCATCAGCGAGTTGCCGGTCTTCACAGTGGGATTCTTCCGTGGGGAAGATATGTATGCGGTGATTGTCGAGAACTTGCACGAGTCCTTCCTGTGTGCGCAGCAAGTGGTCAATCCGGGAATGCTGATGGCGTTGATGGTATGCCAATCTTTGGGCGCAGTAAGACTGAAAGAAGGACCGACCGCTACGAATACGCTGTTATGATTCGACAAATTTTTCAGATTTGAATATATCAACATCTAGCTAGTACTATCTTGCAAAATTTCACTTCCCATAGACTGCTCTATCCTCCGAACTATGAAGATCCTTTGAATTCCCATAGACCCTCTAATGTCCGAAGTATCACGTATTTTTTATAGTATGAAGACGTAGAAGTGGTCCCCGAGCAGCAGTTTGTTCTGAAACATGTATGTACTCGTCTCTAACTCCTGTAACAAGGTTGGTGCCCCTTTTGGTGGCCAGAAAACTTTTTTCTGAAATCTCCAAATCCCAAAATCCAAAACGTGTGTGTATACATCTGTGTCCCTCTAATGTCCGAACTATCCCGTGTCCTCATGGCAGGGCAAGTCGACGTGCAATGCCTCGACAAGACCGGGACTATCACGGAAGGGGGATTGCGTTTCATCGCCGTGCAGGAGCATGGGGATCCCGATGCTCAAGCGCAGCCAAGTGTTGTTAAGAGTAGGTTAAAGGTGCTTTTCTTACCGCTTTTTATGCCTCTCCTAAGGGAGAAAGGCACAAAAAGCGGGGTAAGCGAGCACCAAAAGCCTACCTCTAATGTTGTCAACAAAGCGACGGTGGCGTCGGTAAGGTCGGCAAAGTCGATCCAGCTAGAATATCTCTTATGGCAAGAACCAAGACCAGTGGCGTAACTGACATACCCGTAGAGTGGGTGCATTCACTCAGAACCAAGACCAGTGGCGTAATTGACATACCCGTAGAGTGGGCGCATTCACTCACCCACTCGCCCACTCGTTAGTGGTGTAACTGGCATACCCGTGGAGTGGGTGCATTCACTCAGAACCAAGACCAGTGGCGTAATTGACATACCCGTAGAGTGGGCGCATTCACTCACCCACTCGCCCACTCGTTAGTGGTGTAACTGGCATACCCGTAGAGTGGGCGCATTCACTCACCCACTCGCCCACTCGTTAGTGGTGTAACTGGCATACCCGTGGAGTGGGTGCAGTCACTCACCCACTCACTCACTCACTCGCTCAATACAGATAGATAATCTGCTACTTAGATAGACTCTAAAAACTTCACGTTAACAAACAGGTAGAAGATAATTTTGTTTTTAACGTTGTTTTCAAGAAATTCAGGTCTTATTTTGTCTAAGGTTGTCTGACCAGATTGTCCTTATAGGATGTTCGACCAGAGTATAAGGTTGGTTCTTTCCCTTGTATTTACAGCGATACTCTCTAATCCGAGCAAAGGCCAAGCCAAGTGAAACCGTCTTTCGACGCGAGTCCTTGTTGCACAAGGCGTTGATTTGTTGTCATACTCTGGACATTGATGCTGAAACGGGAGAATTTAGAGGGAATGCGGTAGATACTGAGCTTTTCGCTTCTTTTGCCATGGACTCGGGCAATGTCACGCTGAAGTCTATTCCGGTCAAAGGTGGAGAACAAAACTTACGGAGTGAGATTATAGGTGGAAATAGTATTAGTAGTAGTTGTTAGTTTGTTTTCAACTGAAGGGACGATTGGAAATAGTTTTTGTTTATTTTTTTTGTCACCTAGTACATAGGGTGTGGTCGGAAGAAGATGTAAACTGATGCAACGATGATCCTCCTGGAGTGGGGTATCGTGTTGTTACTTGTGATGAAAGTTTGTAGGAAACTTGAGGACAAAGCTACCCACGACAAGGCTTTCCATCTCCTCCTGCTGCCGGTCCTCTAAGAAGGAGTCTGCAATCCTCTTCGTTGATCGTGGAGTATTACCAGGATTCGGAATACGTCCTCCGCACATTGCGCCAGTTCGAGTTCAATCAGCATGTGCAACTACAATCCGTCCTTGCGGAGGTTGATGGGACGTTGATGGTTTTTGCTAAGTTAGGGGTTTCCGAATTGCATTCCTCACGACCATCGCTGACTCTTTTCCTAGTAGAAAAGAGGCCAGGATGAATTATGTGCTGAAGAGTGTAGAAATTCCGTACCCTCTAACTAAGGGCAGTTTTGAAGCAGTTGCGGGTAAATGCCAAAACGTGCCTCCGGAGTCGGCCACTATCGCGAGTGAGCTGTCCCGACAAGGCTACTATGTGCTGGCCGTTGCGAAACGGGACGACTTCACACGCGATTTTGCGGATAACGCGTCCCGGGAAGAGCTCGAAGGTCAGCCTAGTACCATGATTAAGAAGAGAAGGATTAAGAGTAGCGTACCAATCGAAGTAGAAGTACGATTAAGAGTTTTACGATGAAGAAGAGTTGTAGTACCGTTGAGAGTAGATGAGTCCCAGATTTCTATAAGAGCAGAGCACCATTAAGGGTAGTCACAGTACACATAGTTACAGTTGCTCTACATGACATGAAATGAAGATTCTGCACTCTTGAAACAGCTCTAATCTCCCAGCCAAGGGGAGTCAAGTACTAAGCGACAGTGCAGCCAAGAATTCTACTACGTCCAAAGTATCGAAGGCTTCATCCAAGTTTTCTCGATCGAGAACTGGTCTAGACGAAGGGGAATTACAGCCTAGTGAGGAACCAGGTTCCGCAGGTTCCGGAGGAGGTGCACTGCCGTCTAGAGGTGCAAGCAGTAGGAGAATTATGAATATCGTGATGTTTGTACCAATACTAATAATTCTGTACTTATATATCTTTTACCTTCTATCCTTCCTTTTTCTTTTCCTAGTTAGCTTGGCTCCACCCGTAATATTGTGATGTTTGTATTGCCGTAAGGTGCGAGGACGTTGTATGTTGGCATAATGAATATTTTTGATCTTTGTTGTATTCTTCTCAAAATTAATGTTACTCAGATGAGTGGTTGAGTTCGATCTTCTTGAAAGAGCAACGGTATAAAAAAAGTTGCAAATAAACATGAACATTAGATGAAGATTTGGATTCAAAAATCCAAGAGTTCTTTCTAAAAGCAGTAGCTTGAAAAGCACTGCAAGCGATGGGGAATCAAAGCCATTTACTCTTTTGGGGTTGGTGTACTTCCGCAACGAGCTGAAACACGACTCAATTGAATGTATCCGCATGCTGCAACATGTTATGATTGAGGTGGATAAACTTTAGCAGACTAGTTTGTGGACGGTGGGAAGGTGGGCTTGCTGGGCTACGCTGGGCTGCTAAGTCATATTTTTGATGGGTTAATGTATGAATGTGACTTGTTGGGCATCAAAATGGTAGCTGATACTAGAGAGTAGAAAAGAGCTATCAACCACATCAAGGACTCAACCCTCCTCCACATCCATCCCTCTACTAGACGCTAATCCTTAAGGCGAAACGAACGTGCGTATGATCACTGGTGACAATTTGCTTACCGGTGTCCACGTCGCACGACGCGTCGGCATCGTTCCTCCTGGGGCTGTCCTCATGATAGCGGACTTGGCTTCAGTGGTGCGAAGCATGAGAGGCACTGAACATTACGGATTTCTTTTAACATATATCTGTGGCCGTAAATATTCGCCCGACGCCGGTACAGGTCAAACTGTGGACGGCGAATCAACACCTAACCTAACCTGTCTCAACTCTCAAGAGATGGATTCATTTTAAGACGGGTCTCTAAGAGCAAGGAATTTTGAAAAAGAAAAGCGCACAGAAATTTTCAGTGAACAGCGGAGTTAGCGAAAATGCGAAGGACACGGTTACAGATAAAGCGGAAACGGTACTGCAATGGCGCTATCTTGCCGAAGAACCTGAGGAAGGACCCCTCGTTACGGCTAGAGAATTAATTCTCCTCTCGCAGGCGAGCCCACTCCTATCCTATTTTATCCTATCCTATTCTGTACTTATGATCGACTTGAATTCACTTTCTTGTTGCCAAACATCCTGCGTGGTCCAGGTCCTCTCGTTTTTGACACTATACGGAACATATTTTTATTGTCAAATGAGAGAAAACGGGTACCAAGAATAATAAGATGATACAGGAGAATACTACTAACACCTACACATAAAGTACTAGCAATACTATTAATGATACATGATAAAGTACTAGTAATACTATTAATGATACATAAAGTACTAGTAATACTATTTTCAACACCTCCTACTACAACTTCTAATGCTGACATTCGTGAAGACGATGGTGAGGATGATGGTCGTGAGCGCACGGTTGAGCAATTGTTGGACTTAGGAAGACGGAAACTGGAAGACCGACAACGGGCAACTGAGCAACGCCGGTCAAGTGAGCGAGAGGAGTTCGATCCTAATGTTATGGAGACGGTTAACATGGAGGTTCAGTAATATCTACTACTCATTCTGCTCATAGTCATTGCTCCTGCATTTAAGCGAAGAAAAGTCAGTAGTAAAGTTTCACAACTACATTTTTTTCGACGAATTAACTTTCCTCCACACAATCAAAATATGCAGAACGAAGTGTGTTGTCCTCTAATCCATCCAGTGTGGTGTGGCGTCCATCGTCTGTCATGCAGCCACGCCCTACAGCTAGTCTTCCGTCTCCAGATGCCTTCATCCGGAAATCCTTCGTGCGCGTCCAACCTGCAGAAGGGGAAGCAGCAGCTCATGGAGAAGAGGGAGGTTCAGGTGAAGAAGAAAAGACCAGAGGCTCGGGAGGTACCTCCACTAGGTTTTTTATTTAGAGGATGTTTTCATTATATATTTGGAGGAGGTGGAAACAGTAATAGTTCAAGTAATGTTTAGGAAGTACTAGAAGATCTGTTTAGTAACTTACAAGAAGATCATGTGTAGGACTCATGTATGTCAAAAGGTTAAGTGAGAGTGACTAGATGAACTTCGAGTAACGTAATCCAATATGAGTGAGTGGTCCTCACTGGGCTGGTGAATTAGAGCGTTACTCGAACTTAATTTCTGAGTCTCTACAACGTTTCCTAGGTCCAAAGGGTCGCCGTGGAGGACCACGCACTTCTAACACAAGTAGAATTCTAAGATTTGAAGATTATAACATTGAGACTCCAGGTTCTCAATCCGCTGCGGGAGATCGAGGATCAAAGAACAGTGAAGTCGAGAGCAGTGGAGAGGGCAACGGCTTGCATCATGATATTAAGGGTGGTTGTTTTCACCAATTTTTATTCCCAAGTACAAAACCACCCGTGGCTTTATTTTGTTTCTAGACGAGAATATGTTGAACAAGCCAAAGTAGAAGATCTTGTTTTCTAGACGAGAATGTATTTGCCACGTAAAATTCCCTGCTAAAACGACCTGGTCTAATGATAGGGAAGATTCGTCGTTAAACGACGGTGATCCCGTAAGAGGAACCGGAATATCTCCTGGCTTTGGAAGCCAATACGCTGGAGCGCCAAGGACTGCGTCGGAATATGGTCGCTTTGCCATCACCGATCAGCTGAAAGTGGCCCAACAAGTCCTCGCACCCACCGTAGAATCCGCTTACAGGGTGGAAATGTTCGATGAGGATGGCGAGCAGCTACCTCTGCCAACTTTATGATGGTGGACAGACAACTTCTTCTCGTGTCTGATCGTGATCATTAGTAGATAATTATAATTCGTAGTTGTACAACCACCTGTTATAATATTAAGTAGTTTCTTGAATTCTAAGGCCAGTGAGATCGTTGTACCTGTTATAGTAAGTATGCAGAAGGTCTAGACCTATTTAGTAGTGCAGGAAGTCGACTTGGGTGATCACGGAAAACAGAAGCCTAGGGGACAGCACAACGTCCCACTCTCAGGTGCTGTGACCACTTGTCACAGCACCTGAGAGTGCAAGATGCGATGCCTGTAGAAGGCGAGTCAACTCCTATCCTATCCGACACGCTAACAACCGTCGCCACTGGTCAACGTGAGTCGTTTTTCAGTGCGTTTGATTTTTCTATCCACGGTCTCCAGCCCAATGAGAACGATCACATCCTCGAAAAGATGGTTGTCCGAGGTGAAGAGGTTAAGGCATCGCATCTTACCGTATAATTCATCATCTATTCATTGCGTTTTTGACACGGAATTCATCTCGTAGTTCTAGCACCTCCTCTCTTAAATAGAGCTGTGTGTGTATGATCTTTGACGTACTCCTGTCGTTTTCAAGGATATGAAAACTTCATTGCGTCAAAGAAAAAAGATAACAAACTTCCAAGATGCGTTTTCAAGAAGAAAACTTACATGCGTCAAAGATAACAAACTTCTTTGAAGATGAGTTTACTTTTAGTGAGCAACCGCTCCTTAGTTTTCCCTCATATCAAAGGATGTGTATCCCTAGATGCAAAATACTTTTAGTGAGCAACTTAGATACTTAATCCTCTAAGAAATGTATGCGGCGAAGCACCATGACTCGGCGTTGGTCGGATCTCCGTCGCGAAGTCTCACGCAATTTCGAAATGCCACGATCTCCGACCTCTACTGAGGACAGACGAACTGCAAGACTTGCTTCTCAATCTTCACGATTGGCCTTACAGTCTTTAACTGTAGCAGATGAGCGATTATGACTGGATGAAGATGATAGTAGGCTGAAGACTGTGTCTACTGTAATTCTAGAAATACTAGTACAGGCTGAAGAGTGTGCAGCATGTAAAAATGTTTTAGGAAGGAGGATCGCATTGATTGATTACTGTTGGAACACCCGAACACGTCCAAGCGCAATATGAGGCTCTTGAGAGTAAATGGAATGATTATCGTTGCAATGTAACAGAAAGACGATCAGAACGGACGTGCCGAATGATCACTGACTGTTTAAGGCCCTGAAATGGTATCAAAATGGGTTCAATGTCATTGGGATATCATGAAGGGTCATAGTGCAGTTAAAGATCTGGGAGATCTTGCTGCTAATTCATGTTGGAATTCATTGAGTTCAAACGATGATCATAGGAGGAACTAACAAGAGTTCAAGACAAGGAACGGCATTGATCATGATCAAGGTGACGAGTGAGAGCAGTCATTTGACATTGAAATCAGGTTCGTTCGTTGGATCTTGAGCCAGTAATGACCATTGACCAACACCCCTCCTCAATCGCTAGGTGAGGAAATGACGAAAGTCACAAACGGTCTGGTGTTACCTGCTCTGACCCAGAACCATCACGATTCTCTATATCCACTGACGTCACCACTTGACCAACGACCTAACACCCTAAGAAGATAGAATAGGTAAGCACCGCCACGGAAGCAGAACTTGAACCAGACTCATCATCTTCCGTTTCCGAGTCACTATCATCTTCATCATGGTTACGGCTAATGACTGGATTCTCTATGTGATGTAATAATAATCTGCGTTGAGTAGATGAGCATGAAAGTTTCGTTAGTCCATCAGCTTTCATGAGGTGAGTAGGACAGAAAACTACTTTCTCAGCTGCGTCTCTAACTCGTAAATAACGTAACGCATAGTGTCTACTCTTAGGCTTCGTGTCTTCACTCTTTGCTGTCGAGATTGCAGACTGGTTGTCTATCCACAATATGGCATCATCGAGGGATGGCGATATACCAAACCGCGTTTCCACTAATTGAGTGGGTAAGGGATTGAAGAAATCTGTAAAATCATGCAGCTCGCTCATGACAATAGTGTCCGACGCGGCTATATACTCTGACTCTGCAGTTGAATATGCACGCACGGTTTGTGTATTGCGTTTCCAACAGATTGGAAAGCCCCGATAGTACATAATCGAACCACTGGTCGAGCGCATGCTCTTTATGCAGTTTGCGAATCCTGCATCTGAGAACCAGTTAGTATACGGTAGCTCTCTTCCTTCTGGTAGGAGCTTCTTGTAAATTCCGTTGAATTCTTCCTCACTTTCTGGAGAATAATAGAGTCCTTGGTCTTTTGTCGTAGCTAGATACTTTAATACTTTTCTACAGGCTTTTGCAATTCTTTCTGTAACGGGCTTACTGACATACCGAGCCAATGTCGCCACAGGGACGCAAATATCTGGCCTTGCGGTTGTCGATATCCAAAGCAGTGCGCCAACAATCTCACGCAATGGAAACCCGGCTGCTAGCTTAAGCCCCTCCTCAAGCAAAGCAGACTCGTCGAAATTTGGAGACCACACCGGCTTACCTAATGTTATTTTATACTTCTGTATAGTCTTCTCTATGTACACATTCATCAGGATTTTCACTGAACGTGCTTCCCGACAATAGTGCACAATCGCACCAAGAAAGTCGAACTCTAGCCATTCGAAACCCGTAAGAGAATCGACTCGCTTTGCCATCTCAATAGGTCGGCCAGGGGCGCGACTAAAGATCCGGTCGAGCTCAGACCGTAACTCGTGATAGTCAGGTCCAGTAGCTAAGTTATCATCAACATAGACTGACATCTTCATATACTTTCCTGGGTGCGTTTTGCTCTTTTTCCGCCACAATCCTGGAGCAGAAGGACACGGCTCCCATCCGAGTTCGGACAATAGCACGCAATACTTCTTGAACCAGGCTCGTGGAGCGTCCTTGAGCCCATAGAGAGCTTTCTTAAGCTTGACGATATCCGCTCCATGCTTCTCCGCCCACACTGGTGGAAGACGGCAGAAGACGTCACGATCGAGTTCAGCATTAAGGAACGCAGAATCAAGGTCGAATGGGATGACGAAGTCAGAGTCCGTCGCTGCTGAAACGAGTAAAAGTCTATTCGCAGCATGTGACACTACAGGGGCGTAGGTGTCGATATTCCCCGAACGATCAAGATTCCCGAGCACACAAGCACGAGCTTTGAAAGTTCCATCACGTTTTACCGTGAGAACGATTGCTATAGGCATTACCTGAGAAGAGGTTCGCAGCTCCTCGTCAGTAGCTGGCGCCCAAGTCTCAAAGGCAAGTAGTCTAGCTTCCTCCTTGGTGATAGCTGCACGCCATTTCTCGGCGTCAGGGCTTTTCAAGGCTTGGGAAACTGACAGCATGACATGTGCTTCGAGAAAGGTCTCCCCTTCTTCCAGCTCATGCCCGCCTGCTAGCATGGCAAATTTATGCATGTCTTTTCTTAATGCTTCTAGCTCGGCTTTTGTTCTTCTTTTGCGTTGTCCTGGATTCTTATCCTTGCTCCCTTTAGGTCTTCCTCGGCCTTTCTTCCCCTCCTCAACTTTGCCTGGTTGAGATGGTGGAATGGGTAAGGTCCTCGGATCCCTTGCTTCAGGATTAGAGTCAGGCGACACACGCTCCGATGAGATATTCCCCTCCTCAACGCGTTGCGCGTCAGAGTTGGAATCATCACCGGTCTTTGGATCTTCCTCTTTGTCCAAAGATTCACAGAAAAACTCACCAATGTCATTGTTATCTAGTATCATTTCCATGCCGGTTGGATCGCCTGAGCTGTACTCCGTGCCAGAGAAGCGCGGCTGACAGGCCATACGTTGCAGCGCATGTCTGTGCAGGACGGGACCCAGCGACGGCGTGCCAGACTGCAGGTTTTCCAGCGGGTCATAATCAACATAAATGCCCTTCGACGTAGGCAATAGCCAATCAATGTTCTTGACTAATATCGACTCTCGAAATTTTACGTCTAGTGTGGAATACTCACTCCACTTGAAGCCAGCTTTCGTTCTCCCATCGTTGTGATATGTACCTACTAGCCAACCAGACGAAACTGGACACAGACCGAGAAACACACCACGCCGATAAGGTGACGCAAGCTTTGCTTCTTTCTTGTTGGTGGTGTCTACGACCTGTTCACGAAAGTACACCAAGCAACCAAATCTTCTTAACATACCTAGACCACTTTTCGAGGACTTCTTTCCTATCCTCTTTTCTAGTATCTCGACAGGACTCATTCCATCACGTTCTGGCATTTTTGCATAACGATGCGGTAAGCGATTCCAACAATCTCCGGCATACTGTAAGCAGTAACACCAAAGACGTCGGTCGACTTTGACCAACATGGTACGTACAGCACCGAAAATGGTCCGCATGAAACGTTCGCAAGTTCCGTTCATTTCTGGGTTGTAAGGAACTCCAGGAATTTCCGAAACCAGTAGCGATTGCATGACTTTGGTCATATGGTCACTACTTAGGACGGGTTCGTTATCTCTACGGATGAACCACACCACCTTGTCGTCGAGTGACAATGAGTAGTCCTGGCGAATGCCTTTTATTACTTCTTCAATCACCTCTACGCAGTCCGACTTGAGGCAAAGAGGACGAACGAAACACATTTTAATCGAATCACAAATAATGACTAAAGCACATCTTTTGCTTCTTATAGATACTGGTCTAATACCAACTGCGAAATCAATTGCAAGTGTTTTCAATGGAGAAGGTATATGTCCAGGGGGTCTCACTTTTGCATGAGAGCGTCTTTGACCTTTGGTTCGATCACATTCTGGACAAGATACACTAAGGCCATCAACGTGAAAGTGACCAAGTCTACGATGTATGTCTAATCTTGAAGCTTGTGAATGAAGTCTAGCTTCTTCTATACTAGTGCATACTATATCCTCCTCAGTTTCATTTTCTTCTTTGCTAAACATGTCACAGCCTAGAATAGGTAACTGCATCTGGGGGCAATTTGTTATGGGTAGAGAGCGGCCGGAGCGAGTATTGTACAACGTTCCGCCACTTTCTGTGAAATTCATTTGCCAACCCTTTTCATGACAGTTTCCTTCACCTAACCACGGTATAATGCGATCTATGGCTTTTGGTAAGTGTTCAAAGTGTACGCCATATTTTAATCCTAGTTTGTTTTCTTTTAGTCTACCTAGGTTCCCACTTCGCTTTCCAGCAGTGCCACTAATATGACAAAGCCGGTGGCTAATTTTCTTGAAATCGGAACGATGGCTAGACAAATACTTATTTGCACAACTGTCAACAAGTGAAACTGTTTTGCTTTGATTTGCACTAAGATAGCAACCTGAGTGATTGTCAATCATATAGCTTTCATCCCTAAGCAGTTCACTTCTATATTCTTTATTCTCAAAGTTTTCTTCCAAGTTCAGCGAACATTTTCCATCCTCATTTTGGAAATCTTCTTCCAATTCTTCTTCATCTTGGGACTGTCCATCTCGTCTCCCATATCCATTCCATTCCGGATTGGTTTCGACTCAGCGTTGTGGTTGTTGTCCACCCCATTGCTGCTGTGGGTTACCGTTGTCGAATCCTTTTCCTCCACTTTGTTGCGGTGGATAGTTGTTCTGGTGCCACGGAGGGATAGTGTTACCTTGCGGCCAACAGTTGTATGAATTGTTGAAGAAGTTGCTGCCCATGGCTTTGTTAGGTTGGTAGCTTTGACTCATCGGGTTTAGCCAGCATTTGTGCGCCTTATGTCCATATTTGTGACAATAGTTGCACTGGATGCCCTCATTAGGATTTGAGTTCTTAGCACCTTTACCTTTGCCATTTCCTTTGTTCTTCTTACTACTAGAACTACTACTACTACTCTTTCCACTTCCTTTTGTTGCGTAGACCTCGTTCTTGATTTCTTTGCGAATCTTCTTGCGAAGTCGTTTGATCGTTGTTTTCTTGAGAGCGGCAAACGCGTTACCATCGTCATCACTCTCATCTTGACGTTTACGCTTCTTGGTTTTGTTATTGTTCTGGTTTTCATCATCGGAATCTTCGACAGCTGGAAAAGCTTTGCCGAAAGATGGATTCTCGATCTTGTACTCACCAGAGTCAATCAAACTTTGAAGCCGTTTCGTGAGTCTGTCACCGATTTGGACGAACGTTAGATGTTCATCTTCTTGCATCCTCTCGATTGTCTGTCGAAATGCTTTGGAAAACATTTTTGGCAGAATGTCGAGGATTGCTCCGTTTTGTTGATCAGCAACAGCCACACCAACTTCCGGCGGGTATACGGTCGGAGATTGGTTCATGACATCTCTAACCTTCGCCAAGAATGTTGGAACGTCTGGAGGAGAATCACTGTTCGTGAAATGCATCCCTTCCAACGCTTTAGCAGAGATTCGCTGCTCTGTGCGGTCATTTTGACTGAAACCAGCGTCACGGAGGTTTGTTACCACTTCACCAGCGTTCATTACAGTGGTATCCTGATCCTTCATATGTGCTGCGGCTGCACCTTTGAGCGACTTGATGATCACGTTCTTCAAATCTCGCCAATTCTGCTGGAGCTTGCGGTCGTTGTTGTTGGGTTGGTTCGGAATCCCTGCCGCATTGCCGTTCAGCACGTTGTTGAAGTATTGGACTAGGTCCAGGCGGTCCGCTTCTTGCGTTACCGCTCGAAGCCAGTCACGCCAGTCAGATTTCTGTCCCAGTTTGGGTGAAATCTCTCCAAGACTCATATCGGGCATTTTGTGGCGCAAATAATGCGACTTTGTTTTCTCTACTTCTACAAAGTATTGACTAGCAATTTCTTTAATAAGGTAAGGCTCAAGGGCTTGAAACAGTGTTGGAACACCCGAACACGTCCAAGCGCAATATGAGGCTCTTGAGAGTAAATGGAATGATTATCGTTGCAATGTAACAGAAAGACGATCAGAACGGACGTGCCGAATGATCACTGACTGTTTAAGGCCCTGAAATGGTATCAAAATGGGTTCAATGTCATTGGGATATCATGAAGGGTCATAGTGCAGTTAAAGATCTGGGAGATCTTGCTGCTAATTCATGTTGGAATTCATTGAGTTCAAACGATGATCATAGGAGGAACTAACAAGAGTTCAAGACAAGGAACGGCATTGATCATGATCAAGGTGACGAGTGAGAGCAGTCATTTGACATTGAAATCAGGTTCGTTCGTTGGATCTTGAGCCAGTAATGACCATTGACCAACAATTACAAATGTACAGTTAAAAACATCACAGCATCAGCTGCATTACTCTACAGTGAACAACATAAGTATGTCGTTCTAAAAATGCATGCCAGTGAGATAACGTGTATTCGAAGAATTATCGCAGTGTGCGTTAGCCATTAGAACAATTATGACTTTCGATATGACTTTCTCCTCTAAGTCACCAGAACGTCTCTTTTGGTGGTAGGCCTACAGCTGAACAGGGGAGTCCGAGTCCCAGAGGAACAGGGGAAGGAGGCTACACGGCCGCTGAAGGTGAAACAGAAGAGCCAAGGATGAGTGAAGGAGCTGAAGATGGTCCTGTTCGACAGTCCGCTAGGCCAAGTGCGAGGCCAAGTGCTAGGCCAAGTGCTAGGCCAAGTGCGCGCCCAACGGCTAGAACGACGGCCCGAGCGACCAGTAAGCGTTTGACAATGTCAGGTCGTGCGAGTGGAGAAATTGGTGAACTTATGTTCAGACCTAAGTACTGTAGGTGCAAGTTCTTGAGCCACACAATATAATACCCATAGTAAGTACTAGGTGTTTTTACTATTCGTGGTTTTTCAATTTGAATTTAGAGGGAGTACTAGAGGCAAGAACACGCACCTTTATATTGATCCACTAAGAACATCACCTTACGAACTTCTAATCTTCCCGACGACGATCCTGCTTCCTCTATGCCTCTCTCGACCGCTCCTCCACCTCCTGGTGCCAAGAACAAAAAGTTCTTCTTCGCTGTCTCTGAAGCCGCGTATCGATTCCTGCAACAAAATGATCCGGGTCTGTTGGACAAGATTTTTCCTCGTATCGCGGTTCATGGTCGGGTCACGCCACCAGGGAAGGTGATGGTTGTGCGCCATTTGCAATTTACGACTTTTATTTGTTTTTTTGGTTTAGTTCTTTCGTACTGTGTGTGGGGGGACCATTTAAACAAGGAGGTTATGTTAATATTATTAATATTAACCTAACCTTACCTTTTTTTCCTAGTTAGCTTGGCTCCACCCGTAATATTAATATAAATCCACTACATTTTGGATTTTCTAACGCGTTAAAGTAGCTACTTCACTAGGTAGCTTGAATAGACATGATGAGCTGTTGGTTTAGTTCTTTCGTACTAGTACCAGTGTATAAGTGCACACTTTATTAATACCCACTCGGATAATTCTTTACTTCGTCTTGGTTAAAAATTCTTTATCATGATCGTTGATGAAGATGAATGTCACTCTCGCTAGTCCGTCGTTCTTTTGGCTAGTCCGATAGGCGTCCTACTACTTTAGGAACCTCTCGCCTCTAAGGAAACCGTCGGTCATACTGTGGCGATGTGTGGTGATGGCGGCAACGATTGCGCAGCGATGAGGGCTGCCCACGTTGGCGTCGCTCTCAGCGGTTCCGAGAAATCTGTCGTAGCTGCGTTCGCTACTCCCGGTGAATCCCTCATGTTTAAGAAGACTTTTAGATACAATGTTCATTTCCGGTTCCAAAAGTCAAGAACTACATTTTCCTTCTTAGTTTAGGACTGCTCTCCTTCTTAGGTTCGGACTTTGTTGAAGAACTGAAGCGAAAAAGAAGAAATGAATTGACAAAACAATTGAATTGAGCCGCGTTGGGATGATTCAGAATTCTTGTTTTGACCTCTACTCCCGTCTAACCTGTGCTGTGTGGAAATTCAACGAATAGGCAGATGCGCCTTAGCTGCTTGTGGGTCCATTGCGGAAGCCGCTGTGCAGATGGGGGCTTTGTTCCTGATTTCAGCCTTATGAAGCGAAAAAGTGCACTCACACTCAAGAAATTGGGTAGGATTTAAGCAGGAAAATAGCCAATTTTTTTGAGTGTGAGTGCACTTTTTTCTTTCATAAGCCTGGACAGAGTTATATTGTCCTGCACGCGGAGGCATGATTACTACTACCTTCCTGGTGTCGATGGACTGCTTATACGTTGTCGTGGCTCTAGCCGGCCAAGAACCAGCGGACAAGTTGACCAGACCCTTGAGTGGTAATCTACTCTTAAGGCTATACAACGTATAATACAGCAGAAGCAAAGGAAGCATGGCCATACAACGTATAATAGCCTCCTTATCTATACAGCAGAAGCAACAAGCGCTATACAACGTATAATACAGCAGAAGCAACAAGCAACCTCTGATCTTCCCTCCACAAGCAGATGACCCTGCTCCTTGGCCAGCACAGCATCCCCCTACAGCATCGAATCCTTGGTAGTTCTTTTTCATCTAGACTTGTGAAAAAGAATCTCCCTACTAATTATGACTCTAGTAGTACTCAAGGAACCTCGAGGTCAAGATGTGCAGAGAACTCAAGGTAAAAATAACGTACTAGGAACACACACCAAGACCAAGAAGAAACTCTTCCTCTTCTTCTAATCGTAGCACCAAAGCGCGTGAAACGGTTCCTCGTGGTCCTGTTTTTGCAATTGCTCTACATCTTCTCGCTGAACATGTGTCTCGAGTCCGTCGCGCCTCCTGTAGGCTGGTACAGATTGGGATTTTCCGATGCTGAATCCGCACAGTACGACGGCGGCGCTGCACCGATCAAATCCAAGGCATCAGCAGCGGCAGGCACACTTATGGTTTTGTTTAAGTACATCTTTTTGGTTTCATCCTTACTCAGGTCACTCATCATCCTCGGAGTCGAGTAGGTGCCGGGGGTGCTCGATGTGCAGGAGATTCACAACCTAAACTAACCATCTTGATTAGTGACTAGAGCTTGGCGAATCGTGAAGACTTCAGTGGCTAAAGAACGCAGATGATCACGATTCTGCTCAACATTAATGTCGAAGGCGTCACGACGAGGTGACGGGACCTCAAAAATATTACTGAATTTACACGACCCTAGTACTACTAGATTAAGATTTTTAAAGGCAGTGAAGCTAAACGACCTCTACTTCTAATCTACCTGAAACTGCCTTCCTTGAGCTGAGTGTGCAAGAGGAACGTGGGGTGGCGTCTTCGTGGTTAGACAGCGGTGCTGAGGTCTTAGAAACAGCAAGAAAATCAGCAAGAAAGGTGCCAGCTGACGCCCTGAGAGCAGTTACTGAGGAGGCGACGACGACAGCGAATGATCCAGCTTCTACCGCTGATGAGGGCACGATTATGGAAAACCACCAACACCTCTAGTATAGGTACAGTCATCATCATCATGACTGATGTTGAGTGCTCTCTAGAATCTAGATTGGAATCATCTGCAGTACATGTAATAGATTCGACGTGCTGCACAATGTTACATTTACTGGTTACTACCACTTTTTTAGAGATACATCCGAGAAGTTGTTAGCGTGGTCAGGATGCATATTTGAGACATTCATTGATTCTCTAACCCCTTGCCCTTCAAAAAGGGAACTACAGTCAGAGTTACACCTTACCTGGAGGAAGAGCCGGAGGTGATGCCGAACAGTTTAGGCAGATACGCACGACTATTCAGTCTCCGTTTGGATTTCATCCCATCGATTTTCCGATTGACTTTTTTGCCTGAAACGATGAACCTCAACTGGTTCTATGCCTCAATCGGCGTCATCATGATGTTCTGTCTGGGACTCGACACAACGCACAGAAAGAACACCTTCAACCGCAGCACGTTTATTTAAGAATAAGAAAATCTTTTTAGGCTAGCACAGATGTCTCTTCTTCATTTCTTCTACTAGTACAAGTAGGAAAATCTTAGGCATTTTGCCGAATAGATTCTAATCATCAAGGAGATGAAGCTTTGTTATAAAAATATGAATGTTGTTGATCATGATGTTGATGTCCATTTTCTGAAGATTTCATACTGTGAGCTCAACTTTGTCTTTGAAGATCAGAACCTAGTAGATGAACTATCCTTCTGATAGTGAGCTCGTCGCTCTAGCTCTAACGCATTTACCCTTTCGTGGGGTTCCTGGTGTTTCTGCAGTTCATGTTCTACGGGAATACATTGATTCACGGTATCTTCAGCTGCAGCATCGACAACAAATCGAATTGGGAATCCTACGATCCGAGTAATCCTGCTGTTACAGGTCTTTATGGGTTACAAAGAGAATTTGGGTTTGGTTACAAAGAGAATTTGATACAAATTTTGGGCCCTCCCTCATGAATGGGGAGCAAGGAGTGAGGGAGCACCCTGGTACGCGCAGCACCATCCAGAGAGAGGCCTTCGGCTGCTTATATTCCCTTCATCCAACGTATAGACTATACAAATAATGATTCGGCTTTATCGCTATTCATCTATACGTCGTATAGTTGTAGATCAAAATGAAAAATTGCAATGTAGAGTACTTAGCAATAGAAGCGTAGAATCATTAGAATAGCAATATGAGCGTAAGTCGTAGGTTCCAACGCTTTCTCCCTTCTAACTCCCATACGGCATGCGCTTGAATGCTGGCGCGGAAATCAATGCGGATTACTTCTGGTTTACGCGTGCTGACACCTCGTTTTTCAAGCAGGAAGATACTTCTAGTGGCGATTCTGGCAGTAGCAGCAGTTCTAGTTGTTGTAGTGGAGACGCGGACGCAACAGCCAGCGAAGCTGCTGCTCCTACTGGTGAGATCCCTGGCGCTGCTGCCAATACTCCTACTGGAGTAGAGGGAGAACAAGGAGGAGACACGGCTGTCGCCGTGTCTGCAGATGGTGAGATTGTAACGACCTCGTTCTTGGCCTCAGGAGGAATGACTACAATTATGAAACATTTTTTGTTGTTGTTTACACCATGGAACTTGGTAACTTTCCCCCTTGGCTTAGAGATGTGCAGCAAATCTTGACTGGCTTCTTCCTTTTTATATCTATGTTCCAGGGCGCGGGGCGACGGCCCCCCCTAGCGGGGGGGGGCGGGCGCCCTGGACCCCGTTTTAAGGCGTCTGCCGGGGGGGAAGGCCTCGAAAGAGGGACCAGTGGCCTCCCCCCTCCGCTCCCTTCCAGCTGCCTGGCTGTTCCCCCGGGGCCTCCGATGGTGGTGGGAGGCTTCAAAAGGGGCCCAAGGGACCGCCTGCGCCCCCGTCCAGGTGCCTGCTTGTGCCCCAAGTGCATCCGTTAGGCTTCGCCGCCGCAGCCGCGCCGCCTGTGCCCTCCGGGCCCTTTGTCATCGGCTTGCGTGCTCTTGCGACCGCGGCTGCCTTCGGCGGCCTTCTACCCCGGAGACCACCCGCCTGCGAGGGTCAGCAGAGGCCAGGAGGCCCCTTGGGAATACGCTGAGAGGCCCAAGGGGAGGCCCGCGCCAAGTTTTGACGCCTTCCACCACTAGAATCCGCGAAAAATCCGCGCGGAAAAGCGCGCGCGCCACCACAGACCAGACCACAGGGGGGGGGCCGTCCGGCCTTGAGTCATATATAAGGACGAGGCTTAGGCCCAGCGACGCTTAAAGCACGAAAGTAAAGCAACCGGTTAGCTTTCTCTCTACCCTTAGGCTTATCCCTTCATGCAATATACAGTGCGACTTTGATCTTCTCCTCCTCGAGCTATCTCCATCTCTCGTACAAAAATATCACATACTGTCACCATCTGTACGAGAATATCTCTTAATGAGAAATCTTCTTATTGTTGGTACCCGAGAATATCTTCTTATTCTTGAGTTGCTACGTGGTTCGAATGAATGAATGAATGAATTCTTATATTGTTTCTTACTACATAGAAGCGATAGGTTTTTTGGCTAATGCTTGTGGTGGACGTTCCAACGTGCTGGCTACTAGTGTGGGGAACCCAGTCATCAGTGCAAACCGAATGCAACAAGATCCTAGTGCAGACAGAGCAAAATTATGCTGGGGATTTTGATTTGATAAATCTTTGCCCCTGTTATACGCTTGAAAAAAAAATTGATTCACATAATGTAGACAGCACTGTCTACATTATATACTGTTAGTGACAGTATCAATGTTCAACTTCTACTCTATTCTTGTACTATCCAACATCCGCGAGTTTCAAATTTGAAGTGAGTGCAATCCATTATACTACAGACTAGCTCTAAGATATGAAGAACTCATCGAGACCTATTTCGATCGAGAAGAACGTTTATGCCCATGTGGTGCCGATGACAACGAAGAGGGAGAGCAGAAGGATGGTGGCGGTGGTAGTAGTAGTAGTAGCTGCTGTGGTGACAGTGAAACAGCTTTAAGGCAAGTAAGTAATGCTCGTCAAAGTCTAAGTCCTCTAGTGCTTTGATTATTTAGGTTTGATGAAGTAGGTTGTAACTCATACATCTTTGCATTTGACTCGTTATAAACGTACTTGTTCTTAGAAAATAGATCTAGCCATTTCTTGTACCTAGTACTCTAAAAGTTTAAATTTGATAAAGACGCCTAGCTAAGTAAGGATAGAACTTTCTAATATTACCGCCTTCGATTGGCCAGTCGAATAGGGAGAGACTTTCCGCACGTGGCGCACCTCCGGAAATTGAAAATTACGGCTAGAAGTCAAGCACTATCTACTGCTGGGTGGGTTATTCCTCTTAGAGAGGGAGACTAGAATGGTATTGTGAGTCAAACTATTCTGTGTATGCTGAGTATGTATGTGATTCCACCTCTCAGAGAGAGTAGAGCAGTCAAGAGGTTTTTTTATTGAAGTGGGGCAGTATGATGATGAATAAGACGCGCACTGTACCTAAAGTAGCGGGAACAAAGTAAGGAAACAACAACTCACTTAACCTCGGATAGAGATAATTTTGTTTGAGAACAATGCGCTAAGAAAAGCCTACCTATGTGTCGACAGTGCCAGCGACTACGGAAGCATTTCCTTTCGTAGTGATCGTTGGTTCACCCTTGGCGAAGAGGGGTAGGGAACTAACAAAAGCTCCTACTGCTGTAACGGGAGGAGAAAAAGATTATGATATGCCTTTTTGTAGGAGTGAATTCGAATTGAACTAACCTATTATAAGTGAAGGATCATTTCTGCTGGATACCAGTGTATAGAACCTCTGAGTCCACTCATGTTGATGAGTTCCTTTTCATATCCATTCAAATAATACCATCAACATCATCCAAAATATAGGACTAGTGTTTCCACCTATGAAAATGCTCAATCTTGTTTTTCCACAGTAGACATTCCACCTATGAAAATGCTCAATGCTCAGTCTTGTTTTTCCACAGTAGATGTGTCTAAGAACTCGAGCTAGGAGCAGCTAAGCCCGAAGAAGGAATCGCGGCCAGCTTTGTTCCTGAAGGCGTAAAGGATCTGGTCAATCCAAGGAACCCGGCTGCGGATGATCTGTTCAAGCCTACCGCTCCCACAACTTATGGAACTAGATGGCGTGGAACACTGGATGTTGAACTACTTAGAAGTGAATTAATGTGTGCCAACCTACTTGTACGATCAACGCGGCGTGACATCACAAGTACATACATGACAGGTCCCTTCAGGGCAAGCATAATTTATACTATAAGTAATTCCTACTTGTTTCCTCTCTAAGAATCGCCGAACACGCATCGCCACTTCCCTTCCGTAGCCACCTTTTCGTCTTTCTTAGCAGCGGAGGACAACAAGGTGGTAAAGAAGACGTCATTCTTGGCGGAGGATGAAGACGAAGAACCTCCGTCGCCACCGTCGTGGGTGCTGGCAAAGCAGTTTGGGAACCAAGCCGTTGCCGAACTCCGCGAGTTAGTGCGACCAAGGGGGATTTTGGCACAGTTATGTGTTGACGATGTTACTGACATCTGTTTGATGAGGATGTTGCTGACAGTTTGATGTTTGACGATGTTCGTTCTTGCTTGTTGTTGTGTATATCTTGCAAAGGAGGAGGAGGGTGCTTTCTTCTGAAGTTCAACGTTTACTACAAGAATATCAACAGATCACTTACCACCTGGGTTTACAACTTTTGATATATATTTTACTCCAAATAGATAATACCCTTGCTTCCACCCGCCCACAGATGGAGTAAGAAGTCTTGTTAGTCCACTTGCTTCTAATCCTTGCCCACTACCTGTTCCACGTACGTCATATGCAGAAGCAGTTTGAGAATCCGCAAGAGTACAGGATTCCCGAAGTGACCACCTCGCTGTTTCGCTATGGTGAGCATAGGGTCAATGCGCAGTGGGTGCAAATATCGGGGATCAATTTTTACGGCTTTCAAAATCTCATGCATACTAACTTTGCAGGAATTCTAAAATCCTTGTAAATTCTTGACTGCTCTCGTCGTCCACATCCTATGTTAACCAAGCAGCTCTTCTTCTAAGCTGTCTTTAGTTGCCCAACACTACTTCAACCACCTGTACACCATGCCTACAGATTTTACCAGGTGTACCACCAAACCGATTGTGGACCCCAACCTCTAACGTTCCCTACCTTTCGTGATGTTGCAAGACGGAGAGGTTGATTGGGCGGGTTACGAAAAAGGGCTTGTCGACATCGGCGCTGCTCCGAAAGAGGGGAAGAAGAAATTTGTCGATGCGCATCTCAAGAATGCGGACACGAGTGATCGCATGCAGAAACGTGCTCATGATTTGACCACGTTTTACTTTACGACAGGATTTGAATCTTGATGTAGCGAGCAGTAGCATTTGTGAATAAAACTCGGTGTCGAAGTCGACTCCAAGTGGACGACAGTTAATTGGCCTTAAAGTGAACAAGAAGTCCAGAAATTTGAGTACAACGACCTCACTACAAACCTTCACAATAACCTTATTCTTCCGTGCTTATTTGCCATCTGTATCATATGGTATCAATCCTCTTAAAGATGTTGTTTTCTAATACCCGTCAAGAAATGTGTAAAGCCACTTGGGTTTCCGGTCTTTCGCGTTCCGCGGCACCTCACTCTCGCTTCTACTGCTGGTTCATCGCAGTCTCTTCAAACGGTGACAACTGTTTCCTGGTACCTCGTGTGAGCGGCCGCCAACCTCTGGGACCAGATATTCCAGCTTTCATGTTATGTTGATATCACTGCAAACCTCATCTTCATGCCATCACATCATGTCCTTCAGGCTTACATCACTGATAGATTATCCTAAGCATAAGCAGTAACCTATCCCACGCCCACCCTATGAAACACTTTCGGCTCATCCTAAAACACAGGAACCAATCGATCCCCTTCAGCGAAGCCAACCAACTATCATAGTGAAGCCCTTTGTTGATATTAGTTGTCCTCAAGTTGATGATCCTCAACTCACTACTGACATACAAACTCGACCACGTCCCATAATTCCCAATATTCTTCTAACCTATGAACAACAGTTGAACCCTCAAGGGGCTTGGTATTTCGCACAAGACTATGATTTCGATCGCGAGCAACAGAAGGGCGAGAGTACTGTGGGCAATCCGATTTTTTCGGCCTTCGAAAATGACCCGATTTTTGACGAGACGGCGATGCTGTACAAGCGACCTTTGGTGATCCGTACGCCGAATACGCTATCGTTTGGCGGCGACTGTGCGGGAGAGAAGAAGCGCTGTGACCCTGAAGCAAAGGCACGCGAAGCGGCCAAGATTATGATGCATTTGACACTTTTAGAATACTTAGATAGATGTTGATTGTGAAGATGTTCAACATGTAAGAATGATACTTAGAAAATCATGTTGAAGCGAGTGGAAATTGTTTTAACTTTGGTGCGTATACATATTAAGGAATAATGTTTTCGAATCGGCCTCTGTCTCAATATGAAATAGCCCAACGATCGTTCTCTTTCGTCTCTCTCTCTCTCCTCTAATACACGCCCTTCTCCCCCAACAAACGATGTGGCGAAGAAGTTGCGCTATCATGATGACAGCTACGCGGTTTTCTACCTGAATCGCCATAATGCGGTGATGTGGAAGAATATTGTGGAGTCACCGCCTGCGCCGAGTACTGAGGAAGATTTCTATTATGGCATCCGAAAGTCTTCGGCTAGTTCTTACCACAATTATTATCTTCAGCTGTCGCTATCCTAAGATTTGTAACCACGACAATGAAAATTTTCATCCTAAAATACGTATAACCAAAACCACAAACATCATTATCTTCATCTGTCGCCATCCTAAGATTTGTAACCACGACACATCAATGAAATATATCATCCGTCAACATCCTAAAATACGTATAACCAAAACCACAAACTACATCAGTCTGCTCTATTTTTCTCCTTCTCTAACCTTTTCTTCCACGCAAGGATTTCAACGTGGAGGAAGACACTGAGTGGTTCCCGAGTGTGTACGAGCACTACGCTGGTACCTTCTTTCCAACCTACTACGTCTACCTGACCATCATCTTGCTCCTCTTCATCGGCATCTTTGGTGTGACGGTATACATCTTCTTGCAGAACTAGAAGAGCGAGGTGGTTGTATCAAACTAGAAGATAGAGGTCGTGGTCGTATACGTGATGGTGGAGTACAGAAGATAGTATTTTTGGAGAATACTAGATGGAGGTGATGGTGGTGGTGGTGGTGGAGTACAGAAGATAGTATTTTTGGAGAAAACTAGATGGAGGTGGTGGTGGAGTACACGACAAGATGCTTTGTGTGGAGTTGGGCTTCGGTTTAGAAGTTGGGAAATTATTAGGAGATTTGTTAGGTACTAGTGGGTTTGGAGAGGATCGGTAGAACACCGCAGGGAGATGATTTTTTGAAGATGGGGTAGCTGCAGGAGCTTTTTTGGTACAGCTACTACTTCTGGATTTCTATTTGGGGAAAGGATCGAGGATAGGTGTAGCTTTCCCCTATCTTGTTTGTCGGAGCAAGGATGAAAGAATGTAGACTTTCGTAGCAGGCAGAGGGGGGATGCTAGTCATTGGTGGGTCTGGGGTGTGCTGTCCTGACGTCAGAATGATTCTATAGACAGAAGCATTGGGTCTCTGTGTTCCACTTGTCTTGACATTGTGTGCCGACATTGTGTCTCTATGTCTCCTGGATGCGATGGAATATGAGCATTCTATCAAGGAACCAACCTTTCATTACAGTCTACAACATTGACATAGGAGATCCAAGATTGAGTAGTGCTAAACGTCTAGTCCTTCACAAATTCAAATTTATCGATATTCTTGTAAAAGGGACACAAACTACTAGCTTATAGGGTCGTAACTAGATACAACGTCAACAATATGAATATCAATTATCTATGTCACAACATTTCGCGCACCAGAAAATGAACAAACTCGTTTATGCGATTATAACGAACCGACCTCGTGGTTAAAATCGAAACTCCCTACTCTCCTGAAGATACTAGGAAAATACTTCGAATGAGTTGCATTGTTGTTTCCCATCAAAGAATTTCATTATTATCTTGAACAGCAGAAACAGACGCTCACAATGAACTTACTTCAATTTACTACAATTAAAAAACCATTTCCTCGAGAATAAAGGACTGATCAGAATCGATCCTGAACAGATACGAACAAGAAACAAATTTGAACGTAGGTCAACATCATTTTGAAGATGCACTTTCTTTCATTCACGACAACGACTGCGTCATCTTTCAGGAAATGAAAATAGACCGAAACGACCACTGAAGCACTGCCTCTCAACAGCGCTAACGAAAGAAGAAGTCCAGAGGCTCCTGCGACTCCGACTTAATGAATCCTGTACACAATGAATCTTGTACACAACAAAAAAATCAAAAATCGATGTTGAAGCTGGAAAGTTCCTCCATAAAGGCACCAAGCACTATACGTGACATCAAAATGAAACAATTCTCGAAATGAAACCCCTGTCAAAGAAATGAAAATATGTCATCATCAGAACAACACGCATTCGCTATATGTAACCAAGGAACAGTACCTGCGAAACGCTAGGTGTCACTGACTGATGACGAGAGCCCTTCATCACTTGCCTGCGGGTACAGAGAATACAAATCAATCTCTAGAGAATACAAATCAACTACTAATTGAAGAAGATGATCTCTCCTGTTACAGCTGAATTCAAATCGTATTTTGTCCTCGTCTTCAAGACGACAATTGCGAAGTCTGGTCCAATCGGTCACAGCTGATGAAATTTACACTCATCGTTGGTGTCTTCGATGTATGCTGATGATGAGATTCCGGGTACATAGATCGTTGTGGATTGAGGAAATCCTGCATCGTTTTTTTTCAAAGCAACTTCGTCCACGATGTGATCCTTCAACCTAGTGGACCCACACCTAACCTAACCTATCAACATCACACACACACACACACACACACACACACACGCACACAATGAGTTTCCCCCCTCTATGTTGTCTGGCGGTTCATTGTTTTTCTAGTGGAGGAGGAAAGGTAGGACTTGGAAAATACTGCGCATCAAGTTACATGAAGAATGCTAGTTGTCGATAAAGAACTACTCTCCAACAGAAGGTACAGGATAGTTGAAAGGCCTCGATGGTGTCAGTACGACACATAAAAGAGGATCCATGTTGACATGACATCTAATATTTAGCGAATCCTCCATGATCATCTCTGCAAATTTCACAACTCCCAGCGAACTGCTCCTGTTGATTCAATTTGAGTATGAATATCACGTTATCATGTCATAGCATAGAAAGATGAACACTATTTCACAAGAGGATAGGAGTTTCATCTTTCAGCTAGAGTAATATTTTTTCAACCCATGTTGATCAACGACCTTCTCATACCGCAAAGTAGTTAAGGGCCGCACGCACAAGCAAGTCTAAATTCCCAGTAGCCATAATTAAGCTGAAAAGAAAAAATGGCTTCTCTGGGCGGCGCAAGTGGCCCTCCTGGTCATGCTGGCATACTCCAATCCCCAGGTCGTATGTCTGACGCCGGCAGTGACCACTCGTCATTGCACCTGAACGAAGCGTCAGAGGCAAGCTCACAGCGAGGTGAGCCAGCTGCCAAGCGGAGACGAGCAGGGGCAACAGGGAATGGCAACATAGGCCACAGCGCTGAACCAGACAGGCATTTTTCGGTTCGATTTCACGATGTGCCCAGTACGCACACAAGGGACGTCTTCTGCGCGTTGGAGTACTAGGAAGACTAAGATATTCTTGAATAACGCATCTTTGCTGTTCTTGCTATTATTTCGAACATCTTCATCTAATGATCATGTGGTGAATTTCGGGTTTAACCGATACTAAGAAAGCAATAGCAATGTAACTGTAAGCAAAAGCAATCAACCGCAACGTCTCGTCAGGTACAATCGCGACATCCTGGATCCATCAATCCCTAAGATGCATTACCTGGCTGCTGAGAAGGCGCATCCTGTACCTCTAGACTTAGTCGACTCTAACGCCACCAAAGTCGATAGTTATGGGACTGGTTTGATGCTTGGTTGTTTGAAACCAAGAGAGTTTTGCCGCAGAAGGGAAGGTTTGCATATGAACCCTCTCCCAGCGGGCCACCCCTTAGGCGTGAATAAGCGATACACAGCAGAACAACAAAAGCAGCGGTTGGTGAACAAGCAACAAGAGACGGAGGCATTGTTCTTGCGACGACCGATTCTAGTTCAGAATGACATCTTCGCAAAGGGTGATGACATTGTGGTGGGTCACGAAGCAGTGGAGAAGAATCTACCACGTAAACCAGTGGAAGCAGCGACGCCAGAGGAAATCGCAAGCAGAATCGAAGCCACATTTCAGAATGCTAATTATGAACGAAAAGATTATTCTTTTACAACGAGAAGTTGTATGTAAGATAACATGGATCCTCCAAAAAAATCCAAAAATCGAATTTTGGAGGTTTCAGACTGTGTCGACACTTAGGTTTGAGGAACTATCATCTAGTTTTAGAGATTAACCACGACTACAACCTCACCTCCCGATCGGCCTCCCTCGTTCTTATTTCTTCCCTCGTTCTTATTTCTTCCCTCGTTCTTATTTCTTCCCTCGTTCTTATTTCTTCCCTCGTTCTTATTTCTTCCCTCGTTCTTATTTCTTCTTTTTCTAATCGGCAGAAGGCGCAGTCCATCCAGAGCATGGTAGCAAGGTTAAGGTCAAATCCGAGACGCCGATTCTTCCGAATGCGAGTATGTGGGCCACCAACTTTCGAACAGTGTTGTTCGACGAAAGCACTAACATTCCTTTCGAAAAGGAGAATCCTGCACTTCTCTGGCAGGAGAGCAAGATGGGCAAGGAATTTTTGGGATTGCTCAAGCCGGATGCAAGCAAGGAGCACAAATTGGAAAGAGCGTACTTCTAAATATGAATAATTTTTTTTACCTCGACAATATTTTTAGACGTATCCCGTGCATCAATTAATTGTAGAAGTTTTACTCCATAGATTAAACACTGACTTTGAACAGTCCTGGGTAAACTTCATTAATTTGATTTGTAGAAGTTTTAGAACGTAGTTCTTATGATGTTGTCTTTTTTTGACAATTCAACTTCCAACTTCTACATGCCACTTTCTTTCCCTCCAAAAGTAGTCTTTTAGAAAGATGATCCAACTGTACAGGACGAGGACTCGAACATCATGAAATACGCATTCAAACATAGGTATGTCTGGGTGAACGCCGGCGAATGGCAGCAGAGTCGGTCTTCAGACGAAAGCGAGTTTCTTCTGCTTTCGCTTCCTGGGAAACCGAACAAACCAGCCAAGTTTGTCCAAATCCCGAACAAACTGCGAGTCAAAAAGATGCTGGCGCAACTCCAATCCGGTTCGGCCACCACCGCGGACTTCGATATCGGTCGCAAGCGTGTCGAATGGCGCCACCAGAATAAGGCAGAGGAGGATAGGGATCACAACAAGCTAAGAGAAGTGCTGGAAGAGGATCTTTCAGCTAGTGGGGGAGCAGGCTTGAATGATCCAGGTAATGTGTCTCCGGGAATGTACGGAGCATCGCCGGGTATGACACAGTGGGGTGGAGGAGGTCAGAGTGTCGCGGCATCAACATTCGATGGAGGTCTACCGAATGGAAAGCATGTTGGGAATGGAAGTGTAGCTCATTGATTAAAAGGTTACTTATCTGTGTTGTTTTTCAGGTGATTAGGTTGTGGTAAGGTGGATGTAAGTAGGGATGTAAGTAGCATCTCCAATTTGATGGATGAAAAGAAAGGAAGATGAGGATCCATCAGTATGACGGAGATGGTCGTACAAGTAGAACTGGTAAAACTCAGTTCTACGACGTTAGCTCTAGAGTACTTGGGTCTTTGATTCATAGTCTAGAGGGTTGAGAACTGAGACGACCTAAATGAACCGTTGTGTCGTCTTCATGTTCAGGTTTACCCCTTAAAATGAAAAAGAAAACACTCACACTCGCAATTATGGAAACCAAAACACTCACAAAAGTAGGGACAAGAGTAGCTGCTCGCTTGTGATATCGACGTAGAAGATCTCATATTTGATGACACTTTATCAGATAAGTGTACAGGTCAACGCCTAAGCCACTAACTCCTCAGCAACTGTTGTCGCGCGAGCGATTTGATAAGGATCGCGATTATCACGCCTTCGTCGTTTCATCTACTTCTCCATATCATTTTTTGATCAAGTTAGACGCTGCCCACACGACCACAAAAAGCAAATCGAAAGAACGCTCACGCTCAGAAATTTCTCTGTGCTTTGCTAGGTAGGGAATAAAATGAAGTTCCAACTTACTGAAGATGAAGTAGCAGCAGTGTCGAGATGATGCCGATCTGACACAAACTCGCCGATGACATAAGACCCAGGATGATGTAGATACCCTTCTTGATCAAAGTGAGTAAAGTATTTCTTCTTGTTCGACACATTATCATGATCATGATCTTTATGGTTCTCGGATCAAAGAAAGTTGTCTCGTCCAAGATTTCTCATTTGTGGTAAGAGAAGGCAGGAGAAAGAAGGATCTTTCTACGACTTAGGATCTCTGAGTGGTTATGGGATCTACGGAACCACAAAGTTCGGTCAAATTTTCTTTGCACACAAATCCAGACAACTAAGAAACTCAGCCTCACGATGATCGTTAGAAGTGTAGTCCATCACAAAGAACAACAAATTCAGATATGGATGAGAACTTGTAAAATGATAGCTCTTCGCTATTATTTTCTTCATGCTACAAGAATTCATGTATAAGGCTACGACCAATATTTCCTCAACAAATCGTAATTCTACAGGTAATCAATGGGAATCACCTCATTGATGACGGAACTTGGCTTATATGTACCATTTGGACATTGGGGCCTGTTTCTTATGATCTGATTTGATCTGATTTCTTATGATCAATCTTTGTGAAGGTTGCATCATCCTCCCATAGAAGAAGCCTCTTTATATTGTAGTTGATTCATAATAATTTTTCTGATTTCGCTTAAATACATGATACCAAACTTTTTCCATCACCAACAAGCCCTCCTGATCAACCGTAGATTCTTTCATGATATTACCCATGGACGACACGTGTAAGATATTAGCCAAAGTTATTTTCGACCGCATAACTAGTCCGTAATCGTATACAATGAACTTGATTTTCTCTATTGATGTGATTCCCCATTCCTGAAATTATGCTATATACAACGCGAGCCTCGTTTTCTGAATGAATCATTTCAACAAATTGATATTCGTCTTCATGAGTGAGTATTTCTGGTCATCGATGTTAATTGTGTAAAATATTGGACAAGTATCTCTGACTCACGTAATATCTTCGACAATAATACCATATTACTAGAGCTAATAATTCTTCATTGGATACATCATCAGAATTCCTCACTGGATACCATATTACAGAATTCTTCATCGGATACATCACCTTAGAGAAATCTAAGTCAACTAGCATCGACAAAAGAAGGCTGGAGCACAAGTGCAGGTCGATGTGGGTCTAGCGAAGCTTTGCCATACTACTAGAGATAATACGGTACTAGAGATTCTCGAAACAGAATTCTTCATTGGATACATCCTGAAAAATGGGGGGACAGAACAAAGGCCGTTCGAAAGGTAGCGCCACTAAAGGTGGCGCTAAAGCAGGTGGAGGTTCGGCTGATGGTGCCTCGAACTCCAAAGGATCTGGGAAAAAGGGCAAAGGCGGCTCAACACGGCGCGAAGTCTCCAGTCATCAGAAGATGGTGGAGCGCTTCCTCAAGGATGGCAAAATCACCACCGCCATGGACGCCAACAAGTTTCTGGAGTCAGTCGTTCATGTGGACGACAAAATGGAGCTTCTGGAGATGCTCAGCGCTGGTTCCGGTCCTAAAGTGGTGAAGCTGGCTTTGAACAAGGGCGGCGACTCCGACGCCTTTCTGAAGCTGCGGGTGGTGCCTTTTCTGGCCTTGCTTGGCAGTGACGAGTACACGTCAGGGTTCTGTCGCGACGCACTCACGGATCTGCTGCAATCGTTGTACAAGATGCCAGGGCTTGTCGCCTGTCTGTGCAAATTGGTCGCGAAAAGGCTGAGCAGTGAGCGCAAGGAGGACGAGAAAGCACTCACGGCGCTGGGCTGGTTCGCTCTCATGTGCTGCAAAGAGATTGAAGATGCGCGAGAGCCGGGCTCTCCCGGTCACGAGCTAGCGCAGGCCTTGATGGAAAAGAAGACCAAAGCCACAAGACAACTGAAAACCGTATTGGATAGATCTTCTGCTGGAGGTGCTCCTTCTGGTGAACGAGGAGAAGGAAGAAGTCATGTCCATGACAATGTAGTCGATGTGCAGCTAGGTCTCGAGGACATCGAGGTGCAGGCTGGCGGTCGCCATGACAACGATTTGGAGGATTTTCGGAGCATTGATCCTATGCCGACAATCGAAGAGCTCGAGTGTGAGAAGCAACCGTACCTGCCGAATTTCGTGCCTGTGGAAGGACGAGTGCTCGAACAGCAGTTTCGTCTCTTGCGCGAGGACCTGGTAGGACCAGCGCGCCAGGAATTGAAGATGTTGCGCGAAGGACGCGGCAATCGCCGCAATGTGTTCGAGAACATGGAGATCTACGACATCGGCAGTAAGAAAGCTGTGAAGCCTTGCGTTCTCGTCAAATTCGATTTGCCTGAAAGACATCCGACCCTCACTGTGCACAAAACGAAGGATCGCGTGGAGTGGTGGAAAACGCATGGCAAAGGTATGCTTCCTTTGGATGCCCTGGTGGTGTTGATCGACCCTATCAGTGGCGAAGCGAAGCACTTTGCGTGGGTGGCCTCGCGCGAGCCGGAGGACCTTGCGGGCACGAAGGAAGACCCTCGACCCGGTGTGGGACTCATGTTCAAGGGCGACGCCCAGGAGGTCGCGGATGTCCTGTTTGATTGGGGCCGCGGACCCTGTTGGAAGATGCTGCAGGTGACCCAAAGCTATTTCTCCTATGAACCAGTGCTGAAAGCTCTCCAAAAGAAGACCGAAATTCCGCTCGCCGAAGAGATCTTGCTTGGGCAACACGGAAAGGCGCCAGAGTATCTCGCAGGCATCGACATGAAAAGCGCGATTCCGAATTTTATGAACCCGAGCCAAAAGGAAGCGGTTGGGCAAATCTTCGAGACGGGTGTGGGGCTCATGCAGGGTCCACCTGGGACGGGGAAAACTACAGTTTCCACTGAGGCGATCCACATGATCTACAAGAAGACCGATGCCGTGATCCTCATCGTGGCTTACACCAACCATGCTCTAGACCAGCTCCTCGAGAAGTTGATGAAAAAGGGCGTCAAAGAGATCGTGCGTGTATTAAGGCTTCCCCTAATCCATCTTCTGAAGCATCGCAGACTTGTCCCACAAGGGGGAAATAGGTCTAAGATGAATCTTGCGATGGATAAGGGTGAGCACTAAGTGTAGGTGGAAGGACCAAATCCACGATGCTCAAGCCCTTACAGCTGAACGAAATGGCGAGAAACGGCACGACCTCTCCGTCATCGTCTGGCATAGTGGGAGGCGTCACCGGAGTCGGGAAAACAAGTCAAGTTGCAATGAGACGGCGGGCAGCAAAATTGTACGAAAAACGTGAAGAGGCTCAGGCGAAGAAATACGATGGAATGGGCGACCTTCGAGATACCGATTTGAGCTACGGCGCGCACAAATGGGACTTGCTTGAGCCGTTTCTGGAGGAGCGCGAGCCTGAAATTTTCGAGGAATTGGAGACTGCGGCAGGTGTCGGCGAGGACGGCTTTGAAGTCGTCGGCAAAGAGGGAAAGCGGCTGCCGCGTCACTACAAGTGGCACTTGTGGCGTAAAGGTCTCTCGCATCCGGGAACAGGAGTTCATGATGCGTTGCCGGCATCTAGTGTGTGGAAGAAAAGCTTCGCTGAGCGCGAAGCGCTAATGCGTGACTGGAGTTACGAGCTTTTTCGCGAGAGCCGTGAGAGCGTGGCAGAGGGACTTGTGGAAGAGCGTGATGCCTCGGCAGCACTTAGTCGGCTGCACGATGAGCCCAAGATTCCGCTATTGAAGGGGGCGCGTGTCATCGGCTGCACCACGACGGGCTGCACCAAGTACGCTTCATTGCTAGCGAGCGTGAAGGCCAAGGTCTTGGTCACAGAGGAGTCTGGCGAGCTGCTGGAGGCACACACTCTGGCCTGTCTCGGACCCACCGTGCAGCACCTGATCAAGATCGGCGATCATAAGCAGCTAAGACCAAAAATCGAGAACCATGCGCTTTCTGTCGTGTCCGGCAACGGCCACGACCTGAACCGTTCCATGTTCGAGCGTTTGGTGCTCAGCGGGCACGAGCACTCGATGTTGCAAGAGCAACACCGCATGCACCCAGAAATCTCTCGCATGATCATGGATCTCAACGTCTATCCTGAGCTAAAGAATCACCCAAAAACCGAAAGCCGTCCAATCCTGCGTGGGGTGTCTCAGCGCGTCACGTTTATCGACCATCGTGAGCTGGAGAAGCAGAAAAATTGGAAGGTCCAGCATGACGAGGGGAGGAGCAACCCCTACGAAGCGGAGCTCGCCGCGTACGTGGCTCGGTACTTTACGCAGCAGTCCTACGACGAGAACTCCATCACAGTGCTCACGCCTTACTTGGGTCAGGTCGTGGAGCTCCAGAAGCAACTCGTCAAAGTCCTTGACGTTCCGATCGACATCAATGAGCGGGACCTGAAAGACCTGGACGCCGCAGGACAAGAGCAGCCTGACAACAAAGAGGCGGCTGTTGACAACAAAGAGGAGAATAGCAAGAAAAAGAACAACTCTAGCAAAGTGCGTCTGCCTGGCCCGCCCGTCGGCGACTCTGAGCGCAAGGTGCGCGTTAGCACCATTGACAACTACCAGGGTGAGGAGAATCACATTGTGATCATCTCGCTTGTGCGCAGCAACGAAGACAACGTGATTGGCTTTCTGAAGGAGCCAGAGCGGCTCACGGTTTTGTTGACTCGTGCACAGGAAGGGATCGTGATTATCGGCAACGGCCATTGTCTCCGCAACGCGAAAAACCGCGATGCAGCGCAAATGTGGGAGAAGCTGCTCGCCGGGCTTGAAGCCCGCAATGAACTTCACAAGGGACTTCCAGTCAAGTGCGCACGCCATTCGCGCGGAGCATTGCTGTGCACCCCCGTGGATTTCCAGAGTTACGCGCCCAATGGCGGATGCACCTTCGAGTGCGGCCACAAGCTTCCGTGTGGTCATCACTGTCCGCTTCGCTGCCACAGTTTCGGCCCCGGACACGAAAATGTGCGGTGCGAAATCCTGGTGAACAAGTACTGCGATGCGGGCCACGTGCTGCTCCTTCCTTGCGGCGAGAAGGTGACTGGATGCCCCGTCTGTTCCGAGATCAAACGCATCGAGAAGCAGCGTGAGGAAGAGATTGCCAGGATCAAGGCGGAGGAGGCGGAAAGGATTCGACTGGCTGCTCTGCAGAAAGCCAAGGAAGAGGAAGAACTGCGACAATTGCAACGGCAAATCCGAGACGAAGAGTTGGAAGAGGAGATGAAGCTCGCAGCAGCTCGACGTGAGATCGCCAAAAAGAAGCTAGAGCACGAACTCGAGTTGAAGCGGACTACAAAAAACGAAGAGCTTCAGGAAACCATTGAGAAAGAGCTAAAGGCATGCGAGGAGCAGATGTTGGAAAAGGAACGCTTGGCAGCTGAAAAATCTGCTGCGCTGGCGAAGAAGATGACGGAGCTACGACGCAAGCGCAAACGCGCTGAGAAGGAGGCCGAAAACGGTCCTCAAAACGCTGAAAACCGTAAGAACAGAGTCAATTACAATTGTGACGCCAATTTGAGCGACCTCATGCGCGGTGCGCACGCAGATGCCGAAACGACGGAGCGTCTCCTGACGATCACTGAGGAGTTGAGCGAGCTCGTCAAAGAAGGAGATGGAAATGCCAAAGCAGCAGATGCGCTGGGAGCGAAGGTGCGCGAGCTTGTAGTCAACAAAAATGGTAACAACTCGAAACTGATGAGTCTGCTCTTTAAATGCGACGAAAGACGGTTCCGTCAGATGCTTCAGCGAGCCAAAAAAACGGGACAGAAGCACATTGAGCTCTCTGACATGACACGGCGCGCTATTAGCCTGCTGCAGGAGGGCAAAGTCCTCGACGCCGAAGAGATCTTAGGAAGCAAGTTTGGTAAAGAACAGATAAACGGGGAGAAGCAGCAGGAGCCGTCCGAACTGAGAGCTCTAAGAGCCTGCTGCAAACTGGAGCTCACGCAGGAAACGGCGGTTCTTGTGGAGGCGAAGAGGATTCGGGATACGATGGAACCAACTTTGAGTAGTGGGGTCGACGCGCTGTTGCGTGCCCTTATTTGCGACGCGGAGAGCGCAGGCGACGTGACTAGCATCAGCTGCATGTTCGAGGCTTGCTCGGCACTGGTCATTGCCGAGGCCTGCGAAAAAGGGCCTGTGGTGGCGTATGTCCAGGGCAAAGCGCGGCAACTGTTGGCAAAGCACCACACTGTGGCAATGTTGCGGGTGCGAGCAAAAAGGGTGCCGAAGACGAAGTCGAAGGGATGCGCAAGCGTGCGGGCGCCAGCGAGGCGCTGCTCGACCTATTGAAGCTCACTGGGCTCAAGAACATCAAGCGGCAGTTTTTAAAGCTAAAGGACAAGATGGCCCTGGACGAAGAACGAGGGCTCGACTTTAAGAAACAGCTGTTTAACATGCGCTTCGACGGTAATCCTGGTACTGGGAAGACCACGGTTGCCCGCTTGTACGCAAAATTTCTAAAGGAGCGCGGCGTGTTGGAGGAAGATAACGTGGAGGAGACCAGTGGCGCCAAGCTCGTGAATGGAGGCACTGCTGAAATTAAGAAGATTTTGGAGGAAAAGTTGAAAGATGGTGGCGTACTCTTCGTTGACGAGGCTTATCAATTGAACCCGAAGACGAATCCTTTGGGAGCTCAAGTTTTGGACTTTTTGTTGCCGGAAATGGAGAACCGCCGTGACAGCCTTGTCGTGATCGTAGCCGGTTACCGCAAGCCCATGGACGACCTGTTTGCCCACAACGAAGGTCTTCCGTCGCGGTTTCCGCACCACTTCACGTTTGAAGATTACAACGACGCGGAACTAGAGAAGATCTTTCTGGGCATGGTTGCCAAAGAGTCCTTCGAGTTTGAGGACACCAAGCATATCCGCATCGCGGCACGGCGCCTAGGCCGCCAGCGCGGCCAGACGGGCTTCAGCAATGCCAGGGCCGTGCGGAACATGTGGGACAAGTGTAAGGAGAGCCAGGCGGAACGCATCATCGAGGATCGGCATCGCGGCAAAGCTCCTGATCCACTGCGCGTTGTGCGTGAGGACGTCCTGGGCCCGAAAACCGTTGACAAGTCCACCTCGCCAGCGCTCCTCGAGCTCGAAGGTATGGAAGGGCTGAAGAAGGTGAAAAACTCAGTCAGAACTCTGCTGTCGTTGCTGCAAACGAACGCGGAGCTGGAGGAGCAAGAGAAGCCGCTTCGTGATGTTTGCCTCAATCGGATTTTTGTGGGAAACCCGGGAACGGGCAAGACTACAGTTGGACAGCTCTATGGCCGCGTCCTCAAAGAATTGGGCATGCTCAGCAAAGGCGACGTGATTGTGAAAACACCGCAGGACTTTGTCGGAAGTGCGCTCGGCGAGAGCGAGAAGAATACCAAAGCAATTCTCGATAACGCGAAGGGCTGCGTGCTCCTCATCGACGAGGCTTACGGCTTGGCCCCGACGAAGAACACCACGGATCCGTACCGCACGGCTGTGATTGACACGATCGTTGCGGAAGTGCAAGGTGTGCCCGGTGACGACCGTTGCGTCATCCTCGCTGGCTACAAGCAGGAGATCGATGATATGATCCGCACCTCGAATCCCGGTCTCAAACGTCGGTTCCAGACGAACGATCCCTTCCTCTTCGAGGACTACGATGACCACGCGCTGTTCCGCATTCTCCAGTTTGCAGCCGAAAAACGGCAGATTCCCATGAACTTTGAGTGTCGCAAGGCAGCTGTCAGGTTGCTGGCAGAGGAGCGCAAGCGCCCCAATTTTGGCAATGCTGGTGCCGTGAACACGCTTTTGTCCCTGGCCGTGCAAAACATGGAGAAGAGGCTAGCGCAGGCTACTTCCGAAGACCGGGCCGCCGCGTGCGTGATTCCAGACGATCTGTTGACCGAAGAGCAAAAGAGGGCTCGGGAGGTGAGCATCGACAGCCTCTTTTCCGGTATCATTGGCTGTGCCTCGGTCAAGGATCAACTGCAGACGTTCATGGACACAATTGCGTTCGCGCGACAGCGAGGAAAAGACCCATTGGAGGAAATTGAGCTGAATTTTTTCTTCGCAGGGCCTCCGGGAACCGGCAAGACCACTGTGGCTCGCATCTTCGGCAAAGCGCTATGCTCTCTCGGCCTTCTCGGAACCGATCAAGTGGTCTCCTGCAGCGCGACCGACCTGAGCACGGGCTTCGCGGGACAAGCCGGCAAAGCGACCCGTGAAAAATTCACGGAGGCCTTGGGCGGCGTGCTCTTTGTGGACGAAGCCTACCGTTTAAACCCACAGACCTCAGGAGGGAATCCCTACATGCAAGAAGTGCTAGACGAAGTCGTCCAGCTGCTGACGGAGGAAAAGTACAAGGGCAAGATGTCGGTCATCTTTGCTGGCTATAAGCCGGACTTGGACGCACTTTTCGACGCCAATCCAGGTCTGAAGTCGCGTATGTCCACGACCATAGATTTCGAAGCGTTTTCGGCCAGAGATGCAGCACAGCTTTTACGTCTGCAACTTTCGAAAAAGGCATTGCGCCTTGACGAGGACAAAGACAAAGAGAGCACTACTGACACTGAGAATTATGTTGAGCAAGAAGATGAAGATTTTGTTCTTGCTGGCTTACGAAAACTGACCGAAGCGCCTCAATGGTCCAGTGGCCGCGATGTGGACACACTAGGAAAGATGCTGTTCCAGGCAGCAGCGAAGGCGAAGTCAGAGACTGTGACCAAGGAAATCTTCGATGCAGCGCTCGAATCCTGTCTGAATAACAAACAACGTCCCGAACCTGGCACGAAGCGTCCCGTTCTGCAACTGCATCCAGGTATTCAGACAGCAAATCCCGTAGTACCTGCCGAAGCCGTACAAAAGACCAAGAGCGTGACTGCGACAGTAATGAAGAGTCCGCATGAAGAAATTGAGGAGGACTTTGTTTGCAAAGAAGTCGAGGAAGTGAAAAACCACTTCGCGGACATTCCGAAGGACTTCTTGCAGAAGGTGCAGGGCGTGTTGCTTGCCAACGGCGTGGACATCGGCGACGCAGGGCAGGTGGTCGGATTTGATTTGGAGACATTGGAGCAGGGACTGCGCGCCAAAGGACTGCGCCAAGACGTGGCGCACAACCTCTTACAACAATGGAAGACAGCGATGGACAAGATGCTAGAACAGCAGCGCAAGATCGAGGAGGAGCTGGCAGCCAAGAAGCGTGCACTAGTTCCGCGCTGGCGCTGCGCCATTTGCGGGCGACCTTTCTGTCTGTGTCAGGTTGCGCCATACGTAGAAGGATACGACGACGTCGAGGTGTAGTGATCGGGATTACTTGGAAAATTAGATTTGAATCAAGATGCTCATGCTGTTTGATATTCACTATATATTAATTGATGATTATGGAAACTTTTTTCCTATTTTCTCTTTAGTGCCGTTCTCAACTGTTTCAGAAAAAGAGCTGCTGTTTGAAATCAGTGGATTCATTATTATCGAAACGCTCTCAGGATACAACAATCTATATACGGACTCAAACAAGCATACGGATGCTTGGAGGCGTACGATATGAATAAAAGCTGTGGAAGACGAGTTTGACTATGTATTTAGTGAATAATGTTGGATGTTGAGCTGTCGCAAAGAAATCTAAGCTGTGAATAATATTTTTTTACGTTGTCGTTTTTGCACGTTAGAACTAGTCAGTATAATGAAAATATGTGATTTTTTTATGGTGCGCACTTAATGTGTGCATGACAATGCCATGAGAGCCAAAGCAGAGGCGCGCATTGGTATGATTAGGAAGGCCGAGCAAAACCACGTGAGACATAGCAATATATAAGAAAGATGCACATCATTTTTGTATAGTTTCTCTTTATGTCGCTCTGTCAACATGGTTCAACATCAATTGCTACATGCAAGTCAGGACTGCCGCCCGGGTTGTCTGGTGCTACATATCTCTAGTTACGACGAGCCAGATCCTTTCAGATCATTCCCATTGCACTGCCTGCATTCAACTTCATGAAAAGACTAAGATTGTGGCATCCTATGCATCTGCGATGCAGATATGTCAAAAGCGCCTGCGAGTCCCATTCCTTTGTAGTGCTTCTACATTGTGGGTCTACTTTTTTGCGTAAGCACCTCATTCCATGTTTTAGAAACCAAAATAAAATTTGCTGTAAGTACTAACCAAAACGAACATGTACTAAGTGATGTACTTGCAGCAAGGGAATGGATGCTTGAACAAGGTGTTACTGTTCTACCCGCAGATCTGGCTGCTCTCGATATGCACAAGACTGAATTCAAATGGAGCATCTTCTATGTTTCTCCAAACAGCTCTAGGCGGGAGAGATCCGATCCTTGGCTTCAAACCGATCTCGGAGACACCAATAAAATTCAAGCTTTCATTTTTCTGTGCACCTGCTTCTTCAACATAGGAAGGTGCTAGTATGTAAAGTTGTCGATGTCGGTCGTGCCTGCAGACCTGAAAACGACTATCACAACTATCTCTTGGAGGTTCCCAAATTATTTCCACAGTTTTCTCGCAAAAACCATCATGATGTCTTTGAAGCTGCTTTGAGCTGCATGGTTTCCGATTCACAAGCTTTTAATGAGTAAGTAGGTTCGTCAAGCTCACAGTAGTCATGGAATAAGAAAAGCGCTGATTACATCTAAAGAAAACGAAGATGTCGTGAAAGGCTCTTGAGCTGTGTGGGCTTTTCGACGTGGCCCGATCGCAGCTACGCTACGACACACCTACGTCGGGACACAAGAAGAAGCTTGTAGTAGTAAGTACTACGAAGTAAACGACTGAAGACCTAGGATACGACTCTCCTCGTCTTCCTTTTCCTGCTCCTCGTTCTGAAGCTAAACAAAACTATAAAGCGAGTACCAAGACATCCCGACGATAAAAAACTACCAAAATCACATCATCATACACAATACTAGCAAACGAACAGAAGTGTTTGATACAGAAAAGTACCACTTCACAGCAAAATCATGGCCAACACAATCGAGAATATTCTCGCTGCGCTATCGCGCACCCACGCGGCGGTCTGTGACCCTGCCGAACGTCGCCAAGCACAAGAATTTTTGATTCAATTAGAGCGCCTACCTGACGTACACGAACTAGCTTTTAGATTGCTTAAGGAAGTGCAAGGTGGTGACCGGCGTATGCTCTATGGCCCGGAGGTTTCGCATTTTGCTTTCCAATTGTTACAAAAAGCGATTAAAGCTCAATACGCGACGAAATGGCAAGCGGGGGAGAGAGAAGTAGTGAAAAAGTTGTTGATTGTGGATTTGTTGACAACGACGGGAGCTGGTGGCCAAGATCAAATAAACAGAGGTGTATCATCCTCCTCAATCACGCTCTCCGCAGCAGCTGCCAACCCAGTCCCCTGGCTGTTTCGCTTGCCCAAGTTCGTCCGCGCCAAGTGGGCAGCTTGTGTCGTCGAATGCGCCAAACACGACTGGCCAGGCCAGTGGCCAGAGTTACTTCCGATACTGGGCAATTTGAGGGACGAGCCGGACATTGCGGTTTTGGTGGTGAGGCTTTTGGCAGACACCGTGGCGGATCAATTGCCGTCTAAGGACTTGGCGATAAAGAGGAAGAAGGAGATCGTCCAGGCACTGGTGCAGAGGACAGCAGACTTGTTCGGCTTGATAGAAAATGCCAAAGTCTCAGACGTCGAGAAGATTTTTTTCATTAGAGCGTTCACGAGCATTTTCGGCCTGTCTCTACTTCTCCAACGACGTGTCGACGAAGCCTTGATGCAATTGCTGCAGTCGCGAGAAGACTTGCGAGAAGAAGTCCTGCTCACTTTCGCGGAATGGTCTGTGACACCTCTCTTCAGGCACAAAGTGCAGAAAATCCAGCAGCAAAATTTGAAGAACGAAGTCTCACGCGACGACGTTGCGAGGTTGTGTAGGAATTTGACGCGTTTGTGCGAACACAGTCTGCAGAAGGCAACCTGGGAAAGCTGGGCGCAGAGCGATTGCCTATTCTCGGAAGACGACGTGATGGCACAACACCGGCAAATCGTGTCTATTCTCAAAGACTTTGTCATGACCAATGCCGAAAGCCTGCACAGAGAATTCGTAAACTCTTCTACTCCTCCAGCAACATCAACTCCAGGAAATGGGAACAATAGTACAACTATGTTGAATCCAGCTGCGGACTTGTGGCAAGCTTTGTTAGTACATTGTGGGCGTTATCCGAGCTACTTCATCGGATCAGAAGCTTTTTTAGCTCTGAAAACTTTGCTGAAGCCGTGGAAGGGCATCGAGAACATGAACTTCTTGAACTTGGAGCAATTTGTGGAGGTGTGTCTGTTGAGGATGTGGAAGCCTAGTGTGGCCAGTATAACAACAACAGCTTCTTCATCTGATCCCAGCAAGTCTTCAAGAACCTTCTACCTGACCCACCCAATCATTCGTCAATGCCTGCAAGAACGAGTGGCAGGCGACTCCCAAAAGTGGATTGCGGTCTTGCAGAAGACGAAAGCCGTCGAGCAGGAAGTCCTGGATTACTCGACGAACAGTGAGATCGGACTAATCAAAAACTGCGTCAACGGGGTCTTGCAGACATTGGCTGAAGTAGGTGGCGAGTCGTTTTTTGTGCCCTTGGTAGGGAAAGTGCGGGAAGTGATCAGGCTGCTCTTGACGGACCAATCAGAATCGACGGCAACGAAGGTATTTATAACTTAAATAACTGTTCGACGTATGCGCTGTGTTCGCACGTGCTGTAAGCTAGAAGCGCTTCATCTTTTGCGAGTGTGTCACATGAAACCTTGTTGTAGCAAATAAATTTAGGACCACACTTTGAACGATCGGCTGGAATATCAATTTCAATACTGCTTACCCGCAACAATGTCAATGAGAATCCTCTTCAAGGTCGGAGTTCTGGAAGCTGCCTTATCGTTTTTGACGAAGCTGACGCCTTACATCGTGGCCAAAATGACCAAGGAACTGAAGGCATCGAAAAAACACCTCGAAGAAGGCAGACAAGCCCGTGTCGCGCCGCCAGCTTACCCAAATCTCTGTGCTGACCCCGGACCTTGCGTAGACAACGTGTTGCAATTGATCAATGAACTCGTGGGCTACGATTTTATGCTTGAAAATACGACCACTGCTGGTGCAGCTTCTTCACGAGTCGTGGATCAAAACATCACAACATCTTCTGTTCAGTTCACGAGGAACATGGTTGCCAGCGTGATGCAACAATTAGGACAACATTCGCAAGCAGCTCTGGACGACAGGACCACTCCAGCTTGGCTGAAGCTCGAAACAGCGAGACTCGACTTCGTAGGTCAAGTTTCGACGATTTACCCTCTCCGCCCGCAAGTCGTGGTGCCCGTTTTGGATTATTTGTTCCAGAAAATCGAGTTCCAGCCTCCTAGACCTGTGCTTTCTCCACAAAACATGCAAGAACTTGTTCATCTAGGTGCAAACAACATAATTGCTGGGAGCGCAGTCGCACAGCAGCACGGTCAAGCAGCAATTGAACGTGCTCTCGACAAGGTGCAGGAACTTACCCGACAAGAAGTTCAGCGAAAAGCCCTAGCATGCCTGACTACGATGTGTAAGAACGGACAGAAAGCAGTCTTAGTCCACCTGGACGCGCTGATTCAAAAAGCTGAACGCGTCCATGGCTCACTGAGCAAGAACAATCAACAACTGTTGATGCAGTCCTTGGTGGCAGCGGCTAGCAGTGACTTCGCGAAGCAGAAGCAAATCGTGGCATTAGCGTCGGCGGAGAAGGTACAAGACTGGACGAGTGGTCAGTGCGCGCTATTGTGCAGGAATGAAGGAGATAGCTTGCGACACGCGTTTAGACCGCAGCGGTCGGAGATTGCGTCAGAGAAAAGCAAGTATTTCGCAGAGGTAAAAGCTTTGTCCGGTGCATTGCAGACGTTCATGATGATCTTGAAACACACTAGTGTCACCGGGATTTCCCCGTACATACTAAGAGATTTGCCGGGAGACCACGACGCAAGTAATCACTCGACCGGATCAGAACAAGGAACTGGTCCTTCGAATAGTACCTCAAGTACTACAACCGGAGCCTCTTCTTGGGCGGGCACAGGTGACGCGATAGTAGAGCGCGCAAACCCGGCAGCGGACTTAGTACGGCAGGTGACACCGAACTTACTGGTGTTGATGAGGACGTTCTGTCGAAACTTTCCAAGTGACTGGTTATCATCCGAGACTGCTTTTGTGGAAGATGGGGAATGGATTATGATTATGGGCAATGCAAAAGCACAGGAAAGCGAAGGTGCTGCTGGAGGTGCTGGCAGTACAAGTGGAAGTGGGCAGGGTGTTGGTGAACAAGTATCATCTTCATCAAGCACGACAGCTAGTATGGCTACTTCTGGTGTGCAAGCAGGTTCTCAAGGTGCTGGAAGTGCAAATTCCTCTCCGGCTGGGAGCAACACAACCGGTAGTGCTTCTTTCGGTCCTGACACGACAGCAAGAATTTGTTTCGCCGCTAGTAATCGCGATGATTATGACCGTGAAGCTGGAGCTTGGATTTTTAACCTTAGATTCGCCGCTTTACGCACCTTAGCAGCGTGCGCAGAAACAGCGGACGGCTTCTGGCAGCTACCTGGGATTTTGCCAGAACTGTCTTCCTTCATCAACGACACGTTTCCAACGATGTCACCGCATGAGATGGAACTATTCTACAAGCATGTTTTTCCAGCAATTTTTGGGACGGCAGAGAACGCAATCAGTGGCAAAAACAAGTTGTTATCGAATGCAACTGCAGAAGCGATTTGTAGTTCTGACCTGCTGCCCACTTTGGTGCAGCAAACAGTTGCTTGTTTCGCAAAATACGAGCATTTATTGGTTGTGAAACAAGACGCAACGACTTCTGCTCTTGTCGGAACCGGAACCGGTGGCCCAGCTAGAACCACATCTTCGAGTTTTTTCGTCCGAACAGGCTTACTGGCGAAGTACCCAATGTTCGACAACGTTGCGGTGACCTCAGTCCTTTCTCTAGCTCGTGTGGTTGCCTCTAGTTGGACGCGACTCGTCGTTTGCGGCTTTGGCGGCGCCCACAGTACTGTTTTAATCGACTACTCCGGCAAGGTAGAAGCTAGACCGTTTTCTTGGGTAGACTTCTTGTTCTCGAGCGTGGATGGCAGAACGACTAGGAGTAGTCAACAGCTTTTAGAAGGTATTTTATACCTCCTGAAGAAAGTGCCAGACCCCGAAGCACAACAACGGTTTTGTTCGGCTTTGAGGATCTATATGGTGCAATTGTGGTGTACGGGGTGTCTGCATGCACCTTTACGGTTGAAAGAACTACAACTCCAGGCTGCAAATGGAAATCTAGTAGTGCAGAATGGGGATTTGGCAAACGGTTTGCCGCATCAAAATGGGAAGTCATCTTTGGGCACATTGCTGGGCACCGGAAATGCCTCGAGAACAACCGCGCTCTGTCAACAGCAAGTTTATTCCGGCGGCAATGCGGAGAATCTGTTGTCTTTAGCCGAACTGGTTCCGCATTGTGAAGCTCTGTTTCACGAGAGCGCGGGGAAAGTGTTGACAACGATTTTGGAGGTCATAGCAGAACCCATCCCAAAACTCTCTACTCCTCTGAAAATCGCCATTGAGAAACGCTTCGCCGGCTACAGATCGGAACAGCAGTTGAGCGGGAAGTTACAACCGCCACCTTTTCTAGCAGCAATGGCGCATTTGCTTTTCACCACACTACAAGCTGCAGCTCAGGTGTATCTGTTGGAGGTGAAGAGCACTAGTTCCACGACCGTGGCGTGTGCCACAGCATCATATGAGAACTTCGCAGAGAACTTGTCGAACCATCCAGGTTTCACTCAGTCCCCCTTGAGAACAGCAGCACAGATTCTCAGTACAGCACTGCCTGGAGGCGGCACAGATGCGCTGGGGATGTTGCAGGCTGTATTGGGATCTCAAGTGAGGAAAGAAATGGCTGAAGCAGCTGGACTAGATGCCGCAAATAAGGCGTCGAGTTGTCCTGGGACCCTAGCTCAATTCGAACTAGACCTGGCGGAGGCGAGAAAAGGACTGGTGCGTGAACAGCTGTCTGTAATATCACCGAAATTTGAGAGCGTGTAAAAGTGTCATACGGCGACCAGCACTCTGTCGACCACGCACTGTTCATTCGTACAGCTGAAGGCTCCCTTCATGCAATTCTCGTCATTATTGAGTACATTTAAACACTTAATGACATTGACACCAGCATGTTTGATTCGTGTTGTAAAGTCAGGGACGCCAGCACGCAGGTACATCTGATGATATGATTCCCTTTAGAACTAATTCAATATGAATCCCCTTTGAAATGAGCTATTTTTTCCAAAGACTTTGAACACAAACTAGCGCATTGAAGTCTGTCACATACCAAAACTAACGCATTGGAGTCGTATACCGCCGGTCGACTTTCCACCACTTTTCCGTTTGGCTAGAAGGCCTAAAATAATTAGGGTAAGACCTGGCTGCGTGGTGAAATGTAGTATCTCTATTCTCGCAGCGTCTCTATAACCAAAAAAAGGCACCATCGGTCGTCGTGAGCAAGTTGAGTCATCGTGCCTGCTTGTGCCAGTTTGATGTCGGCGTCGGTTATATTAGACATATATAAAGACAAATGGACCGAACGGTGGGTGACACATGAAGTGACCGCGGCTGGGTAGCAACGCAAGAAGTCTCAAGGAGCCGAGCATAGTTAGCTCGCTAAGCGAAAAAGATGGTGCTCTCAATAATCTGTCACTTCTCAATCTCAAATAGATGAAGATTGAACCTTCACGTTCATTCTGTTGTCCTTTGTCTGATGATTCTGTTGTCGTCATGTGGATGTGGCTCTTGACTCTGGAATCGGCAGCGGCAAAAAAGTTTCCTCCTTGAAGCCACTTCTAATATGCAGATTTTCTTTTGAAAGTCCCACTTTATCAGCTCCACCACTCAAAGAACAGGCTTTCAAAGTAGAAGTGTACTGTCTAGTCTGTCTAGTTTATAAATTCAGCACACTTTATCTCATCTCGTCCTTCACTACATCAAGTTCCAAGACTGTTTTTTTTCTCAACTACTAGAAAAAAGATCAAGGAGGTTGAGCATTTGTCGTCTCAGAAGACGAGGACGACCAAAAGCACCAATTACTAGTATCTATTTATAAAGTAGTACAACTTAGAAGAGGACCAAAAGCACCAATTATTCGTATGAAGTAGTACAACTTAGAAGAGGACCAGCAACGCCTGCTTTTTCTAGGTGGATCCAATCGTCCTATCCTGTCCTAATTATTCGTAAATAGAAGTGGTTTCTTAATTCTTATCTTCTTGTATGATTCAACAGGATGGGAGCTCTAGCGAGCAAGGCCCACTGCGTTCTCCTCCACGCGGTGGTGGTGTGCTATCTTTTCAGCACAAGAACGACGTCAAGCCTCTTTGTGTTGGGGTCCATATTCGCTCCACATCAAGCTGGTCGCACTTCTTCTGCTTCTCCTCATGAAAGAGTGGCGTCGCCTTCTCATGAAAGAGCGGGAACTCTCATGAGGAGAGATGAGCAGGAAGATGCCGTTGCTCTGGAAGGAACAGGCGCTGTCCTAGAAGAAACAATAGCCACGACAGTTGTTGAAGACACCGTACTAGCCGACGAAAAAGCAACATCATCCGTGGCAGTTGTTGAAGACAGGGAAGAGGCAGCTACTCCAAGAACGTCCAACGAAGCCACAGAAGCCACAGCATCCATCAGGACTCTTGATGAGGAAACACGCGGTAAATTGTACGACTGTGATGTCCAGCTCGTTGCTTACCTAGAGACCGTGGAAACCGTGAATTATACAAGTTTTGATGAGCTTTTGATTCGATTTCAAGACTTGGAGCCGTATTTGCGCTGCTACCGAGAAATTGATCAATACTATTACGGAGTTTATTACCAAGCCGAGGAACATGTTGGAGTTGGAGATAAGAAAGACATTAAGGACGACATCGCAGCTGGTGCGAAAGTCGAAGGTCACACTGTCGTACCTCGTACAGCCGAAGAGATCCGCACGAGATTGACAGATGCACTGAATTTATGGGCAGAACAGGTTTTAGGTGTAGTTTTTGGTTGCTGTGATAATTGAATACCTCATGTCGACGGGAGAGGACAAAAAATGTTGTAGCGGAAGAAGCTACAACTACTCGCTCCTATAAGTTTTGTAACAGCGCGACCAAACAAGTAAACCTACCTCACTAGCCTCACTTAATACGTGCCGGGTTGCCAACAGAATGGGATGAAGAAACTAGAGAAGATTTTCGAACGAAGATTGTGCCTGCGCGTATCGAAATGTACACAGTTCAGGAGATGGATCGCAACTTGCGAAACGGCCTTCGCGCTGCCCTCAACCATGTTGAATGTTACAAGCCTCCGAGGTCTCCTTTAGTAACCACGCCGTGTCATCTGCCAAAACGTGAAAAAGAAGTGGAGCCTGCTATTGTTAATAAGGGAGCAAATTTTTTTGAGAGACTTCTAGGCCGCCTCGGGTGTAAAAAACGCTCCTTGCCGCCAGGTGATCAGGTGCTGTCCTCCCGTAAGACGCCAAGGTTCTTGGAACAACAATGTCTCGAAGATTGCCCATCAGAAAGCAACGGACGAGAGGAGGAGGAGGAGGAGGTAAAAACACGACTGCAACATGATCATGCTGCAACGCCTGCTTCGAAGACGGTTATCCTGGCCTTCCACCTGGAAGATGGGACATTGCGGAGCGGCAAAGGAGTGGCGTTGCCCGAGAAATTGAGGAATTTTAAGTGGAGGCGAATACGTGGGGGCGGGGGCCTAGTTGGTCTAGTTGTGTAATCTTCATCCAGAGTTTCTGAAAATTTTTTTTCGTTGTACAGTCCATCGCTACAATTATAATTTATATCAGAAGTTCATGATCTTCTCACACATACGATTACTACCTAGAGCTAGAGGACTACGAGGACATCTCTGAATTAGGAAGATTTCTCCTCTAATATAATTATCATAAGCGCGCAATTGTATTCGCGTTACGATCTGCAATGTTCTGACGCGGGTGACCAGAAGAAAAATCCTAGTCTCATGCGCGACTACAGCGGTCTCCTTTGCAAAAGCGAGCTGTGGACGTTGGTGCATTTGTTGGATGCGATTAATACAGAAGTTCAAGTTCATCCTAATGCGGAGGTTGCTGCAGAAGTTACAAATACAGCTACTGCAGCTAGGCCTGGCAAGGAGGTGGAGGTTGGCGAAGAAGACTGGAATGAGAAGCAGGGGACTGGGATGATTTTATGCCCCAGAATAGAAACAGAGGAAAGTAGAGCACTCATTTCGTATCCCTATGGTTCCTTCAAGAAAAGCATATCTTTGTTCAGTTATTTGAATACAAGGGGGGGATTGGAGTGAGTTTTTAGCAGTTTTTTTATGCAGTGCATAAGATGCTAAAGGAGGCGAGATTGATGATTTTTCAAGATATCCTACTACGCTTGAGAAGGTATTCTACTCCTATAGAGTTCATACGCAGCGCATCATGAATAGACCAGGTCACTAGAATAGACTAGATGTCCTAGAGGTAATTACTGCGCTTAACTAGTTCATTAGTAGACTACTCAACTCTTCCTACATACGAAAAGGAGGAAGCGCTACGAGTACTTTCTTCGATTTTCTAAGAGTAGAAGGCTTACTAAATAAGTACTAGACTCATACTGATGCGTATAGGGTTAGGGTTAGGAACTAGTCAAGATCATCTTCTAATTACAGATGATATCTGGGTCGCTTTCCGCCTAATCTCGTCGCCCCGGAAGTTCTTGCTGCCTGAGGATGAGAAGAAGACAGCGCTTTTGTTAAGGCCCCCCCGTTTGTTTCAATTGCAGCGTGATTCGTAGTTAAACAGCTCTACTCGTCGTTGTTCACTGTAGTGGTGATATTTCTAAGTTAGTAGGATCAACATTATGTAACTTGAAGAGACACGACGTCGCTTTGAAGGAGATGAGTGTGACCACCAGGCTCACGCGGTTAGATTCAAGATGAATTAGGGCAGCTGTTTTTAGTTCAAGAAGATGTCTCAATGTGCAAGTTTAGCTCGATGCGCAGGGTCCATAACCTCGCCTCACCTAACAAACCTGTCTCGCCAGTTGCAATGATCAGTAAATCCTCCGCGCACCCGTCTACTCACTGGGTATATGCAGAGCTGTAGGGCTGAACGGTATAGGAGCAAACGCTCTGCACCATTTTCCGCCCTTTTTTGGGGTATTTATTCCTAAAACGTGAGCAGCTGGCGCTGACGCTAGAGAGAAACGCCACGAGAGAAATAGACGCCGCCCCAAATTTTGAAAGTCCTTCGCGGTTTTGCCTGTTGTTGTTCTGTCTGTTCATTCTTATCCCGGGGCAACTTTCTTAGATATCGCCTCGGCCCAACGTTCTGCGGGCGGCTTAGAGTGAGGCGCGAGTCACTGTCAGAAACCGGAGACCGCTCGCAACTCGGTAAGCCGCACCCTCTTGCGTCGAACATAGTGCGCGAGAGGGGGCACGCCTTGGCCGTTCGAGCAAACAAAGCGAGGAAAACCCTGGCCGAGAGGCGTAGGTAGAGGAATCGCATCGACCCGCTGCCACTCGAATGCGAACCAGGTGGCGTTTTTTTGTTTATTCTCCCCCTCCTCATATTTATTGTCTGAGGCACAGGGCTGCCCCGAGCGGGCGCACTCATTTGCTGCCGCGTTTTCTGGCAGTGTTCGCGTGCTGTGGTTCTCTCTTGTTCTGAAACTCGCGCCTCGACTGGAGTGCGCTGCTGCGTTGCGTAGGGCCTCGGTGATTGCGCCGCGCTTGTTTCTGTCCCTCCTCTGTGCTGTGCGTGGTCGATCTGTCTGCTTTGCCGCGACGTCAATGGGCTTAAGTTTCGGAAGTTAGCTATCCCACTCGGCTGCGGCTATCGGTCTCGCCGGTCTGTGCTTCGGCGTCTGTCATGCGCTGCCCCTTCTCTGGTTTTTCGGCGTCGGTCGGTCACGGTTAAAGGGCAAGCTCTCTGGCTTGTTCTTGTCACGTGCGAACACACAAGGTTGAAGGTAGCTACACTCTTCGGCCTTGGTCTCGCGAATGTCTTGGCCCCCCTTGCTTTGTTTGGCCTCTTTGCCGTTAGTTTCTTCAGGCAAAAAAGCTGCCCCGAAACTGTTTGGGGCCTCGCTTGTGGCTTTTTCTGTATTTGCAGCTGTTCAGCTGGGGTACGTTGGCTGCTTTTGTTGGGGTTTGCTCCATATAAACGGTAAGAAAGAGGCTGGCTGCCTCTGTTTGTTCTTAGCCAGTGCACCGCTTAGCGCTGGCGCTCTGCATATATGCAGGGCGGCAGGGCTGGGCGGTTTACTTAGGGACAAACGCTCTGCACCATTTTCCGCCTCTTAGTTGGGTGTTTATTCTTAAACGATGCATGACTGGTGCTGACGCTGGAGCGAGAGAAGCGCCGGGAGAAGTACAAACGCTGCGCCAAATTTTGGAAACTGTTCGCGGCTTTGCTTGTTCTATCTGTCTGGCGGCTTAGAAGCTCTTAGCCTGAGGCAGATTCCCTAGATATCGCTGCCGCCCAATGTGCTGCAAGCGGTTCGGCGTGAAGCTTGTGGAGGTGTTGGTTTAGAAACCGGAGAAGGCTCGTAGACTGCGCGCTTTTGTTGTGCGTGAGAGACAGCACGCCGGGGCTCCTCGCACAGGTCACGCCTTAGCCACTGTTCCCGGACGTAGATAGTGAGAGGGGTCGAGGCTGAGAGGCGTAGAGGAATTCCATCAACCCCCTGCCACTCGAGTGAGGGCCTAGCGGTGCTTGTTTTCATTCACCCCCTCCGCTATTGTCTGACGCTCAGGGCTGACTCAGCAAGCGCGCCCATTTTTCTGCCGCGTTTTCTGTGTCAGTCAGTGCGGGCTCTGTGGTTCTTTCTTATATATTCTGAAACACGTGCCCCGACAAGTGTGCGTTATTGCGCTGCGTGGGGCCTCAGCGAGTGCGCCTAGCTTGTTTCTGCTTTTTCTCTGTGCTGTGGTCGGTCCATCTGCTCCGCCGTGGCGTCAGTGAGCCGAGCTTTTAGACATTGGCTACTCGGTCGCGGCTATCGGTCTCGCTTGTGCTTCGACATCTGTCGCGCGCTGTCCTCTCTCTGATTTTTAGACGCCGATCGACCACTCACGGCTAGAGGGCAGGCCTTCTGCTTCGTTCTTGCCAAGTGCGAACAAAATTGAAGAGAGCTAGCACACCCCTCGGCCTTGTTTGGTCTCGCCATTGCTTTGCTTGGCTTCTTTGCCGTTAGTTTAGGCACAGAGAAACGCTGCGCCGGAATTGTTCGCGGCTTGTGGCTTTTTCTGGATTTACACTCGTCGAGTATCTTCTTCGGCTTTTTTGTTCGGGCTTGCTCCTGGTGCAAACAGGTTGGTCGCTTCTTTTTATTCCTAGCGCACTGTTTAGCCTTAACGCTCTGCATATATCATCATGCATCTTCATCACCGTCTTCACCATGACCGTCGTCACAAAGATCAGACTCACATCTAATCTTGCAGAAAGTTCAAAAGAAGCTTGATTCTTATCCGCAAATGAGGCCTATGGGCGTCAAAATGGAGAGGCTTGGGAGACTCCCGCCACCTTTATTAAGGCCCATCATCATCGTCATCGACCCTTGGCTGTTATTGTTAGAATAGGAGTTTCCACCACAGTCACAGAAGATATAACAGTTGCTCCTTCCTGTGGGTATTAATATGATCCCAGTGAAAGAAACTCTAGAAAATTGACCCCAGGACGAGGTGGAAACTCAAGAAGAAATTGACAGGTGGGTAAAGTACTTCGAAGATGAAATCTTGTCTGCGAGCTCTAACGCTGGATCGCTTGCCGCGGGCGTCTCGATCTCCACAACTACTGTCTCCCCACCGGCAGCTGCGCCATGACCAACAGGAGGGCCACGACCTCCAAGAACAGGAGCAGAGCTTGGTTCATTTTATTTACCCGTACGACCTCTCGGGAGCAGGGACACAGGCGGCACAGTTAGTTCCATTCATTTGCATTCGCAGGGCCATTTTTAAGGCCAGAGATTTGGATTTTCTTTCCTCTGTGAGGTATCTATAATTTGATGAATGTAGATCTGGCAACGAATCTTAATTACTTGATTAATCAGACCACTGGTGACAAAAATCCAGCAACAAGCTAGCTTAGCGGGGCGCCGAATAGGTTTGCGTCGTCCCTATTGGTTTGGTAATCAGCGTCATCAGTATCAGAACTTGCGCGGGATTGCTGAGCAAAAAAAAACAGGAAATCAATTTTTCATAAACTTGGGAGAGCGAGCTTCTCGTTATGTGACGGATAGTGCGATTGTCGGAACTTCTATGTGTTTTGACGGATTGAAACGTTATCCTCCACCCGTCTGCGCTCAGCATGACTTTAGTAGTTCATCTAGTGGTGATTCTGGTAGGACAACAAGAAGGAACAAGCCGCAGGAGCAACACGCCTCGCAAGGTCTTCGAGCTGAAAAGCAGGAAGCGCGGCAGCAAAGTGCCGCCACCAAGCAAAAATGGCATCTCTTGCACTATTTCGTTCCAGGAGTCAGGAAGGAACCACAATGCGCGGTTATTGCCACACAGTGGCGGCCTTTTGCTTATGATTTTCTACCCTTTTTTTAACCCCAAATCTAGGCAGCTTTGCTTACTTATCTTATAAACTTAGCTAGCAGACTCCACCTGCTTCAGCTGGTAAATCCAGGTTCCCGCAGGGGTCAAGGACTGTCAGTTGTAATATCATGTAGATATTAGTTGAGAACGAATATGCGCTCTTCGTTTACTTCATCCACGACTAACGAGTGTTCTTCGTTTACTTCGTCCATGGGTATTTAGGTAGCCTCCTCCCAAAGCAGGAACTTGGTAGAATTTTTTTCCCCTTTGGCAGAGCGGTGTGCTGCAAATCTTGACTAGCTTCTTCCCTTTTAATATATTTTTACAACTTAAGATGATATTGAGAACAAGTGTTCTTCGTTTAATATGTTAAGCTAGATGAAGGTTCTTCGTTTACTACATCTAATGTTCTTAATATCTAGTAGTACGAACTGCTCCAAGTAGAACTGTTAATATCTAGCTAGAACGACGATGACAGATCGTATACTACTAAGTAGAACTACTAACTAGTAAGAACAGCAACAGTTGTTCTTCGTTTTCGTTTACTACATCTAGCACTCGTCTAATATTATATACTTACTACAACTTAACATATTGAGAACAAACTAAGTGCTATAGCTAGTGTTCTTCGTTTACTTCATCCATGACTGCTGGGAGAGTCTACAGCCTACTCCATCTACAACCTACTTCATCCCTGCAGGAACACATCTTGCAAGACTCTAATCAACGCACATGTTGAACACTGCAATTAATATTGCGCAGTTCCTTGACCGCCACACCGAAGGCGCGGGACGGGAAGTATGGGAACAAGAGAAATCCAAACCGTACGTCCTGCGAGGAGGAATCAACGAGCTCAAGTTAAGACCAGAAGAGGTCAAATCGTAACAAAGCATGATGAAAAAACACTTTTCATTTTCACGTAAGTAACTATGGTAATATGTGGGCTGATTGTATGGCTTGTAAATGATGGTAGAAGTGCCCTCCAATGGAACACTGAAAGAGCGCAACATGTTACGAGTGCACTATGATAGATAATGATGACGGGCTGGACCTTCGCGTGAATTTTTCACTTAACTCGCATGAACTGAGTAAAAAGTATGTACACTTGAACCTTGAGCCTAGCGCTATAAAGGGCATTCTCGAGGAACAAGTGAAGAACAAGCGAAAAAAAAGTCTACTCTAATGAAGCGGCAAGTTCTCTCCGGCGTAGATGAAGTAGCTGTCGTTCCATACAAGGTGCGCCGATCTCCGAGAAGCAGCAACTGAGGTTCAGACTAAAACTGAGGTTCAGACTAGGACTGTGACTCTATTATAAGAAGGCACATCCGCAGAAGCGGAAGCAGTAACCTGAGCGCCAAGGGCTGCACTGACTTGGGCTTATTAATTTGGAAAGTTAAAGTTTTGTTTTGGCAAATCCTTAATTTGTCAGTTGTCTAGTCCTTCTGCTTCTTTAAGGTGAAACTTCCTAGGACGTCTATCGACGATTTACATTAGCTAACCTTACCTTTCTAAGTTTCACTGGAATTACCTGGCCCATTCTTTCTGGATTCGGTGATTTATTTTAAGGGTGGGATGTTGACCTCTCCATGAGCCTATTCACGGCTCTTTGAAGTAGGAAAGTCACAGAGATGCGAGATAGATCGGCCAACTTGCAGCTGCTAGCTTTTGCTTGATCATACAACTCGGAAAGGCTCGCCCACTTGATAGGGGAATTTGGTTCTTGTCCTTGATGATATTTTTGGAACGAGATGCTTCTTCATTGTAAACTCATGAAGAATCTTCACGCAGAGAGTAAGAAACCGTACATGATAAAAAGCTATCATAGAGAAGTGGTGACCCGGATGCTCGCTTGTCAGTACTAGAGTATTGCACGGCTTTCGCGAACCCTTGGGACTAAGACTTAAAACGATTACTCGTAAGGAAACTCAATGATCATGATCTACAGCTTCAGGGCGAACAATAGCTGCCTCAACATCTCATGATATTTCTTTTGTCTCTTCGCTGTGCGTTTTTTCCTCGTACGGCTCTACCAACCGCATCCGCAGTATCTTCAAGTGTGGATTCGAGAAACCATTCTTGCGCCAGTTACTTATTATAAGCTATTCTTGTCCTGTGAGCGTTTCGTTTGCTTGTTTCGATTAGCGCTATAAAGGGCAACGGTCTTTCTCAGCAGCTTTAATAAGTTTTGCGCATTAAAAACAAAGAAACTACCAATACATAGTTACGACATGGGGCTTCGTAGGTATCGATGTGCATTTTTTCTTAGTTCTTGCGCCTTCGTAGAAGGGTCGGACGACTGTTGACAGACTGGGTGTTCTCTTCTTTGATGGCACGCGCGAAGAGGACTGAGATGGTGAGTTCTCACGAAGCACGTTGCGAACGGAGGTAGCTAGTAGGGTAATTGGCTTCTATACCCCTGGAGTGGGTACATTCATTCACCCACTCGCCCATTGTCTCGCCGGTGGTAGAAGATGAGGATCTACTTAGGAAACGCGTGAAGACGGTGGAGGAGTTTAGGAGATCTGGAAAAAGGGCTGCCACATTTTGAGATGTCTGCGCTGTACCGAGAGAAGGTCTTTGTTTCTTGGTGCTTCACAATGTAGGACTTTTGAGGGTCCGAGACGAGGTGGCCGCTCTGACAAGGGTGTTCATCTAGCACGTATACTAGATCGACGCGAATGAGTACTTCGGAGTTCTGTACGGATCTCAATGTCACTCTCCATTGTTCTTGACGTTCAATTCTCTCAGTCTTCTACCTAATATCTCCATTCACATCTTCTTGGTCAGTAACAATATCAACAAATAGTAGTGGTTCTACGTACTTCGTAGTATTTTTCACCATCTTCGTGCGCCATACTGTCAAGAATAGTGTCAAGTTCCACAAGTAAGCATCCCCAACCACAAGATTGCTATCGTCCCCAACTACGAGATGGCTATAGCTCCATTCGATCTAGACGGGGAAAGGCCTGGTGGGCGAACAGCTGTCTATGATAGCCCCAAAGTTTGAAAGCGTGCGAGCGTGGTCCTATGGTCGTTGTTCGACTACGCAATGTGCTGTCTTACCAAATGAACATGCTACTCATTCACTCATTCATTTACCTGTTCTGGAGGTATCTTTTGACGCTTAAGCGACTTTTTATCTTATAATTATGACTCACTCTTCCAAACAAACTTTGGCCACAAGCTAACGCATTGAAGACCTCATCTGCGCCCCCACGATGTGGACACATGCGTATCCCACGTCATTTATACTGGTCTCAACTTCACGACTTTTTAAGGACTTGTCTCAAACAGCACCAACATTGATTAGTTTGTGAGGGGTAAGCCTCGTTATACGGACAAAGAGAAGACTTGAGGGGTGTGACTTGTAGCTCTTGAGCAAGTAGCATGTAGTTCAATAGAGAGGTGTTCGTTGCGATACGAGGATGATCTGAGATACGCCGGATAAGTGAGTGACTCCCTTCTTCTCTTTTTTTCTTTCCTTCGTCGTCAACGCAGACCCGAGGGACAAGGCAGTAGTACTGAAGGTTGGAAATAAGTAAGAAAGTTCAATTGAATGAATGAATGAACAAGAGCGGAAGGAAAAGTTGAAAGTAGAAATAAGATACGATCTGGATGAATAAATTGAATCAGATAAGAGGAATGATAATCGAAAGGTCAGGATCGAATAAGTATTTGATGCTGCTATATCTGTTCTGCCGCGTTCCTTTGCAGCGCTTCTATCGGTCACGCAGCCTAGCCGGGGGTAGAGGGCGTGATACATCAGAGAGATGTGATTGAGAATTGATTAAAATCTTGTAGTCCTTCTACGGCTGCGTTAATCCGCTTTAGGTAAAACTGTGGACGCCGGATCAGATTGCCTATCCCCAACATTAATGAACTTGGAATATTCATCATCCACCCTTTTCTTTTGGCTACAAAAAAGCCCAAGCCCAGAAAAAAGGTGTCCTCTTTTCTCTACCGCCGAAGTAGTGCGGCTAAAAAGGCTATGATACGGTTTTGGTAAGATCTATGATGTGTTGAAGTGCAGCATCTCTATGCTTGCAGCGTCTGCTCTATAACATAGCGAAGATGTCGGTTCTTCTTGTGCGTAACAATGTAATGAAGACTGAGCACCCGCTCCATGCTCTTGTGTTGGTCTCCTTTGTCTTGGAAAAGTGATGCTCCTGTTGCTGTTTTTACATGCAGCAAGTTTTGACTATTGAAACGGCAGCAACAAAAAAAGTCTCCTCCTGCAAGCAAAACCACTTTTATGTGGAAACGAAACATCTAGAAGTCGTGCTTAGAAAATGCTCCTTCGAATCATTATAGATAAAGAAACTCCATTTGTATAATTCAGTGACAGCAAAAATCCGACTTGCTCACATCGTCTTCTAGAAATCAAACTCACAGGCGTGCAAAGTAGAGGTGTGCCTACTGTCTTGCTTCAGGCCACTTCTCTTTCAGTGGAGTGGAACAGGAAGAAACCTAGTAAAGATTGACGTTTGTCAACTTCTTTTCATACGGCATCCTCTTCTTGCATTATCTTTGGTGCTTGCCATCTTCTCACGAATTCGTCCACACCAACTAGGACTCGCGTCTGTTTGATGGCTTGACTATATACCCTTACAGCGTCAAGAACAATATATTAAACACACTCAACTTAGAAGATCAACATCAAGGTCCCCAGAACACAATGGTAGCTCTAGCCAGCAAGGCGAGCCTAGTCGTGCTCCGCTACGCTGCAGTGGTGTACTATCTTTTGGGCGCAACGACATCAAACTTGTTTGTGCTGGGGCGGGTATTCACTGCAGCACAAGGTGCTGCTTCTTCTGATGCCGTACTGGCGGGATCTTCTTCTCATGAAGGAACGGAGACTAATGCTGGAAATTATGCCATGGATCATTCGCCTGTAGAAACCAGACGTGTTGGAGACGAAAAAGCAGCTACCAAAACGTCCAACGAAAACGCAGCCTCCATCAGGACTCTGGATGAGGAGACACGCGGTAAATTGTACGATTGTGATGTCCAGCTGGTTGCCTATCTCGAGACCGTGGAAACTGTGAATTACACAAGTTTTGATGAGCTTTTGATTCGATTTCAAGACTTGGAGCCGTATTTGCGCTGCTACCGAGAAATTGATCAATACTATTACGGAGTTTATTACCAAGAGGAACATGTTGGAGTTGGAGATAAAAAAGACATTAAGGACAACGTCGCAGCTGGTGCGAGAGTCGAAGGTCACACTGTCGTACCCCGTACAGCCGAAGAGATCCGCACGAGATTGACAGATGCACTAAATTCCGGGTTGCCAACAGAGTGGGACGAAAAAGCTAGAGAAAGATTTAGAAAGGAGATTGTGCCTGCGCCGATCGAGATGTATACAGTGGAGGATATGGATCGCAACTTGCGTAAAGGCCTTCATGCTGCTCTCAAAGAGGACCAAACAACTAGTGGTCCTGCGATGTTGTCTGCTTCATCAACGTCGTGTCATCTTGCAAGACGTCAAAAAGCTGACGTAATCAAGGGGAGAGCGAATTTTATAGGGAGACGACTAGGCGCACGTAAAAAGCGGCCCTTGCCAGCAGGTGATAAAGTGTCTGGTCGCCCCGTAACTGATAAGAAGCCAAAGTTGGGCCCCTCGTCTTCAAAGTCTTCGGGGAGCAGAGGAGGAGATCGTGAGGACGTAAATAAAGTACTACTGCAACATGATGCTGCAGTAAGAGTCGATCAGCCTGTAGCTTCTGCTTCGAAGACGGTGATCCTGGCCTTCAACATTGAAGATGGCACATTACGCATTAGCGAGAAGGAGGCAAATTTTAAGAAGTAATTGCTTATTCAATCGATTTACGATGTTGATCATCATGCGCATTTTAGTCATCTTGGGTGAAAAAAGAGAATGTTTACGTATATTATTTCATAACTTCAACAAGTTTTAGGCATCACTCAGTGAGCAATTGAAATACGCCTACGACGTTGACAAAGACTTAGGGACTAGCCTCTAATTCAATTATCAAAGGCGAAAAAGTGTATGCGCGCTACGATCTGCAGTGTTCTGACGCGGGTGACAAGAAGAAAAATCCAAGTCTCAAACGCGACTACAGCGGTCTCCTCTGCAAGAGCGAGCTGTGGACGTTGGTGCATTTGTTGGATGCGATTGCTGCAGAGATTCAAGTGACAACCAATACTGTTGGCAACAAGAGTGGGGATGTAGTGGTCGACAGGAATTATGGGGAGAGGGCTGAGATGATGATTGATGATATCTGGGTCACGTTTCGCCTAGCGTCGTTGCCCCGGAAATTCTTGCTGCCTGAGGATGAGACGCTGGAGGAAACGCTCGTGAATATTCAAAGGGCTTTCGATGCTCGATTTCTGAATTTGGGGCTCATGGACCACGCAAAGAAAGAGAAGCTTGAGAGACTCCCGCCACCTTTAGATCGCTTGCCCAAGCGATCCAATCTATCTCCACAAGCGTTCCTCGACCAACAGGAGCGCCACGACACCAACAAATTTCAGCAAAAAAACTTGATTCATTTCATTTACCCATATGACCTTTCCGGCAGTGGGAAACAAGTGCTATTGGTACCGAATTACGTTTACACACGCAACCTCATTTTTAAGATCAGAGTATGATTTGTGTAATTTGTGTTTCTTCGCAACTACAGTAGACAGTCATTACGTACGATGAATTGACGAGACAAGGAGCGGCTGACACAACTCCGCTCGTGATTTGTTACGCACTGAATAACTCAACGCGAACGGCATCGTACTCAACTTCCTTTTTCATAATTGTGGGAGAGCGGGCTTCCCGCTATGTCATGGACAGTGCGGTTGTCGGGACTTCTATTTAAGGCTTAGACTTTTTTACGGGTCACTGAAAGTGGTCGCTGACTAAGCACACCGAAGAGGTCACTGAGATCGAGCTGAGAACAGGGGAAAACAAGGCGCGAAAGTCGCCGTGGGACGGATCGTGGGGCCTTGTCCTTTCAGAATCAGTGACCAATGACTTCCGACCTTTAATCTACGTGTGACAGACTTGGAGCCTTTGATCCACACATCCTCGGCTTCGAAGCGAAAGTGTATGACATTAGTAGTTCGAGCACAATGAACAAGGGGCAGGTGCAGGAGGAGGATGCCGCTACGGCCCCTCTTGATAAATCTGAAAAGGAAGCGCCCCAGAAGAGTACCACCATGCAACAGGAGGATGCCGCCATGCAACAGGAGGATGCTGCTATGCAACAGAGAGATATGGCTGTGTATCCTCCTTTTCACCATTTCGTCGGAGGAGTAAGGAACGATTCGGATTCGAAATGTCCTGTCATTTTCCCCCAGTGGCGGCCTTTTGCTTATGATTTTTGATTCTGGAAAAATTGAGGGACAGGAGTCAATCTTTGAATAATATGCGGTCGTCTAGCCGGCAGCGGTGCGCCGTCATCAGTCGTGCAACCAATGAGCCACGGACTGTCAGTTGTAATATACTCAAATATCGCCAGCACATATTTATACTCAAATAAGGCAGGCTAGATTGGCTGGTGGAAATCACCAGGAAAATCTTAGGCATGCTGCCGAATAGACTCAAATCATCCAGGCCAGCACATAGAGAAACTCGCCGGCCTCTAAGCTTCCGTCGTATTAGGCTAGGCCCTCCAACCAATATACTTCACGAAGTCCCGCTTACTTCATCTACGAGTGGCTAAATAAGTACAGCTACTATTCTTAGTTTAATACCACCTCATGATCCACGACTGGGACAGGAGGACTCTAGAATGCCCTTTTTATCCACAACGTCATCCTAGAATGGCCCTTTTTTCTATTCTTAGTTCATTACTTATTTCTACTATGCTTAGTCTAAAAAATAATCAACGCAATAATTATGCATAAATCATTATACAAACATATCATGCAACATTAAATATCGAGTGCGTAATCAGTAAATAGTACTTAAGGAAGTGCCCAATAGATACTAGAATGCACCTTTGTGGATAAAACCGGGACTATTGTGGATAAATAGGGCATTCTAGAATCTTCCTGTGGACAAGAATCTAGAATGGACTTTTTATCCACAATTGTCCCCATAGCTCTATGTATTCTAATCGATGCACATGCTTAGCAGCGCGAAAAATTGGAGTCAGTTCGCTGACACTGAGGTGTGCTGCCGAGAAGCGGAGCGATGCGAATGGGAACACACGAAACAAATAGTTAGAGGAGCCAAAGAGCTAAGGTTACGACTACAGTCGTACGATCTTTGTAGATTTTTTTACATTTGATGAGGGTATTGCTCGAACCAAGTCTGCATAAGAAGGTCTATGAGTATTTGAACTGAGTAATTAAGCATATCCGCACCGAGTGGACTACCAAGCAAGTATACTTGAATTACTGAGAAGTTGCAAGTATCTTGAAACTTGAACTGAAACATTTGGGAGAGCGCTCTTAAAGGTCTTCTCTAATTAAGCGGCAAACTCTGTCCGGCGTGGATGAAGTAGCGGTCGTTCCGTACAAGGTGCGCAGATCTCCGAGGAGCACGTGAGATTTGGGCTACTTCTATTTCGGCCTCAACACGCTATACCATTTGTGGCCTTAGCACTTGTTTTCTTGTCACTGGGCTAGTGCACTTCTCTAAAAACCGTTGCGATTTCTAACTCATGACGTTTCTAGGAGATTTGATGATTAACACTGAGCTTGCACTGCATGCTCTGCTCTTTCTGTCAAAAAATGCGCGTTTCTTTTCCTACTTGGGCTGTACTAGTCGCATTGTCTGTATGCGTGAATTTGCAAAACCGGTACTGGGTAAGGCAATGGTGTTGACATCACCACTGTTCTGATAGTGATAAAACTTGCATGCTCTTGCTGTGAGCGTTTCGCTTGTTTGTTGCGATTCGCAGTAGGAGCAACGCTGACGATTATGTGCTTCAAAATTTTATTCCTATTCTTTTGAGTTGATTCAGATCATCAAGATCAATCTCAGGGATGATATCCTCGCATACGTCTTTTGTGGAAGTATGAGGCGACTGGGCGCCGGCGAGTGTTCTGTTTTTGGGCGGTTGTCACAGAAGCAATGCTGTACTAGCGCGATCAGATTTTTACATCAGTTACGTGGTGATCATAGTTCACACCAGTACCAGACACGAACTGCGGGATCTGAGGTGATCTGATTTGAGGGATGTGCTTTTCACCGAGTTGGTTGTGCTTTTTACCGAGTTGGTTGTGCTTTTCACCGAGTTGGCTGAGAGAAGGTCTTTCCGATTTCTTCCTAATTCACATCGGCAATTACAACATCAACAAGATGTAGTTCCGCGTACAGTCGTATCCTGCACTCCTCTTACTTTCCTAATACTGTCGATATCAAGAACAAGAGAATTCACACGCATCTCTGCTAAGATACCTATCAAAACAAGATGGCGCCTCTGTTTTCAAAGTTTCTCGCTCTGAATGCTGCCCTTTGGTCTGGGGCTCGAGCGGAAGAAACCGAGAAAAAAGTCGATGGGCCAGTTGTCGGAATAGATCTCGGAACCACGTATTCCTGTGTAGGAATCTACAAGAACGGACGCGTTGAGATCATTCCGAATGATCAGGTACTGAGGTTTGTTTGTTACTTAGGTTTGTTTGTTTGGGCGATACGCATCCCTTCGTAGGAGAGACTGTTGCTTTGGTGCGGGAAAGTGTAGACCCTGGGACCAAAAAAAAAGCGTTCGCCGTGGCAGCGTGAACAATGAAGGAATGAAAAACCTACCTTAGGACATAGTTGCTTGTCGGTTCTGGTGGAGAGGAGGGGGATATTTATATGAGTGATGTTTGCACGCAGAGTATTTTGATCTCATCCGGGATAACCTCCTAGAGCAGTCGTAGCTTCATTGACATCTCAACAAAACCGCAGGGTAACCGCATCACGCCGTCTTACGTTGCTTTCACGGTGGATGACGATAATGAAGCCAGGCTCATCGGGGAGGCCGCTAAGCAACAAGCTACCGTCTATCCAGAGCAGACTTTGTTCGATGTGAAGCGACTGATCGGTCGCCGATACAAGGACAAGTCTGTCCAAAGCGACAAGAAGCTTCTTCCCTACGCTATCGTGGACAAGGGCGGAAAGCCCTACATCAGGGTGAAAGTCAAAGGTATAGTTACACGATTTGAATTTTTTGTCTCGTAGATCAATAGGGGTGGTTCTCCTTAGTTCTTGTCGATTGCGGAGGTTTCCAATTCAGTGAGGCCTGATCAGTGAGAGATTTTTCGACGAATTCCCTCTTCGCCTACTAATTCCCTCTTTGCCTACTCTTAGTACTTATAATAAGCTTACACCTGAACTTTTCAATTTTATTGTCTCCTGTTTCTTTCCAGGTGAAAGCAAGGACATGTCCCCCGAGGAGGTATCGGCGTTGGTGTTGGTGAAAATGAAAGAGACCGCTGAGAACTATCTCGGTAAAACTGTTAACCACGCGGTTATCACGGTCCCAGCTTACTTCTCTGATGCTCAGCGACAGGCTACCAAGGATGCTGGTACCATCGCGGGATTGAACGTGATGCGTATTATCAATTATGGCGAGTGGATTATTCCTCTTTGTGATAGAGATTAATATTAATGTTTTTTTTGAGAAGCTACGTATCAAAAAACAAGCATATTGTTGGGGACAGCGTTTTGTTTTTCCAGTCGTACTGTCGGTTTAGCAAAATGTGCTTCAAGTGCTGAACGGAGAAAAAATGTATCTGAGAAACTACTAACTTCCTCTAATGCTCCGAGCCCACCGCTGCTGCCATCGCTTATGGTCTGGACAAGCAAGCCGAAAAGAACATCCTCGTGTACGATTTGGGTGGTGGTACCTTCGATGTGTCCCTGTTGACGATCGACAATGGTGTTTTCGAGGTCGTCGCAACGAGTGGAGATACGCATTTGGGTGGGGAGGACTTCGATCAGCGTCTGATGCAGCACTTCATGGAGCGATTCAAGAAGTCCACTGGGTCGGACATGTCGAAGGACAAGAAATCCATCCAGAAGCTGCGTCGCGAAGTCGAGAAAGCCAAAAGAGCTCTGTCATCTACTCCAAGCGTGCAAGTTCGTGTGGAAGCCCTGTTCGACGGAAAAGATTTGGACGATACATTGTCTTTATGGAGAAGGAAGTAGAGTCAAAGCAGAAGCAGCGTCTTTGGACCGTATCTTTTGGACTTCTAGTTGTACAGTACATTCATTAATATAATTTCAGCTCAATTTTTGCGTTCACACAAGGCTCGTCGTGGAAAGGAACTTGGGGACTACACAAAGCTCCAAAGCGAAAGCTCCAAGACGAGCTTTGTGTAATTCCCAAGTTTGTTTCATCCCCAAGTTTGTTTCATCCCCAAGTTTGTTTCATCCCCAAGTTTGTTTCATCCCCAAGTTTGTTTCATCC